CCATTACCAAACATTAATAAGTTTTCCTAAAACATTCATGGACTGTCGTCTGTGCACCTTCCATTTACCCCGATGATTTATCATTGATGACAGGTGCGATCGTCTCAGGCCTAGCTCCGGTCAATTCGCTAATCACTTGGATTAATAATGTAAGATATCATTTAATATCAGCCAAGAAAGACAGGCGTGGCATAATTTACTTTTTAATGGCCTTCGAGTAAGTGAGGGTTAATTAAGAAGACAAAATTGGAAACTCTCTCTCTCTCTCTCTCTCTCTCTCTCTCTCTCTCTCTCTCTCTCTCTATCTCTGTCTTCCGGTGATAAATCGCGAGGGCACCCAAAGTGACATGCTAATCACAAATTGTTCATGTATAAACCGAATGGGGAGGGGGCCGAGGGGCAAACAAATATAGAACGAGTCTAGAATATTGCTACTAAATTTGTTATTTGTATAATTTCTGTCATTCCGATGTTGTAATCGCCTTGTTTATATCGTTTAATTGTTATATTTCTTGAAAGTGCCGAATTGATGATAATAATAATGATGATAATAAAGAAAGATTGAGAGAGACAGCTAGGTATTCAGAGGGAGGATGTGAAGATAACTATACATGCATGGGATAGAGAGACTGGGAAGGAAATGGAGAGACATACAAAGTTAGATACAGGGGGTTAAGGTTGGAGAGAGTGAGAGAGAGAGAGAGAGAGAGAGAGAGTGTGTGCGCATGTGTACATGTATGTATGCGTGAAGACGAAGTGAAAGGAAAGGTAAAGAAAGAGAGAGAGAGAGAGAGAGAGAGTAAATTGATGGATGTTCAAAGAAAAGGAGAAGGGATTATCGGAGATCATACATAAACAAAGTTTCAGCTCATAATTTTACCCGAACAAAAAACTAATCGTGAAATTGGAACTGGTACGTGATGAATGGGGAAGACATGAAAGATAATCATCTAGGTTGTTTAGGCGAGTATACAAAACGAAAAGTTTCCCAATATTAATGCATGTGGTATGATAAACAAATTGTCTTTTAAGCGTCTTTTTATTACCGATAAAAAGTACAAGTAGTGCAAATGCGAGATAAGGCAGTAAAAGAACCAAAACAATAATGTTGATTCAATGAGTATCAATGAGAGCATCATGTTTAAATCTTTAGTAAAAATGATTATGTTGATAATTAAAAAAGGAACCATGTGGAAGGGTAAACAGAAGAAAAAATGAGAGTAGCAATAAAGTTCTTTGAGAAGAGGAGCTCCTGTGCTCTTTTCGTTACCGATGCAAAGATAAAGTAGTGCCTTGGGGTTTAAGTATCAAGAACAAAACACCAGGATGTGATATTGCACCAATGAGAACGAGAGAGTATGCACATTGTGAATCTGAACAAACAGAGGCTGGGCTAAGAGTAGCAATAAAGGTCTTTGAGAAGAGGAGCTCCTGGATTTTTTTCCATTGAAAATAAAAGATAAAAGGGAGAACTTTATCTCATACTTTCACCCCACTTTCAAAGGGGCGCGTGCATTACCCTATTAACTGAATAGCCTACGTGGAATAATGCATGTAATTATAAACGAGATAATCCTCATTTCCGATGAGGCTAGCGGGCAAGAAAAGAGAAAACGTGTACACCATTTGGCGTAAATGAAAGCATCTAGTTCTCGTTTTTCACATCAAAGCTATTTCGGGAGTAAGAAAGTAGTGCATCAATTTGATTCTTGCAGGGAAGCGGACGATAATTGGGATGCAGAACACACAAAAAAAAATGAAATTGTAAACACGATACGAGATTAAAATTAATTAAGTGATGGGAATAAAACTAGACAACGGACTGAACATTAATGTAAGGGTGAGGGCTGAAAAAATACAGACGATAACTATAATAAGTTTCGTGAATATATTTAAGCCTTGTCTATCAGTTTTGTTATAATTCTAAAAACGATTACTTTGTCCGTAGTCAGGCCCCAAAAGCTACCTTTTGTTCATAATGTTTTCATTTATCTATGATTACAGTTATAAACCATGACCGTAAGTTATTATGGGCTTCACGATTATGTCTAGATTAGGAATTGTGCACGAATCATTGGTCACCTCGTAAGGCACATGATTCATGTACACTGCTGCACAGCTCATTATCTAGAACAGTTTATATCAGATAAAGTTGCTGAGGATTTGTCATTTTGCTTGCGTCAATACATGCGCTAATGAAGTCCAAGATGGAGATTGTTTGCATTCGCCTGAAATGCTGTGCAATGTTTGCACTTTCTGTTCATTGTGAATATTTACTGCGTACGCTTTTCATCCTTACAAAGCGCGTCAAACACCTTTACTGACGCAGCCTTGCGTTAATACATGACGCCTCGAGCTCAACTAGCATAAAGGAAAGAGTCGTGTTGGGAGGCCCAATCTAACTTGGACGATATTTGATGTTAGAATAAAGAAAGGGATAAAAAGTCCAATATGTTGATAAAGCAGTCGATCAAATTGTCACTGAAAGGGATATTGTGGTGATTGCATGTTTAATAATTTCCGTTTTTAACTACAATCCTATTTAATTCAGTTGTCAATTGGTTTCTCGGTCACGTTACTCATAAAGATCAGAATTGTGGTGTCTGGTTACATTTTCTAATCTACGAACGGATGCACACAGATCAGAAGACGCTTCATGAATATTAAGTTTTAGTCAGTAGGATTATCTATAATGAAACACGATAGATTAGTACTTATTTTCATGTAATATGTGCACTAATTAAATGAATCACTCACCGTATACGTGTTCCATACCTGCTGTTTGTTTTATAGGCTCATTTAACATACCATTTCCAAATGTTTTTTTGTATTGGATGTTCATGATGACCTTTCCATGAGGTCTTAAAATCTTTTAGATCTTTACATGAGAAGGTAAATGTAATGAAGATATATTTTAAATTATCTATACTAGAGGTTTGTTATGCTGTCATGGTTTGCTTTTTTGTCACTCTGCGATTGGGGAGAGAAATTAGAGAAAGAAGGGGGACAGTGAGAGTGAGAGAGAGAGAGAGAGAGAGGGGGAGAGAGAGAGAGAGAGAGAGAAAGAGGGAGAGAGAGAGAGAGAGAGATGTGATGGAGGGAGAGAGAGAGAGAGAGAGAGAGGGAGAGAGAGAGAGAGAAGAAATGTTGACAGGGCATGTCGTCATTACCGCATTTTATTTTGAGTACTTAACGAAGGGAAATCCCATTTGATCAATGCATGCTCTTAACTGATCAAATTCTCGTTAAATCTAAACCGAGAGCCCAGACAACTGACATTTAATTATTCAACCGATCGTGATGGATTCAGGATAGGGCTATTTCAGAATGAATCCACCTTTCCGCCCCAAAGAAACTCGCAAACAGCCCCTTTTTAGCATTATACTGCACAAAGTATGCTTCAAAATACAGGAGCTTGTTTTGAGATATTCTTATACAATTTAATTGATTAATTAATTATTTTTTTTACTTTTAAATTCAGGATAATCATTTTTGGAATTATCCCTCAACAACAACCAGCGGGCAACAGGAGAATAACTTGACATTTCCCTTTTTCGGGGGGGGGGGGGGGCGGGGGCTACAGCAAGCGCCTAGTCTATATACCGCTCCCCGTTTATCAGTTTCCTGATACGCCGTTAGCCTTATACAAGAACACTGCACTAAGACTTTCGTTAGCTGACACCGCAATCAACACTCGATACCGGAAAACCCCACTCAAAAACTTGAAAGTAAAGAGAATTTTTTTGAAGAGTTTTGAAATCATTGAGGCCCTACTAAATGCTTGCAAAAATTGTACATATCGAGCAAAGGTTTGTTGATAGAACAATGTATCGCTTCCCTGCTTTCTGTATTTCTTAACTGTCAAGTGAACGTAAAGAAATATTGTTATTAGTATTCTGGTGTAATAAAAGATGCAGTATTTAAAAAATTGACCCTTGTTATGCATTTTTTTTTGGGGGGGGGGGGAGGGGGTTACTTTCCATTATCAGGTAGAATTAAAACTTTAGCTTGTATAATTTTTTTATTGTTTTAATAAAGTGTTGAGTGTTGTCTGAATTCTAACTTTTCTTTGCTCTCCTTTTTTGTTTTCTCTATTCCATCTTTCTATTTTTTGTTGCCATTCGGGGCGGGCGGGGCGGGGGGGGGGGGGGATCCGGCTACGCCACTGGCTTTTCAATCTTCTTTCGTGTCCCTGGTTTATTGCCATAAAAAAGGAGAAAATGGCAATCCTTCAAACTCTTCGTCTCTAAACGGAAACTTCTGTTACTATGGGTACAGTTGACATTTCTTGTAATATAAGGGAGCGGTTTCCTAGTGCAGTTTTTAGTCATGGAGTTTGAATCAGGGAGAGGGGGGGGGGGGGGCTGTCTCCATATTATTAAAAATAGATAAACGAGATGGTTACTGATTTCAATATAGTAAAAATATTGATTTCTATTAGGTCTTACCATGAACAAAAATAATTATCCCAAAGGCTGTTGTCATTATGTAGCATAATATTTGCACCAATATAATGTAACTGTGTATCATAGGCTATTAAGGGTAAACCATCACCCGTTTCCAATATCCCCCACCCTCGACGGATCGACACCCAATATTTCAGTTCAGTGCACATGTTTAGGAAAAATAGGCAGATATTCGAACAACTATATTTCGATAACATCTTCATATGGAATGGATATCATCAAATCAAAGAAAACAGATAATAGCCAATGCAACAGTTCAATAGGCTTACTGAATTCAACAAAAAGAAACGTGTGTGTGCGATAGTGAACGACATCATTCATCAGACATCAGACACCATTCATCAAGAAAGGTCGATATCGATTTTTATTTAAATGACACTTGATTAATTTCTGTAGTAATCAGGAGCACCCTCTGTCTGTCCCCTTCTCCCCGCCTGTGCCTCTCTCTCTCTCTGTCTCTCTCTCTCTCTCTGTATATCCTTCTCCCCTCCACCTCCTTTTATCTTTCTCCCACTCTCACCCTCTTGCCTTCCCTTTCTCTACGTGATCTTTCGCGCTCAGACATTTAGATTGGAACGTTTACACACAGTTCATGAATCAGAGCGCGTACGCGTACGTCGCCTATTCAATGACAAAACACTGATGTCTAGTTAACGCTAGATATTTCGAGACCAAATGTGAATAGTAGCCGAGCCGCTAGAGATGTCCTCGTTATCATTATGACATATTGTTTTGCTTGCCTGTGGTTCCATTGACGCTAGGGTTGTGAACTATTGAAATGCATTCATGTATGTCTGATGCCGATGGAAAGAGATAGTTGCGTGATTATGTCCCGGATTGTGTTTTCTTAGAGGAAGTCGCCGTGAATAGAACGGACTGAGTCAAAATTAAGTCGCTACCCGTAGATCTGCCTTGCCAAGGACAAATAGGTATGTTTGTATGTGTCTGTTAATATCTTAGAATCTTTGAAGTATATAATGTTCAGTAGTGTATAGTTGTATACACAATGTTTTAAAGGAAGAAGGGGAGTGGGGGCCGTGGGGTCGGTTGTCTAGAATATTAATGTGGAGTCCTGCCAATACCACCGCTACCAGTGCACCACCATCACAACAACTACTACTACAACCACTACCACCTGTTCGGCTTATAATACTTCTACAACAACTACTACTACTGCTACTATAGTACTACTACTACTACTACTACTACTACTACTATACTACTACTACTACTATACTACTACTACTACTACTACTACTACTACTACTACTACTACTACTGCTATATACCACTACTATTGTGACGAGAACAAGTTCTATTTCTACTTCATATGTTATAACCTACCAGTATATATTCTCCCGAGGACTCTATTATTAGCATAGAACTATTATCCACATTCGTGATAAGTTTACGTACTGCTACTGCCGTTTTGATATAATTAGACTCATTGCATCCTGCTAGTACTGAGTGCTCAGTTATCAGTTATCAGCTGTATTACCTGTAGTAGCCTATACACTAGAAGGTTTGAAGAACATTTCTTGTTGTCAGGCTATTTTCAATTCAATGCGATGGCCTCAGTCGAATTTAAAACCTTGTACACTATAGTTTTGTTCATCCTTTCTTTTCACAGCTCTTTCACTGTGACGCTGTATTTTTCCTAAATACCCTCAGTGCTCATAACAAAACAGAAACAAAAACCAGACAGTTCCAAAGAACCATGAATGGATCACATATTTTTATGTGTCCTTGTTAAACAAATAATGCCATCATTAACATTGTTTGTAAGGGGGGAGGGGCTGGGATCATTTCCTCTCTTAGATAAGAGCTTTAACATAATCCGCGGGTGTAGTAACAATGCCCATTTGTACGGAAGCGTTAAAGTGCCACTCTACTTGACGACATGACGAGATATATCATCGTGTCAAGTCGACTTAAAATATCCACATGAACTTTTTGTGAAGTCGACTTGGCAAGATAATTTATTTCGCCATGTCGACATTACTTTTTGGGTAGTCGACTTGGTAAGATAATCGCCATGACGACATGTATGTTTTAGAAGTCGACTTGGTAAGATAACTTATGTCGCCATGACGACATGAACTTTTTGTGAAGTCGACTTGGCAAGATAATTTATTTCGCCATGTCGACTAATAAAAGTTGATAAGTCGACATGGTAGGTTAAATATCTTTACATGTCGACATGATATGGATATTAAGTCGACTTGACAAGATGAAATATCTCGTCATGTCGTCAAGTAGAATGGCACTTTAACGCTTCCGTACTTTTGAGCTATTTCGTACAAACAACATTCTTACCCTTGAGAAAACAGTGATTTTGCTAAAGCATACATCATGTAATGTCTGGTCATGGTCATCATAGTTTTGAGTCTTCCGACAATAAGTATATGCATTTCAGAGATTTATAATAAACCCTGCATTATGTGTGTTAATAGTTATATTAATACTAAACGGTGTGTAGCTTAAACTAGAACTGACACAAATTGTAAATGATACTTATCCCATCCATCGCTGCAGGGTGTTGTTGAAATGTAAACATATTTACAGATTAAAATATACATCAAAATACATCAAATGCATAAATTACCAATTCCAGTCAATTAACACAGGCTACAATACAAGCAGAGTGGTCATTTTCGTTCACAATAAGTAAAAGGGTATCATTTTATTCACTATTATCAAGGAAGTCCACACAATTATTATCAGTCTATGTTTCGACATAAAAACAGAACTCTCTATGGTGCGTGCATACATGGACATAGAATCGATCAAACCATCCATCTGTATACCGAAAGTACAAAGAAAATATTTAACGAAAATAAGGCATGCATGAACAGCCTATATCGAACTATTGGTTATGGCAGTTGTGCATGTGATACACAGTATACAAAGAAAGAATAGAAAAGTATATTCAAATTCCTATTTAACTCGTCCAAGCATCATATATAAATGTGAAGCGCTTTGAGAGGGCCTTCGGTCCTGAAAAGCGCTAAGAACTAGCTATTATTATAATCATTATTATCAGTTTGATCATTAAAATTCCCATTTTCTGATTGTAATTGCAAATAAATATACTTTTCACAATATGGCTGTAGCCCAAAGGATTTGCATGCCAGTCAAATTTAGGATTCTGATCCTAAATAGATGACTCATCCATAAATCAACCGAACTGCGAACCCTGCAGCATGAATGTAACGTTATTGTTTGGTGGAAGTGAGGGAGAGAGAGAGAGAGAGAGAGAGAGAGAGAGAGAGAGAGAGGAAGAGAGAGGGGGGGGGGTAGAAAGAGTTTATTGTCTAAAGCCATTGAAATTCGTTACATGGTTCATGACATGGAATTTTCATGGCATGTGCCATAATAATGATCATTGATCATCTTGTTTATGATAATGCGCCTGAGAAGGCAAAGTCCAATCGTACATAGAAATAATGGGATAATTTTTTATTACGGTAATAAGATATAAATGAGCACACCCATTAAATCTCTGCCTTCGAAATAAGCTCATTACCATTATTACACAACGAATCTCTGAAATCCTTATGTAAGAGATGTTTCAACATATCTGTCTTGGTATTGTACGTGTTATCAGTTAAAGTTTGCTTTAATGTCATCATTTATTAGCATTATAATGTTAACAGATTCAAAGAACATATTACATGTTGTATATGTTATATTTCTGAAGTGTAATTTGATTCGTATGTTGCAGAAGAAAATAAATTCAAATTCAAAAGATCTCAGAAAGTAAATTTAAATTGTTCATAGAGTTGTAGGTTCTTGATTACAATAATAAAATCATTAGCACACCCAATAATATCTGCCTTCGAAATAACGTCATTACCATGATTACACAACGAATCTCTGAAATCTTTTGTAAGAGAATTTTGTTTTTACATATTTCGGAAAGCATATTTTAAATTATTCATAGAGTGTAGGGTTCTCGTTTACGGTAATTAATGAGAGCAATAAAACTGTCACCATCTGTGAAACCTATACCCATCAGTAGGATTATCTACGTTTTCAAAAGATAAATAGTACCTTTGTTTCCATTTTCAATCATTGTCGTATGGACTCGATTTTCGCAGTCAGGTAAAATCAACCAACCAACCAATCGTTCAATGTTATACCTAGTCCCGATATTTTGTGCTGCCAATTCAGAAATCTCAGCTATTATGTTCCTCATTTCCATCTTTCACACTTGTCATGATACGTGTAACCCCGTGTCTTGTTGTAATGGCAAAAACAGATGATATTGGACCTTTTTTACCTTCATCATACATGCCATATGGAAATACAGGGGGCCTATATCGACCTACTGATTGCCAGTTATCAGTAATTATAGTAATTAGGTGGTCAAAATTGCGAGGAAATTATTTATAATACCGTTACCATGGTAACCTGAATTGGAGCATCGATAGGTGCTAAGAAGCCTTGATAGGAATGAGCCCAGACACATCTGCCAGGCGAGGCATGGTCAATTAGAGGAGCCACTAGGGCTAGATATCGTTTTTTTCCATAGCAATATTTTGGTTTAATATTAATGAATCCTCACATGGCGATAATGATTCTCTATGTCTGCTTAATAGGACATGATACATGGGCGCCTCTGTGTGATGGAAAAATTGAATCACGTGACCACTAAAAGTTTACGAAAGTTAACGAAATCGCAAAGAATTGAATGAAAATAATAGAAATATAAATGACCGAATTGTAATCCCAACTTTTCCCAGTTTGTCCAAACTATGAGGATGGTGGGTGAAGCAATATTATCTCCACTTATCTTTTCTCTCCATTTTTTTTATTCTTCTAAAATGGCGGCGGGGGGGGGGGGGGGCACCCGATTCTGAATCCAGTTGTCGTAGTTTAGGAACTTAAATCAGCCCCACACTATTAAGATACGTAACATTATATTATAACCCCACAATGGGCGCAATTACCCCATTTCCTAAACATGTCCATGTCATGCATGGGATAGCATTTTTTAAGATTCATGTCTGATCTATGCAGCATTCACGAATCTTGCAAATATGCTTTCATATTCACATTACCATACGATGAGGATGATGATAACAATAATGATAATGATAATAATAATAATATTAGTGATCTTGATAATTCACTGTTGCTCATGAATGAGGAATATTGTTAAAACCTTTTTTCATGAGATGATTGTGAAAATAAACTGAAACTGAAACTGAAACTAATATATGATTTATCATTGATATATATTGTTTATCATTTCATAACTTTATTGACCAATTTCTATGACTCTTTAGATTGATCAATACTTTCAGAATTGCAATATAAATATATATGTCAATCATAATTATCCACATAAACATTTCATGAAAAGAGACAAGATCGATCGAGACATTAATCATTTTATTCCAACTTTATGGGCATCAGTGTAATAATAATGACAATAATGATAATGATAATCATAATGATAATAAAAATAATAATAATAGAGTAATAAAGTTAATATTAAAAATGGTAGTAGTAATATCAACAATATGTTTATCCAGGGGCAGCCTCATCTGTATTAGAACTATTCCCCTTAAGGAAAGTGCAGTCATATTTTGCCCTGGCAATATTGGGTTTTTATTTTAATATCGCAGTGTCAATGCTTGATGGTGCATCAAATTTAGAGCAATAATTATAAACAAAGCCTGCATGCTATCCACTGTGAATCTAAAAATATATTGTGCAATTTAACAGTCGGATAGCGGATGGGAGCAGTGTGAAACCATTAGGGGGCAGCAACATAGAGATTCTACTTTGATTCAACGACGTATGCACAGAGTGCACGTATACATGTAACATTTTCCCAATATAAACCTGTAAAATACAATTATAACAAAGTATTTATCATGTTGAATGGAGTTTTCGTTGACATTCAAACGGTGGAGGGCGGGGGCGGGGATACATTGACTGAATATGCTACTTGCTACTCGTTAATTATGAAAAGACAATTGGTAAACCCAGATTTATAGCCGAGGACTATCATTGAAGCCCGATTTGCAATGTCTGTAGATATATTTGAGTATCTGTGAGATACACTTTTACAGACGTTTACCACTGGCGTACTGGTGGGTGGGCTTGGGGGGGGGGGGGCGCCAGCCCCCCCCCCCCCCCCCCTCAAATAAAATTGAACCATGACTTATTTTTACAAGTAATGTATAAATGTTCGTGATATCACATGATTTTCAACAAAATGCTAGTTTCTCCATTATTTCTTGCAAACTGACCCATTCCCAAATAGCCAGGAAGAGCATATGTTTTTTTATTGTCACTAAGGGGCTTATAGTGGCCAATAACAGTAACACTAATTCCTTTCCAGAAGCTACTGTGCAAAGCACTGCCGGGAGATAACATGCTACCCACCACTTGGGCTGAGCATGCACAGATTTTCGAACGAGCGTTCCATACTTACATCATGTAACACTGCACATATACCGTTAAGGGGCACAGTGGGGGGTATTGAATTCAGACAAGATTAAGAGTAAAGAACGGTACAAAGAATCGTCTTAATCTTTCTGTAATAGTTAATGAAACGCGAAAATGATTTCAGACAAGGATTTAGAGTAATAATCAAATGAAATGAAAAAGCTTCCGCGCTTCGCGTGGAAGGGGGGGGGGGGGAACTGAATTCAGACAAAGACACAATAACACGATTCGTGTTCTTCTCTAATAATTTAATGAAACTTGAGAGCTTTCGCGTTTCGCGCGGGATGGGCGAAAATGAATTCAGACCAGGATTGACAGTAATAATGTATTGAAACGTCAAAGCTTCCGCGCTTAGCGCGGGAGGGGGGAGGGGGGGGGGGGGGGGAACTGAATTCAGACAAGGATTAAGAGTCGGGACCGGTACAATGAATCGTCTTCTTTCTCTAATAATTAAATGAAACGTCATAGAAGTTCCGCGCTACAGTCGACTACAGTACAACGGATCTGCTTCTTTCTCTAATAATTTAATATTAACACAATTTATACACTCGAGAGAATTTCTGCAAGTACTACTGGTGAAGTACCGGACCACCGTCTTTGTGCATTGTGCGGCATCAAAGCATAATTTGTACTGCGTCTCAAGACGTGACAGATCACTTTTCTCTAATTTCTAACCAATCAGAAGGCCTCTTTTTTCCATGAAGTGCCGGTGGACATTAATGCGCCAAAATAATGTGGTTCTCAAATTGCACAAGATCCCTACTTTTGGAAGGGGTAGGAGAAAGCAATTTTACGTCATATTACTCCAGGAAGTGCCTGAAAATGCGTCTAATTTGGTTCTAAATTTGCAAATGCCTCTTACTCTGGGAGGGTGCCAGAACCCCCTCCTATACCCACCCCCGGCTTGGTCGCTCCGCTCCCTCGCCGGTAAAGCCTCGTTCTGTCGCTTCATCGATTTACATTTCACCCTCATGCCATTTTGTGCCTCCCCCCCCCCCGGTAAGAAATTCCTGGATCCGCCACTGATGCCCATACCCCTTGAGCTTCGTGGGCTTCGCCCCTTGAACCCCGCCAGGGCTTTGCCCCTAGACCCCACTTTGAGAAACGTTCAGCGGGGCCTGCATGTTAGAGTGGGGTGATTCGGATTTTTTTGGTCAGCCCCCAAACGTTTTTGCTCATTACGCCACTGACGTTTACCAATTAGATCTGATTATTACAGATGGGGCGACAATCAACGGCGTGATCTGTGCAAATCGGGTCAGATTGATACGAGGTCGTTTGGTGGGAAAATCAGCGAGCTTACCATCAAACTTAATTTAGTTTCCATGATTTGAAAGCGGTTTTTTAGACTGTTATCAATAGGGACTTTTAGATTTACACGACGAGAACCTGGACCTCTACGTATGACATCCTTTTAAGGCAATGTGACGTCCTTTTTAAGGCACTGCCGACAGTGCCTCAAAAGGACGTCACATTGCTCTAGAGGTCCACTTTCTCCTCGTGTAACAAAGGTAATATTAAATTTAGTTTCCATGCACTCTGATTGTATTCAAGTCCCTTAAAGTCCCTTAAAGTCCCTAATGTTATGAGTAAACTGGTCTTAATAGGGAATGTAGGAACAGCCCTCACATACCACACAATGACTATGTCTTCGATGATATACCAATGTTTATCTGCCATCAATATGGATATATATTTATCAACAAATCTCTGAAATAGATTGAAAAAGTTAGCACATATTCAGTTTGCGCTATTCGCTGTTATGTACCATCTTTACTTTTTATTTATTTACATGACTAATTTTTGTGCTTGTCTTTTTGTTCATTTTCCTGCAGATTTATCGTGGAGAAGTAAGACGCTACTTGCAAGCCCAGCCAAATTAACTTTCTCGATGTAAATGAGCAACGAAGAACAACATCTTTAAACAACTCTGTAACTCACCGAAGCAATGCCAATTGTACTTGAAATTATAACGACCTCTAATATTTCATGAAGTGTAATTCGACCGCTATGACATCAACTAGAAATTGACTTTGATATTTAACGGAGGGTATTTCCTTGCGCAGGCTTCTCGGCAAGAGTACGATGTAACTGTTCGACAGAATGATGCACGCCATCTACGTCAAATAAGTGATCTCTAGTGGAACGAACATCCCTGGTTACTGCAGTATTGAAGTTACATTAAAAAGTGAAACATTGGAATTATCATACCAACAAGTAAATAAACTAGCGGGTGAAGTGCACTCTGATTGTATACACTTTTCTACGATTCTACATTTCATGTGAACAAAATAATACCAAAACTTGGGATCCATTTACTCGACTTTATTGTGCACATCAATCATCAAACTTTGTTTAATTTTGATATCTCGTTAACATTTTCACGAGGACATAATGGCGTCAGAAAGTGACGTCATGTTAAATTCGACCAATAGCAGTGTAGGTGTTGAGGAAGAGGCTGAGAGCAACGAAAAGGTCTTTACCATCGTATTGTATGTGCTTGTCGGCTCGGTAGGCATTGTGGGTAATTCGTTGGTCTGCGCGGTCTTCAGCCTCGTGAGGTCACGAAGAAGTCAGGTGAGAGGTCAAGCCTTTTATAAACCATTTTCCTCCTCTTACATGTAAATAACTAGGATAGGTTGTAATCTATAAAGGTTACAATAGTGAGAATTTAAGGCATAAATAGTCAGTTTTACTGAATTGCCTTAAAACATAATCTAACAACAACAACAACAAATGATTTGACTTTTGAGCGAAGTTTTCGGTATAAAAACACCACGTAATCTTTCGGAAGGATTCGTTGGCCCTATTTCGACATTTCGATGTTTGAACCTGTGTCTTCAGGAAAGGTTGTTGTATAAATAACACGTTTTCCCCTTGTATGCTTGAGAAATTCAATTTAATCACCATAATCCTGGTGAAACGACTTGTTCCCACGATGAAACCCACCCTTCAATACTACCAACAAATTTGTCTTTACTTTGTCGGCATTGTGGCCCCTTTTGCAGAATTCACTACTGAAAAAAATAAAGGTCCACAATAATTGAAAGGAAATAGCACGGTAGCAACATTTTAATCTATTTTTCAGAATAAGATTTTCGATTCTTTTCTTTAGTTAATATTTTCTGGCCTTCTTTCTTTCTTTCCTTTTCACTCATCTATCTGCAGGTCAATCTGTTCATCCTCCACCAAGCCGTTGTTGACCTGTGCACATCATGCTTGCTCATCATGTTTGGCATTACGCAGTTATTCCGAGATGAAATCATGAACACATCTTTCGAGCTTCTGAACTCGTCATCATCAACATCCAACTCATCAGATTTCACCACCGATGACCCACAAGACCTGGAATACGTCCAAGTGGCTAACATCCCTCTCCCGCTGGCTCAGTTCATGTGCCGGGTGTGGTGGGGGCGTGTCTTTCTCTTCTCCATGTTCGCCATATCGACGTTCAACCTGATGTCGATGGCGATCGAGCGGTACATTGCCATCATGCACCCATTCTTCTACGCGACGAAAGTCAAGCGACGGCATACTCTCCTGGTGATCTTCCTTTCCTGGCTCATAGCACCTGTGCTTCAGTACTTCCCGCCAATCTTCCAGTACAAGGCCATGGATGATACGCATGAGTGCGGTTATCAAGATGACTTCTCAACAACGGCGCAGGCAGCTGTTGGCATTTGCCTCATCAGCTGGGAGTTCATCATGCCGAGCATCATCATGGGGTATTCATCGATTAGGATCTTCAGAGAGCTCCGCTACCGTGACAGTTACCTGGTGAAGGCTACCAACTACCTAATGGACAAGGAGAAAGGCATCACCAGACAGCCACCCGAACCAGAACCGGAGACGCTGCGGGCTAATCGCAACACCACCATGGTTGTCATTATCATCTTCCTCATCTACATCATCTGCTGGGCGCCTAATCATTTCACTTTCCTTGGCTTCAACCTCGGCATGACACTCGATTTCACTGGGAAATGGTACCAGACAACCGTCTTGCTTGCCTTTGTGAACTCCTGTATAAACCCTTTCATATATGCCATTAGACTTAAGACCTTTCAGAAAGGAATCGTTCACATATGTCGCACTGGATGTCAACCCATTTCGTCAGCGAGATTCGACTCGACTGAAGCATTGAGTCGCCACAGAGTCAATACATTAGTCTTGTGAACGAGCGTCGAATTCTTTCTATCTTTTAGTTAATTAAACGGTGCTTAATTCCTTTAAGGACTGCTATTAGTTATTCTCATCTGAAATATTTATTTGCATTGACATTTTGAAAAATGCTGAATCGAGGCTGATATGGAGGTTATACTCGATATATCTTGATCAAGGAGAAAAACCTCTAGATACAGTTCATTGTTGTAATCTTTGGAGAAGCCTTAACTATTTTGTGATATCTCTTTGAAAGGACATTGGAGCGCTGATATCACCTTGCGTGGTGGACCTGGAGGCTTGAATTCCCAGTATGTATCATGAATAGTATTATGATGTTGTTTTTAATGATAGGGAGAGGCACAAAAGTGTGCCCGTCTGAAAATGTAAATTAAATTGTTTTAGGTTATCATGCGCAATCTAATGGGTGTTATGTGTTATGAATAAAAGGTGTTTTGACGACTATGTTGGCGCCTATCGCCTTTGATTTGTCATAATTATTCGATTCAACAAGACCACGATGTACCTGGCAAGGAATTCATTAATAGATAACTTTTATTTCATATGAAGCACGACGTTTTTTGAGGCTGCATCTGAACTTGTTTGATCGGTCTGTTGTGAGGTGTCCGTCTCATCGGTGCTGACTGGGGCATATATATTATTTATTTAAACAAAATTGGTAGGTGTTTCTGGACTTATTGAAAATCAACTACGACATATTTAGATAACAATAGTGGTATATAATTGATTAACATGAAATGTTACAACTGAAATACACCCCCAAAATGCATATGTATATATTTATAAAAGAAAACTTGAAAGTATGGAGATAAATCAAAGAATCGGGATAAGTGCAGAGGCCGACTATCATAAACATGATTGCTTGAGTCGATATCTTGCCACGTTGCTCATCAAGTAAGTTATGAACAGAAACAACATAGCACGAATTCAGCCATTGTAGGATGTAGGACTAGGTAGTGGTAGCACGGAGTATTTGGAAATCTTAATCATAAATATAGTTAACTTTCATTGATTGCTGAGTGTAAATGTATAAAGAGCGAAGCTATAGTAGGCCTATTTAATATATTTACTTCTCCCGATTACTGAAACAACCGGCAAGAGAAGAAAGTGCACCACTTCTCAAGATATGTAAATACATTGTGTGTTTCTATGACCATGATAACTGAAAAAGTGTGGTACTATCTAAAGGTTTTTTTATAGCCGAAAAAAACCCCCAAAACCAGGGGGTGTTTCACAAAGATCCTAACTTGAACTTATCTCTAAGTTGGACTTAACAAATATGGAAAGCCGTTAGCATCCTTGAAGATATTTTGTAAAAGTTATTTTAAAAGGCGTGAAATGTTGATTCAAATCATTCATATTTTCCATTATCATGGGAGATTTCAAAGTTCTTGATGTGGAATTTATGAAAATTCTAAAATACTTGAATTTTCGCTTTCTAATATATTTCATTATAAGGCTACAAATGGCTCTTCATAATATTTAAGTACACCATAGAGTTAAGTTCGATTTGGAATCTTTGTAAAAAACACCCCCCCCCCCAGACGTGTTGTAACGCCATAATATGTTTAATACTGTGAATTATTCAACATAAATGTTTTCTATGAAAACCATCTTGTTTTGATATATGCTGCTTTTCTTTTGCACTTTAACTTATACGCCTTACCGAAATCTGCATGGCTGACATAAATATGTGGGATCTAACTTATTTCATTCTGTGTAAACTCGCGTTCCGAGAACTTTTTTTTGTTTATAACGATAATAAACTTCTGGATATGATGTTACGTAAGACAGTAACCCGAAATATAAATCTATTCTTTTTTACATTTCTTATATATATCTATGTGTAATGTATCTCCATGCACGGAGACACCTCCCTTTTCCATGTGTTATGATGTTAATGTATCCTTAAATTATCTTGAAAACATTTTAGTTTAATACCATACTCTTGCGTTTTACGTAATATGTCGATATTATTGCACCCAGTACTAATTTTGGTCATCTCAATAAAAATATAACTGAATATCCTGACAGAAAGTGTTTTTAACTTGCTATGTAGACCATTGTTTTAGTATTGGTGTGGGTTATACTCATGTAGATTCTATAAACAGGATTAATATTCAAAAGTTGAAATGGGATATTTTGATTTGAATTTAATTTAATTTTTCAAGGTAAAACTCACATCAGCCTAAAAAGACTGCTTTTCAGCAAGTCCGTGTAAAAATATAAAACAGATCATATAGACTACAAATTGAATATAAATACTTTGGAAAAACTGACATATAAAACAAATTTAAATAAAAAGCTAACATATCAAATGAAAATAACAGACATAGATATATAATATAAAAAGTGTATTTTAAATCAATAGGCATAGGGGAAGAGTAAAATGGGAAAGGATAAGAAAAGAAAAAAGAAAGAGCTAGAGAAAGAATGGGAGAAAAGGAGGAGAATCACAATAACGAAAAAGAGAAGGGAATCTGGAAACACGAGTGTAAGAGATGGGAAGGGGAGAGGGAGAGATAGGGAGAGAAATAGAGAAGAAAAAGAGTGGGATATAGTGAGTGGAGAGAGAAGGAGAGAGAGAGAGAGAAGAAGAAAAAGAAGAGGGTGAGAGTGACGGACTAGTACAATCTACCTCCAGTTCAAATTACCGGGTATTTGACAAAAGACGAATTCTTCAGGTATGGCGTTGAATATTATTGAACACGTGAATAGATAAGTCCCCATTCGTTTAAAGTTGGTTTGGGGTTTTCCAAAGTGAGCTTTTTATTAGAATTCCGGAGCCCGTAATTTCGCATAATGACTTATGAAGCAAGTTGTTTTACTAGTTGAAAGATCAGGCCTATTTCAACACGGTCAACTTTTAGGATAGAGCAGATACTCGCCGTGCTCTATTTTGAATAACTGATGAATTTTGCAGGCATTTCTCCACAATTTCTCCATATGGGTCTTTTCCCTCTCATCTTCCGTAAAAATATGAACAATATAATTTCTTTTCATACATGAAACTGAAAATACAGAGGGATACATAATTCATGCCCAAGCAGACGACATCCCATAAAGAATGAACACAATTGAATAGGTATTATTTCTCAAATTATAATGAGTTTAGTGTATATAAATGTGATGGCATTTCAAACCATTCAAAAGGGGATATGAAACCGATTCTGATAACTAAAATCTTTTGTTTTTAAATACACAGGATAGGGGTTAATTAACAATCAAAGAAACTAGACTTTCAAATTGAAAACCCCCACGGAATGATATTAAGGACGATATTTGTTCCCTCTTGACTTTATACGCTATGGAATTTTAGATAATGGAAAAAAAAATGGTATAACATCTGATCTTGTCATACATTCATGATAACTGTAACCGCAGTTGAAATAATCTCGATGTAATTGTATAGCGCCACCTTGTGGTCACTGATTTGGATGTGGAAAGATGTCACCAAATTCGATCCGCCAGATCGAGAGCCAATCTTTGATTTCTTGTCGCATCGTAAATTAATAGTTGTATCAACGTACGCATTTTGATATTCATGTTATAAGTTAAACTGTACAAACAGATGCATAAAACACAGCGTTTGCATACTGAGATGGTTTCCATACTACTGAAGAGCCATGAGAGTAATATGTGGAAGGCTACAAAAAGTTATATAGGAAATAAAGCAACTTCTGTAACAAACAATTAACAAATCGTTGAACCTATCAATAATTTATGGACGGATTTTGTTGTTGTTGTTTTAGTTTTAAGGGCGTGTGTCATTCAATTATGAATATCTACGCCGATGCTACCAGTACAATAACCTTGACATATGCAAACAGAGTATTTTCCGTCCACTGCCCTCACAGAATAGCACGCATTATATTGCGTCCGCAACGACCTGTATCATATTTTCGTCAGGTACTGTATTGTAATGGACATATAGTCAACAATATTCTTTTGTATGACGTTTGGAAGAATAAATGTAGAGCAACGCATGTGATATACTTCGTATCCACTGCGTTTGCCGTGTAGCAGTTCCTCAAAATAATGGAGATAGTCTATCTATTGGGGTTCGTCCTCATCCTCATTGGATCGGCATCAAGTGGTAAGTGCACACGTCCCTACTGCTCTCCCCTCTTACTTATCTTTATCATTTGTTTGAGCTGGGTAGTTCCAAGGATTTTTAGTCATTATGTGTCCCAATATGATGTCAGGTTCCTTGGGATTTTGATCATTTACCCGCAATCATGTCCTACTTACATTGACTAAGTTTCGCATGTTCCTTGTGGAGCTTGGGTATAGGACAAGTCGTCTTACCCCCTGGTTCGGTTGTCAGCTAGAGTTCTCGCTCCTCCCAGCTCAGCTGCATGAATGAGAACCAAAGAAAGAAAGAAAGAAAGAAGAACAAGAACAAGAAAGGAAGAAGCAGCATCACCATACCATGTGATGACAAATCTTTCCCTTCTTTTCTTACCCCATTTTGGTATCCACTCTCTAGTAGTGTTTTGAAGAGTATGCCTTCTTTCACACTAAACATAAAGAACATTGAAACTTTTTTCTTTGATATTCAGTTGGATCTCAGATATTGCTTAGCTATCGCTTGCATGGCACGTCACATTACGAATAAAATGGCTGCGCCCATGTCATACTAAAAGGCGTTACACCATGATGCCAAGAATGTCTTCATTTATATATCTCTCGTACATTTTTGTAAGGAATATTGAACACCAATAGGCAAGAATAAATAACATCTCTCAGCATATCTTATTATTTAGGGTGAGGTTTCCTATAATCTCCCCCCCCCCCTCCTGTTGTTTTGTCTACACTGTCTCTTGATTCTTTCTTTGCAAAATGATTAATAATGATAATGAAAATAAATGAAAAATAATAATAATGATGGTAATATTTACGCAACAATTTTCATTGCACGGTAAGTGCAAAGAGGTATCACAGATGGAGTTACAGCTAAGCTAAGTATTTGTACATTTTCGGTTTAACTAAATAAAATTTGGAGTGGACTTTAAAAGATTATTATTATTATTATTATTATTATTATTGTATTTGAAGAAGGTTCGAAGCCGTCACATCAAGCATTCTCTTGCAGGTGGTGCATGCAGTCTGGTAATCAGTTTTTCGCGTTTTTTTTTTTTTTTTTGGGGGGGGGGGGGGGGGGAGGGCACGTCCCTGTTTGTCAGTAAATTTTTGACGGATTTGGGGCTGATTTTAACATATTTTTTTGGCCGGGGGGGGGGGCACGTGCATATATATAAATATAATTGAAAGTTTGAAAGTATGGAGGTAAGTAAAATAATCAAGATAAATGCAGAGACCAACTATCATAAGCATGAATGCATGAGTCGATAGCAGCCGGGAAAGGGGGGGGGGGGGCTACATGGGGGGGGGGGGGGGAGGGGCGGGTACATGGAGTAAGTAAGCTTTCAAAAATACCGTCCTATGTTTTCATATCACAGGCTACTGGCTAGACGATCTTGCTCATCCATGTGTGCGAAAATGTAAGGCTGATCGTGAACCTATGACGTGCGAGTATGACTGGACTGTTGAATCATATTACTCCATGTCACGTGCTTGCTACCAATGTCCATTCAACGAGTTCGACTGCCATCGGCCACACTGTATACCCATGGCCGGTTATGCGAGACCCGTCTACTCGGTCAACCGTCGGCTACCCGGACCAAGTATCCAGGTAATGCTAGCTATGGAAAAATCAAAAATGGAAAGGCCGAGGCCTGGTGAAACATTAAAAAGAAGGTGAAGAATAAAGTGGATAGAAGTATTTCGCTGGCTTATGAAACGCCGAGTGTAAACCTTTTTAAAGCCTTACTGTACTAGTTTGGCATATTGCTCCGGTTGTCTCATTTTCGCTCGCTGGACGTATATAGCAGACGACAATCGGCGGATTAGACGACACTTGGTAGTGAATTTGTATGTGAAATTGCTTTGCTAAATATAAAATACAAGAACATTTTCCATATCTTTAAACTATCATTGATATCTGATAATTAAACAGTTATTAAAAATAAAGCTACCAAACTACACAATACAGTGAAATACTTGCACCCCTCTGTAAATAATCGAATAGTCCATGGCGATCATGAATATTCATGTTTTTGCTTAACTCGGCAAAATGTTTGCCTATCTTCAATGGAAAAATTACGGTAGGGGTTGGATGAAATGGACATAATGAACCGATCAGAACTGATCTATTATAATTCATGCTTCTTATCCTGCGTGTGCTTGACCTAAAACCTTACAATCGCTTGGCAAACTGAGTCCAAAGTTCGACTTGTTTCACATGTGTTATATAGGCAATGGCGAGCTTGCAACCTATTTTAATCAAATTACGGTGGGTGAACTTTCAAAAGTCAATGGGACATGAGGGTTCCAATGAAAGAGCTAGTGATAACGTACGTCGGGGTGGATGTGCTTTTTGTTTAAACAAAAAAAAAAGAGAATTTTTAACGATTTTGGGGGTAAAATTCCATAGGCTAACATTTTTGGCTGCTGACTCTGATGATAGGGGGCGTTGTCAAATGAGACTAAACGGAGCTATTTGTCAGGATGAATTAAACCCCCTGCATGGTCACTGACAGGTGGTTGTCTCATCAAATTAGCTCTCACTTAATATAAGAAAAAGGGGATCATGGGGGGCCAACGGGTACCGCTTGGGCATTGTTTGTTATATAGAGGGCGCAAGAAGCTACCAGTACCAGTAGTGCAGTCACGCTTTAATCAAAATAGAGAAAGCAATTCTGAAACAGACTAATAAAGCCTAACACGCCTAACACGCATTCAAAAGAGTTTATCGCTGGAGTCATGGTTTGATGCAGACTTAAAATTACCTCTAGAACAGTATTTGAAATCACAACAAGCTTTAGGCGTTATAAATTCAAGCATTTGTATTATAATGTGCCCCTTTGCGATACTTATTCTGCAATAGTGAGAAAACATTATTGTGGGCGTTAGTGAAAAATCACTCTTGGCACTGGTCGATCTACTTAGGTAATCATCTTAGCCTTTTCCCCTTTGTTAATATCCGTTAATATCTCCCCTCTATTAATACTTCACTTAGATAGAGAGTGGCACACCAAGATTAGGAAGCTTCCGAGGGGTGTTTTGTGACGTCGTATGACTCGAACTCTGCATCATCCGAACCACAGTTCATTGGCTTATTTACTAAACCACATTACTTTGATAATGACATCAGAGGTAATTCATACAGCTGCAGACAGAATCTGATTTGTTTTCCTCTGCAGGTGTGCGAAAATGACGTCATAAAGGTTCATGTACATAATAGAATGCAAAATGAAGAGGGTGAGGCGATCCATTGGCATGGTTTGCATATGAGAGGCAGTCAGCACATGGATGGAGTTCCTCACATTACTCAATGCCCCATCAATGCAGGCCATGATTTTACTTACGAGTTTACAGCAAAACTACCAGGTGAGTGTTAAAGCCCCACTGTACTACTTGTAGTTACTTGCTCCCTCTATATAGAAAACATTGCCTAATCGGTGACCATTGGTCCCCCATGATCCTCTTTTTCTTATGTTAATTAAGAGCAGAGTTGATGAGATAGCCACCTGTCAGGGACCACCCTGGGTGGTCTAATCCCTCCTAGCCAAACTAGTACAGACATCCTTTAAATGCATCCCCGAGTTCCTCCTGATATCTCGGTCATACATAGAAGACTTAGACCGACCCGAGACCGATCCCAGACCGAACAGTTTGTCGGCTTTGAGTGGGTTAGGTCACGTGTGACACCTTGAAACCGTCCGCAAAACGTCTCCAACCTGACCGATTCTTCGGCCTTGCATAGAGGGGGCAATCAGATATTTAAATCCTATCTGCACTAGTCTGGCCAGAAGGGATTAGACCTCCCTGCCTGGTCACTGGCAGGTGGTTATCTCATCGAATCAGCTCTCACTTAAAGGGGAAGTCCACCCTGAAATTAAGTTAGTTTTAATAGGAGTAGAAAAATGAGAGAAACAAGTCAGTGAAAGTTTGAGCAAATTCCGATTAAAAATAAGGAAGTTAGGATTTTTGAAGTTGTGATCAATCAAACACAAATTGGCAACTCTATGACGTATCATGCGAGCTCAACTTCCATTTGCTCAGTACTAAAAAAATCTAAAATTTTCATTTTCCCTCAAGAAAAAAATTTCAACCATACATGCACCCTAAATATAATAATTGCAAATATGTTTCTATACTCCCCCTGCAAGGAACAAATATATATTCCGTCATCAATAACGAAGAAAACATGATTTTATGGAATATTATGCACAAAGCAAATGAAGGAGAGCTCGTATAATAAGTCACAGAGTTGCCAATTTGTATTTGATTGATCACAACTTCAATAATTCATAACTTTCTTATTTTCATTCAGAATTTGCTCAAACTTTCACTCACCTGATTTTCTTATTATTCTGCCTCTATCGAAACAAACTTATTTTGGGGGTGGACTTTCCCTTTAACATAAGAAAAAGGGGACCGTGGGGGGTCAACGGGTACTACTTAGGCATTGTTTGGTATATAGAGGGCGCAAGTAGCTACGAGTAGTGCAGTCTCGTTTTAACTGGTCTGACGACACAGAGATCTGCGACTGATCATTCTGAAATCATATTGGTAGCCTTTTTTTTAACCTTCTTTTATCATGATCATTATCTACGTGTAATTTCTCAGTCACGTCAACGAGATCAACACGGAAATGACAAAATACCTAAAAATGTCACCATAACACCAAATGGCCAAGGCTCGGTCGGTTTCAAGTCCGCTTCGAGTTACTTTAGCTTTGGACTAAACATCGCAAACATCGTTTTTATGGGTCTAATGATAGTGAAACTACAGCTAATCATTTTCAAGAATAATAGAGTACCGTCTTTATTGTTGACATTGGAGCATTCAGTTCTCGCTATCATGTTGATAATAAATTCGACCAGACACTGTTCGGTGTGATTAAATTTGCCTTTGTACTTTCACCACAGGTACCCATTGGTGGCATTCGCACGCTGGAAACCACCGTGCAGACGGTGTGTTTGGTTCGTTTATCGTTCGGCAATCTCCGGGAGCCGATCCAAACCGAAAGCTTTACGATAGAGACGATCCGAGTCACGTGATTCTCATCAACGAATGGGCAAAGGCCATGACGAGTACGATAGACCTTGCAACGTTCCATGGGGTTACGATAAATCCCACTGATGGCATTCTAATCAACGGAAGAGGTACTCCTCAAAATGTTTTTAAAATTTATATTTTGGCAGTGGTTCATAATAAGGAAAATAACGCTGCTTCTAACCGCCTAAAATTCCCATTAAGGCTCAAAACACAAGTTACAGGAATATACTTTTTACATTTATGAATCAAAATATGATTATATTTTCCTAAACTAAAGAATGATACTGATGCATGAGACTGCATGGCGTAATCCGAAAAAAGCAATGCATTTGCGATCGAGTTACAGTATCATTATTTTATCTCCGTTTTTAGGAACAAACCAAATTGTTACTCGCCCATCAGACAACACGACTGCAACGGTAGACCACCATATCGTGTACGTCAAGTCAGGCCTTCGATACCGCTTCCGGGTCATAGGAGCCGCAGGTAACATGTGCGCGTTTGTAATCTCAATTGATGATCATCAGCTGAAAGTGATTGCAATGGATGGCGCACCAGTGGCACCCTTTGATGTCGACAGAATCGCCGTCTTCTCTGGAGAGAGATATGATTTCGTCATAGCCGCTGACCAGCCACCGACAAATTACTGGATTCGGGTTGCGGGAGAACTGAGCTGTGTCGAAGACCAGGTAGAGCATTCTATTCTAACGGGATATTTAGATATTTAGTGAGGCTGATAATGCTCCATGAGTAACTTTCCCGAAATGCCACTCGTGTAGGGCAATTGCATTTCATAGAAATAAAAGACCTTTCTTAACGGTTTAAAGGCAGAATATTTAGGCTCCAAATTATCGCTCTATAACTTACGAAACATCCCTGAAAATATTTGCCAGGAGGAGATCGGATGATCCTGTATACACAAGATAAAACATGGTAGGGCGGTCGCAATTAAAGCCCTACTATTTTAGTTTCGCTTTGGTCAAACTGCCCCACAAGGAGCTAAACGCATTTTAAAGAAAATACGTCTACCACGTACCTTTTTACTTCACCTGGATGAAGTGTGACAAATACATAAATTAATTTCTTTCCGAAGGACATTAGTGCCGCGGCCAACCTAAACCGCGAACCATGACTATGGTCTCTAGTGATCGGGTGACGTATCCACCAGACCGTCGTGGCTTCTGCTTCTAATGTAAAACCATTATGTAATCAAGGGGATCTCCTTGGTAACATCAATGACGTCTGTGATCTCTATTTCAGGAGGTTGGTATTCTACGCTATGCTGGTACGCCGACGGGATCTAAACCAGATGCTGATAGGTCTACGAGGGCGCAAGGAAGTCTTCTAAATCCATACGATGGCCGTATAACTCCTGGCTCTACTTATGTGTCGGACCTTACTGATGCTGGTAACTATTCTGATTATACCAGTGGTAGTAGAACCAAAGAGATATTTGGTAGGACATTGGGTTGTCCCACCTGTGTTCTGTATGCATCCATTTGTATGTGTACATTATTACGCAAGTTTCCCATCGAAAGTCGACTATCGGACTAATCTGAAATCTTGCGCTATAAAAGTCACCCAACCCTGCTTCAAATTGCTGCGTCTGTTGCTAGAGATTGTGCCTATAGACCCGTCCTTTGGTGTACATACTCGCCCTGAATGTCCTTAAAGGCACTATATCCCATTTGCTACCAACATCAAATTCTGTAGAACCTTGCAGGTCTCGTATGTCCTATCTGTGAAATTAAACGTTAGCAGTGTGCTAATATTAAAACTATGCAAGGACACCCATTTACGTTTTAGACTTCACTGTCAGACACTGTTGAGTGACTGACCGACTTTTTTTTTCTCTCTTTGGTTATAACGTACAGAAAATGAACTGACAAGGATACATGAGCATTTGTCTATATCAATAACCCACTTCTTGTAATGGCCAAAATTAAACTGATTGGATCTTTGCGCAGCACAAAACGTACGACCATTCAGTAAAAGGGTATGAAAATCACTAAAGTCAATTCGACAACTAATGGTCGTTATTTTCCCACTTAAAGACTCTAAAAGTCTAAATTACTCCATACTTTGGGCTAAATTAGGTTAGCCCTTTGGTTAAAAAGCATTTATAATCTCATGTAATTCATCTTCAGAAGAAAAACAGGACGACCTTAGCCATGTTGATGTGACCCACTACCTCGAGCTGAATACTGTTTTGCGAAACGGTGCCAAGGGTCTTCACCATCCCGTCTTCTACCCATACGAAGCAGATAACGGAGCCTTTCATTCAACTCCAATTGTTGTCATCAATAATATATCCTATGTATTCCCTGACGTACCGCTACTCACTCACTGGCGTGATGTGAAGAGGGCGTCCTGGTGTAACGAGGACTCGCTTCGGACATCGGGCAAAGACTGCATTCATGAGGCCTGTGAATGCATACATCGCATCGACATCAAGTATAATCAGGTATTTAAATATTAAAGATGAAGGTGAGGTCTGGTAATGCGATTGCATTGTGAAAGAAAAGGTGTGGAATGGATCAGAAAAAGTTGAACATGTAGCATGTAAGTATTAGTATGCAGTGCAGGGTTCTGGAGTCATCAAAATCATAATAAATTTGACCCAGTCTTGGTAAAGTAACAAGCACTGTACACAGAAAGATGTATATGGGACTACACAAATGGTGTCGGGGCTAGTACTACCTGATTTTCTTATCTTTCTATGCTCATTACTCAGCCAGTATACATTTTCTTCCAAAATTGTTTAGCACATGCCATTTATTTGTAATCTTGAACATTCAGTGTAAGTTTCGTTTGATTCTGTGAGAATTTTTAATTTTTTTTTTTTTTACCAGAACTCAAGTTTATCTTTAAGGTCATCTGGGAAGTAATGTATTTCAGGGATTGAATGGAAGTTCATGAACCTGTAATGTATGGAAATTTGTTCCGAAAACATAAAAGTCGTTCTCTCTGGCATGGACATTTTCAGTGAAACTTTTCTTTTACACACATTTTTACATACATTTCACATTTTCACATTTTTACATAAATATTTGAGGGACACTTTATAGGTGACCAACTGACCACTATAAAAAGGTGGTCTTTATTGAGGGGTCGCAATTAAGACAGATTTGACCTATTTTTCTATGTTTGCAAATTACAATTCCAAGCTACAGGGACACAATGGGCACATGGGACAAGTGTACCCATCGAATAACGAAGAAAAAAAAATCATCTGAAAAGTATTGATCTTCAAATGTCCTCATAGTTTTAACTTGAATGTTCAAAAGATTATTATTTTTTGTTTGTTTCTATGAATGTTCTAAACTAACGTGAAAGGAATGAGAAATCTCACAAGCCTCCATTCATTATTAACAGGGCCCCGTTTCACAAAACTTGTCATCAGTGACAAATGACAGTTTTTGTTATAAACTACTGAAATCCTTGCTTCTGATTGGTTATCAGCAGATTTGTCACTGATTTTTGTCATTTGTCATTAAAAAAAAATCTTTTTAAACAGGTCCCAGAACTCAATTTTCTTCTTGTTAACAACCACAGGTAGTGGAACTGGTGTTTGTGAATCCAAATGCAGTCAGCGCTCATCCGATGCACATCCACGGGTACAATCTTGAGATAGTTGGCATGGATCAGATGTGGAACTATTTCACCATCGAGGATTTTAAGCGGTTGGATGCCCAAGGTAAATCTTTGTACCTGACTGCTAAGAAAGCATAAATGCTTGTAAGTAAGCAACCAGACAGCCGACGGCTTTAAGTCCTCTCCGAGGGACCTCGTAATGAGGATTAATGCCTTACCAAAAGGCATTAGCGCATCGCCTTGGTTTCGTACCCGGGTCACCCGGATTACGAGACCACTGCTCTACCGACTGAGCTATCACGCCTCCTCTTTTATATCACTCATTGAAAGAATCTGCGCAATTAATTATGTTGATAATTGCGCGCCATGTGTTAAAGAAAGTTTCAAACATGCCTCATGCAAATGAGCAAATTGCCATCAGGGGTAACATCTAACGTTACGATCTGTGTCAGCAGTTTATACTACATGACGTAGGACATCTCGCACAAAATGGTGACGCCCTTTCCCGAATATCTAATCTTTAGTGCCGTCAGTTTAAATATTCGGACACCTCTTAGCCAAATAGTATCATATTCGGGCAGCTTGCTACCCGAATATGGTTAATCGAATAGACTATGGATACTCGGGAAAGCTACCCGAATATGATGATATTCAGGTATCTCGCTACCTACTTCAAGAGGATATATAAGGTAGTGGTTACCCGACTATCGAAATTTTATTGCAAATTTCATTGCTTCACTCAACAGGAAAAATTAAGCGCAACCTGAAGAACCCTCCCAGGAAAGACTCGTTTATGGTACCCGGAGCAGGCTATTTGATAGCCAGGTTCAGAGCCAATAATCCTGGCTGGTGGCTGATGCATTGTCATATCAATAGCCATCTCAAGGTAGGTCCAATCCGTATCCAGAGTGTTAATCCACGCTCTTCCACTTTCTCCTTTTAATGATAAGTTGAGTTCCTGTACTGACATACATATTAATTAAAGGGGTGAACGGTATTCTCTTCAGGGTGGATAAAATGGTAGGCGAAGTTGAACCAGGTATTTCTATAAGCCATAGAACTTTTGAGAATAAGGAGAATAGCTACTTCGAGTTATATGTCCTGGATTGAAGGACTGTCCTCGTTTCTACCTAGTTCTCACTCGCACCGCCAAAATTCAGCTACGCCGTGTGATCCCTCATACCTCAGTCACATCTACGAGACCGACACCAGATCGACACCAGAACGACGAAGAACCGAACAAAACATTACATTACCCACAACGGCCAAGAATCGATCGGTTTGGAGTCTGTGTTGGGTCGGTTTGACGGTTTGACTGAGGTATGACCGATTCTATATTATTCGGGAGACTATTACGGTTTTGTGTTGTTTTGTTTGTTTTGTTGTCAGTCTAGCATCATTCTAGTTGGAGTGGCTAAGCTATTGTTCAACAGAAGAAGAACGTCATTGTTATATAATTCTATAATAAAATTCTCAGCCCTGTTTGTTTTTCTTTTCAGCTCGGTATGGGTATGGTTTTCCACGTCGAAGGTGATGTGCCGCCACCACCGGCGAACATGCCTGTATGCACACATCCTTAAAGATGGGTAGTCGTATGGGGTAGTATCATTGGGGCCTGTATGTCACCCTGTATGTATCTGGCATTCTTCAACCTACTGTCGTCGTTAGTAGCATGTCATGAAGCTGCTTCTCTCCAAAAAGAAAATCATGTCTCGATACTATATTCTACAAATCATGCCATGGTGTATACTCTATTTCATTGATGAAATGAGAGAATAAATGGCCAATGTTATTTCAATATAAATATCAAGTTCAAGTCAAGTGAGTTTATTGAATTCCATCTTTAAAAACATTTTTACAAAGTAAAAACATGCAATTTCATGTAAAATATAATACATAAAGTGGGATAGCATATACATGTGAAATGAATTAATACAAAACAGAATAGGGCGCAGCTGTAAAAAAAACAAGAAAAGGTTTTGTCTGGACAGCTTCCTATCAAATTAGATGTGATAAATATATTAAGAAAACAAGTAGCAAGTGAAGTTTCGGATAGTATCATTCAGAAATATACAATGGTTACTGTAAGGACCAATCTTTAGAACCCATAGAGGTAAAGCCTATACAAGGATAATGAAAGGATAATATGCAGCCAAAGTTGTGTAGCTCCAGGGGGCACCGGGGCCCTATCGAAAGGCAAAAGAGAGAGAGAGAGAGAGAGAGAAAGAGAGAGAGATGGAGAGTGAGAGAGAGAGAGAAAGAGAGATAGAGAGAGAGATAGAGAAAGGAAGAGAAAAGAGGGGAAAAGAGAATAGAGAAGCAACGTGAAACGAACATGATTGGACCCTTTTTGATCCTTTTTACCCACTCAATGGCTTTCGGTCTTGATATCGAGATAAATAACGATGTTACAGAGCACAATTTAAACAGAAATTTACAAAAATTTCGATTGTATGTATGACAATGGATCTAGATATTTGAGTATATAATATTTCTGTATCTACAAAGTATAATGTTTGTCATTTTGGTAGGCTGCCCACGCAAACTTGCTAGACATGCCGGCTAAATTATCATTATCAGAGCTAAATTTTGCATCATTTTTCGGGTATAAGGCAATAGCAAGAGATAAGAGTGTAGTGTAGGATATTTGTTAAAAGGATGATGTATTATAATCAACCTGATAAAATGATTGGTTAAGAGCGGACGTGTGACCCACTGTTAACGGGTCATTAGCATTTTCTAGCATTTTAAAGGATAGTCCAGTTAATTATTGTCTGGATGTAACGCTGTAAATGATATGACAAAAACAATTATTATGAGATTAATAAAATGAAAACGATGTTTCTCACCATTTCTAACACGAGTTACACAAAACGCATTGGGGGTATTAGTATAAAGTATCCACCCATGATCCTCGGTACTTTTGCAATAGTTCGAACACCTTCGACTATCAAATCGACCGTCGTTCTGTTAAAAATGTACTATGTGTAATGTGTGCATAATTCACTGAATTATATCATTTATATGACAACATTTCAACGTGTACGGTCATCGACTGGACAAGCATGTATATACTTTAATCAATAAAGATAAAAAATATGACCCATTCGTCTAACTGTTGTGTCATTTCTTATTGTCACTGCGCCGATAGAATGTGATAACGTTAGATCATATTATTGAAATAAAACTTTGTCACTCGAAATGTTGTGTTTTTGTTTTAAACACAAAACATCTCACACTATGGATTGATAATTGGTGCTAGCCACCAAAATCACTGTACGTGCTGCGAAATATTACAATGCATAAAACACAAGAAAAGGTTTCCGTACAAAATTGTTGTTTAGAAAGCCTAAAATAAAGCCAGGATATCTTTTTCAAGAAGAGTGTCACAAAAGGGGACAATAAATACGGACTGTGTAGGAAGGTGATAGAAGAGGTAGGGTGGTAGTAGAAGAAGGGGGTTTAAGAAAATATAGGGTGGTAGAAGAGGGTGGTGATGGAAGAAGCAGGATGGTGATAGCAGAGGTAGGATGGTGATAGAGGTAAGATGGAAGCAGAGGTAGGCGGAGGTAGGACACAAGACAATACGTTACCCACACAGATGAGCTGAATGTGTTTTTAAATCAGATCCACAAACATTTCATGTCGGTTAACTATTCAATTTCGCATCAGAAATCACCCAAAGACCAAATAGATATAGTGGAAGGTCTGGGGAGGGGAAGGAGCAGGAGTGAACCAGTGTGTGTCTGTCCTTATTTCAAATTAATATTTGTATAATTTTATTTATATATGTTTCCCTCGATTGAACATCACATATTTTTTGAGTAAATCATTACTTTGAACTATGAAATTATTTTGTTGTTGTTTTGCTTTTATTTTGTTTTGTTTTTCTGTTTCGCTCGTCGGTGATTGTCTAGAGCCCCCCCATCCGTGTTTACACAAATCTTGGATCCAACCCTGTACTGGATTGCTACACGTAGTGAGCAGATGACGTACGTGATTGCTGGGTTTAGTATCCATCATCATGCCACTCGTAAGCCGAATCAGGGTAGCTCTCCGTTTTAGTTTGGGCTTAGATTGTCATCATTTTCTAATTAAGACACGTCACCATACATCCCATTGCTTGCAACGTTTGCAAAAAGGTAATTAACTATGTTCCCTGGTCTGTATGCTCTGTAAACCACTTTGGAAACACCGCCAAGGGAATAATACAGTGTTTTACTATACAAGTAGATATGTCAGCGCCCAGCGGACTCTTAAGAAGAAAAAAATGACGTCATTGTTTATGAATCTGCAACTGCGGCTGTTGGAGTGATGGTGATGACGGTGATGATGGTGATGATGATGATTGTTGTTGTGGTGGTGGTGGTGGTGCTGGTGGTGGTGACGATAATTGTGACAATTGGAATGACGATGATAATGATGTTAACAATAATCACATTATTAGGATATTGACAATGATTTTCAGTCATAATTATGAGGATGGTGTAGATGGTTCTGTTGCTGCTTATTGATGATGATGATGTCATAAATGCCATTAAATTTGATGCTATGAAGCAAATACCGTACAATATTTGACCGTATACGATAGCCACAAGGGGATATGCTCTAATGTTGCATGATATAGTATAGCCCCTGATAATTAATGTTTTCCATTATATTCATCCATCTGCCATCATAAAAATACATATGTAATCTCTCCTTTTCTAACACGCGTCTCTCTTATTACCTTAATTGGAGCAAACTGATAAAGAGAACAAGATTCTTTGTCGCAGATTCGTGGAAATGCCTTATCACCGTACCTATACGTGACAGATATAAGACCATGACATGATATATTGGTACATCATAATATGGGAACATAAAGCATGTCAGAAATGTGTGAGGTTCAGCGAAAGAAAAGACACCCACAGAGTACAGACGTCAGTTTAATATAATGATCAGCGATGCCTCATTTTCTACTCCTACCAGGGGCGTATAGATAACATGAGTTGGTGGGGGAGGGGGGGGGGGGTGCATACAACCTTTTAGATTTCAGCACAAGTCATGCAATGTCATGTTTTGAAGCTGAGTTGACAGATTAAATATGAAAAATGTAAGGAGCGGGGTAATCGATTATGACGTAATCATTAACCGGGCGGATGAAGAGAAGAGGCACTGGATTTGCGCGCCTTCGTCTCAGCCACCTCCGGCAAACTGCAATTTTATGAGTAATGAAACACCTCTAATGGCTCTATGGGAATAACGCTTTTATTCTTGTCATCAGATAATTTTAGTAAAAAAAGAAACCTAAGCTATTTTGTAAGAGGTATATATTTTTCCCCCTCCCCCGCCGCAAGAGATTTCGGGATCTGCCACTGTATTAGCCTACTGTAAAATTTATCTAGAAATGCTACACGCCCCGGCGGGAACTATCCGGTTCCCTTGCTCTCTGTCTCTGTCTCTGTCTCTGTCTCTGTCTCTCTGTTCTATCTCTCAGTCGAAACATTTTGATTCGTCAGAAAAATATCACCTTTGTGACCCCCTCCCCCCCCCGCCCCCCCCCCCCCCGCCCCCCACCCCACCCCACCTCACCCCCCCCCCCCATGATAAAATTTTGTACCCGCTGTCGTTGATACCCGCCCCGATGATTCTTATTTATCAAGTCTGTTGATAATCACCTGTCTGCTGCCATCTATCATTAATGTTCGTTGCACTCTGATGATAAGCGACATGGTGCCTAGATGATGATATATGGCTTCTGCCCGGTGCACACGAGGCGTCATTTAGATTGCGTTATTACCTACGCTTCTTAATTGCTAAGAAAGCATAAAATTAGTTTGCTTAAAATTAACCGACCAGGAGACTGATGGCTTTAATTAACTCCCTTTGGGACCTGGTAATGAAGAATAATGTCCTATAAGTATTACAAAGGGCTCGAGTGCATTAATTCAGTATCGAACCAGGGATCTCCTTTACGAGACCATTACAGATTATTGCTTTATCACTGAGCCATTACACCTCCTCTTTGAAATCGCGCTAATTAGGCTTGCATACATCAGGGAGATGTGAGTTTCTTTCTACATACATTGTAAAGTCAACTTTAACCATACTGCGCCAGTCGCTGACACAGTGCCACGTCAGTGAAGTACATTTTATTGAAGAAGGCCTGCGTCAGCGACTGGCGTGGCAATTTGTGTAGTGATTTCTATTTTCCCAGTAGTTTTACATACTTTTTCAAAAATTCATAACTTTCTTATTAGTTATCCGATTTTGGTCATACTTTTTTGATTGGTTTGTCTGAGTTATTTTTGGAGTGGACTTGGACTTTAACGCAATCGAATCGACGCACCATGTGCAATGGGCAATTGAGAATTTCGAGTATCAAGAATTGAAATGCATTTAAGTGAACATTTGGATTGAAATATTTCTTAATGAATAATAATGATGAAAAATAATATGCTCAGACTGTAGTAGAACTTGAGTACACCAACCGACAGAATATACACATTCTCGTCATAGGTCTATCAGTGTAGCATACGTATGCAACTGAATTGAAACCTCATGACCAAAAGGACATTATATTACTTACATGTACATGTATAATATGGATGATGCTGAAATTACCTTTTTTTTAAAGGAAGTTATTCGTCTAAGCACACAGGAAATCGACGGGAAATAATGAAAACTTTGTTCGAACGAAGACATTTTATGCAACTCTACAGGATATTCTTTTCCATCCTTCTGTAAACATGACACGGTGTATCTAGCAACTCTCTTAAAGAACACTATTTCAAGGATCACTCTTGTGTATAAAGCTTTGGCAGAATGATAGATCATGACCACACACATGCAAAGTAAATAGACCAACAATATTTGTCCTCAAACAATGTATGGCTGCCCTGAATTACAAGAACCATGCTAGGTAAGACGTGAATGACTGTAAATAATCATTGACAAAGAGAAGGGGTGTAAGCATGTCCGTGTGTGGGTGTTTAATGAGGGGAGGGGTAGGGTGATCGGCGGATTTGAAAATCTAGGAATTTATTTTTTAATTAGTGTTTATAATATCTACATGTATATAGATACTCACACAAACATTATGCATTTATATATACATATATATCTATATAGCCTATGCATAATATGTATATAATTGTATAGCATATCAAACACACAGGTACATGAATATAATATATATATATATATAATGTTTGTGTGAGTATCTATAGTTATAGTTATATATATATATTATATATATATAACTATGCTCTGTATGATTTTGATAAAGGTCATACAACCTTACCTGGCACGCCTTTTGACTGGCTTGTTGTAAAATATTAATACCTTATTTTTTAGAAAGGCAAATACGCTCTAATTGAATGTATTTCCCTTATATTCTATGCGGTATCATCATGTTATACCTGGGCTGCCATATGCCTACCCAGAACACTTTCAGAAGCTAATGATACGAACGCCTCCGTGAGAAAATATTTTTGAGATACAGATGGGGATGTTTTGATAGCGTCTCTGCGGAGGAAAGTATGTTGATCCAGAATATATATATCCATCTAGCCATGATGACTGATTGGCAGACAGATTGGATTAATACACTCAGCCAACCTCCGAACGCCCCTGTGTGTGGAATACACGGCACCTAGGCTGTGTGGAGCACAGAGTAACGATATGATAGACAAAATGTAAGTGGAGTTCAGACGAAGGTCGGGGTGATGAATGATAAAAGGGAATATCAATTCAATTCAATTCATTTTTTTGTATTCATCCAAATTCACAAGAATACATGGACATTTTTGGGGGTCACACATTGTACAAATACATAATATATATCTGAGAAACTACGGTTGTGTTTATAATCATAGAAGAACCATCAAAATAAAAGATAGACAAGATAGAAATATTCTGATATTCTAGTATTACACACTGAAAAAAAGATATACAAATTCAAATTCAAATTCAAACTTTATTGATTTCAATCCAAATAGATAGGATCAATCTCAATTTTTTATACATTGGATAACAAATTTCAAAATTATAGTGTAACATAGATAATTGAGTAAAGACAACAATAACCAAGAATGACACAAAATAATTAAGATACTACTGCATTTCTCATCTGAAATATAACACACGGATGAAAATAAATAAATATTACTCGTAATACTTTTTACAGTGAGCCTGGTAAGACAATAAATAATGCTTTTTACAATACTAAATTACATCGAGATTAATAATAATGGTAAAAAAACAATCAACGATCTACTAATTTCGTATATGGTCGTCTTTCTATACAAAGACGGAAGAGTTGAGGGGGCGGGGGGGGGGGGGGGGGTACTGTATAACATTTTGGGTCATGCATGAAGTGAAATTTTGAAATTTAGAAATTATTACTTTTTACCCAGCTTTATAAGGCACATTATTTTCACCCAAACTGTATTGCCGTTCTTAACGAATCCGTATCTGAAAATAAGTAATTGTATGCTTTCCAATCCCCTGCAATTCTAGAAAATAGTGTGAATAAAGTTTTTTTCTTCCTAAAAACGAACTTTTCAAGTCGGATACTTTCTTTAAAAAGGTGAAATCCCCCCCCTTTTTTTTCTCCAAGGAGAGAGGGGATGTAACGAGGGATACGGTGACCTGAAATTTAAACTAAAAATAATTTGGAATGGTGTGAAAAGCCAATATAAATCAAAATTGTTTAACATCATAATGGTGAATCGCAAATCATTATGCAATCTTCTCATTGTACATGTATCTGTAGCACATTAAAGGTTAACAATAATTATGCAACAGTTGACAAATTATGCTACCAACTTGGCCTAAGTCCGTCTGTACATGAATTAGCTGCATCCGATATGTTCAAGTCCTTTATCATATAACAAGGACATCGAGTCATCTATCAGTAGACAGATATGTTGCTATCTTCCTGAGATAGCAGTAGCCATGTTAATTATTCCAATACCAATTCATCAAAAGCCCCATGTTGGATTTCTCCTTATTTTCTTAGCTATATACTCACAAATTAGAGTACAAGGCCTATTATTGTAAAAACATGCCTGAATATTGGAAATAGGCTTTCCCTTTGAATTTCAAAGACGCCATGCAAAGTGCTCTCTAGATAATGCATGCAGTCCCTGGATTGATCAGGATGGGAGAAGATAATGTACAGGCACATCAGAGTAGATACTTGTATGAATTAGTCTCTAAAAAGAGACCCTTGAAATAATGATACCAATATACCGGGGTTGACTCATATTAGTGTATAAACTGATCCCTGAGGACCCTGTAAGCATATCAATTCCCCGGCTTTAGTCCAGCTACCACGATAAGGTGCTCAATCGTTCAAGGAGCCCCCCCCCCCTCATTCAATTCACCTGGGTGAGGAGTGGCAAACGTAGATTATTGTCTTGCCGAAGAACGTCCTGCACGTTGCATTACTATGGGACCTCGATTGCATAGCAACATTACTAACATGGTTTGCTGAAAATGAGATTTGTTTCCCCCCACAAAATACATAGGACCTACACACTGTTTTTAAAAAACAAGGTCAAAATACTTTCGAAAAATCAACGTCAGTCAATGTCAATGGCCTCATCCTTCACCTAATGTCCGAATATTATTATGAAGTATTACGGAATCCGACCCTGGTTGGATATACAATAGGGTATACAACTTGCCCGAGTTAAGTTCTTGAAGGTCTTTGTGATCGTGTGTAAATGTCATGTGATATAATTAGAACGGACAAACATACATTTTGTTTTGAAAGACATACCACGGGCATATATACACATAGACAGCTCATGTAGGTGAGTGTGTAGCTGTGTGCGTGTACGCGCGTGTGGGTGTGTGCGTAGGGGGGAGGGGGTGGTCAGCAAAAGAGCTAACAATAATAGTGACACAAAGGAAGGGATCTAACTTGTTCATCACCATGCACTCTCATTCGTCTTCATCGATACAGCTTATTCCTCCCCCTCCATCTTAACTTACTAGTGATTTAGGGTCTGTGTGTGTGTGTGTGTGGGGGGGGGGGGGTGCCACATCCTAGAGCAACGCAACTGTTAGTGTAACTAACAGTGTCCAGTAATATATGCATGTACTACGTTATGCCAGACATAGCATTACATAGAGGGACATGTAAATTCTGCATGAAGTCTTGGCATGCATGCTGTTAACTTCGTTAGCCTTGATAAAACAATTGCATGCACAGTGATTGATTGAGGAATGTTATTAATTCAAACAAAACAATTGTATGCTGGTACCAACATTAACTACAACTTCTAGATTGACATCGACACATCAAGACATATAGAGATGTTGTGGTCCAGTGGATAAGTCTCCGGACTGCGCACCACACGGTACGGGGTTCGAGTCCCTGTCGCAGCACTAATGTCCTTGGGCATGACATTAATCTACAATTTATTGCCACACTCCACACTGGGAGATTAAAGACCTGAACCACACATGGGATACAATCCAAAGACTGGCCCAGGATCGCAAGGAGTGGAAGACTTTTGTTGCTGCCCTATGTGCCAGGAGGCATAATGGGCAGTAAGTAAGTAAGCCACACTCCACCCAGGTAAGGTGACTGGGTATCTGGCAGGAATTGGTTCCTTCCTTGAAATGCTTAAAGGTAATACAAAGTTTTGGGAAATTCGGGAAATTGGGTGGATACTTATTTTTTACAATTTTGATATATTTGGATGCCCCTGTGGATGTATTATAAGCACTAGAAATTTTTTCCCCTAAAACACTTCTGCTTTCGAGAAAAATTGACTACAAAAATTTACCGGTGCTCCCGGTAAATTTTTGATAAATTCCAAATAGCGCCTACGGCCGTACAATGGTAGCTATAACCATGAAAATCTCAGAATATGTAGTTGTGATATATAATTTCCAAACGGGAATAGCTAATTGGTCGATTTTAGTCAAGAAGCATTGTTTTATAGCTTAATTAATATTTTGACCTTGAGAGGAAGCTATACAACTTAAAGCGTGTATTATTTACAATTTCATAACTTTAGACTCGATTTCAACCGCGACAACGATCACTGAATATTGTAGGATCGCATATGCTCCCAATATGTTCATTTGAACCAAATTCATGACCCCATACCAAAACTTTGTATTACCTTTCAGCCAGGGTAATCATAATGTACCAGACGTGAGCGCTTTCCAAGACTCTAGTTGTATTCCACGGCGTGTAGTCATGTCGATTAATACTATTCTGGATAAGATATAAAAAGAATAACTATAAGAATGGCTGAATATAAAACTTACTCTTTAGTGACAGATTTAGCATTGACTGGATTTATGCGAATCCCCCCCCCCAATATTCTCTCTATTTTTCTTTACCCCCCCCCCCCCTTCTTCTCCACCAGGGGCGTCACTAGAGGGCGGGGTTGTTGATAAGTGCAACTGATTGTCGATTTTTTTTTTTAATTTTAAAATATTTTTGTTATAGCCTTTGGGTTTTCTTAGCCCCTTCGACTTTAGTGATGTGCAATTTTGTTTACTACCATTTTTTTCTTAATGAGAGCTTGGACTGACCCCCCCTCCCTCCCTTCTCCCCCTCCCCCGTTCATGTTTTAGCGAAGAAACTTCTGCTTACGCCACCTTGCTCTCTCCCTCACACATCCAAACCACACTCGCGTTTGTCTCACTCTGCTATGTAATGTCTGAGTGGTAGACTACTCATAACAGTGTATGGCTCATCTATTACATGAGGAGTGAAATAAATCGCGAGCTCCGTCAAGTCACGAATTGCGTATTTTGTCTCGCCAATCGAGTTAGCTTCAGTTTCCCATGCCATACGCACCGCCAGAGCGCAGGCAAGGTAGATCATCGCGCCGTACTAAACTGACCTGGTGAAGCGGGCCAGGGACGAACGCGATCGCCTGCCAGCAACGCACATCTCATTCCTCACTCAAAATTGAATTAAATTAAATTTTGGAGGGTATGGGTTGATAAACCGTGCGTAGATGGTTGTTGACAGTGTAGCAATATACCATGTAGGCGGAAATGATGGTAAAGCTATGTGAGGAAAGCTTATGATGGATATACACGCATTCCTGATGAAAAGGTAAGTTATCTTGCGTTGTTTTTGTGGGCTAGTGTGTGTCTGAAGATGTGCGATGTCGCCTCAGCATTACAGATACAGTGCGATGTGAAGACGTATATCTTGACAAGATGTTTGAGTAGGGACCGAGTTTGGTATACGGTATGTATGCGGTATCATAATCTTCTGTGTGTATGAGAAGCAGTTACTGGAAGTAGACAGATCTCCCTGCTGGTAGTTTGCCTATATCATGTATCTGTAATACCAGTTGGCTTCCGTCTCTATACTGACTTTATCATGAAACCAGGGAAAAGGCTGTTCACCTTTGCCCATTGTTATCATTCCTACAAAATATTGTGCTAACAGTGTTAAGAGCATGCGTTTGGTATTTTCGTGACGATTTTATTTACCCTGTAATGTGACATAAAATCCCGGCACGGAGATTTAGTTGAATTTTATAACAATCATCAATCAACGTAATCATTATTTCTGTTTTAATCATTACCATTCATATAACTATTGTTATTAATATTTTCAACATTATTGTTATTATCATTTCATCATTCTTATTATCATTGTTATTTTGAATATTTTAGTGTTATTATTATATCTATTTTTTCTTATCATTATTATTGTAATTATTATTACTATTATGACTATTACTATTATCCTTATGAATATTGTTATTATAATTTTATCTATTTCATTAATTCATATTCTTATGATAGTTGGAAAAGAAGAGAGTCCTCAATTCCATAGTCAATCAACATATATTAAAAAAACTTCATTAAATCAAAATATAATTATGTTAATTCAATCGATTTGCATATGAACAAAATCTTAATTAAAAGTATGTAGGTCTATGAACTTGATTTGATTAAAACATCTTCATACCATACAATAGAAAATAAATACAGCACAAAACATGTGAACAGAAATGTTTTTGACCTTTAGAAACATATAGTTGGCAGTATTTTATCGCGGTATTTTTCAATGAATATAAATTATTAGCTTTATATTCTCTTCACGTCAGTGTATTTCCTCCATTACACGCTCAGTCTGTATTTGGGTTATGTGTGATAAGCGTAGAGTCTTATTGAATTAATTTTATTCTCAATTGTGTGGTCATCGATTTTCTGACCTCATTTCCATGCTCCAAAGGGCATTTTACACCGTAACAAAGCCCAGTTTTTATCACACTACCAAGTGTGTATTTATCATTTTCAGAACTGAAGCTATAACGGGATTGAGGGCAAGCCACTAATATATGCCACTCACTCACACACACTCTCTTACCCGCACAAATACATAAAGTATTATATATATATTCATATGTATATGTTATTGATTTGTAAATTGTCTTTAAAGTGGAAATAATTGAATTGTATTGAGTAAAATATACCCTGCAATCATATTTTCTTTTGCTAGTGTAAATTATTGTTTGCTGTTGATCAGTTATTCCTAATCTGGAGTACTGATGTAGTCTCTCTCTCTTCATAATGGTTAGTTCATCTAGTTAGTTCTCTTAAAGTGACTTGGTAACATTGTTGAACGTTGATGAAAACATTGCCTAATTTTTGTATAAAATGTTACTTACTATATTCCTTCTACTGTACTAATCCTCTGACATGCAAAAAATCCTGAAAAAAATTCTCAAACCACGAAGACATCTATGGTTTTCTTTGAAGGAGACGATGTATGACACCCTCTAACCATAGTCTATGCTCTAACAGTGATTAACAGTAAATTCTCCAAATCATTTTTGAATTTTCTCAACCGTTTTTCCATGAAAAAAGACATAAAACAGGCTATAAAAAATCTGTCAACAGTATGTCTGGAATGGAATGTAGAGCCATTTTATTGCTTTGTGAAGATTTCCATTCACCTAAAATGTAATTAAATTGTAATAATATAATTGGGAGAATTAAGGAATCGATCAGATCAGTTTTTCCCAATTTGTACCATGTTTTCACTCAAATTTTCAGATTATCTTTAATTGTACCTCTAGCATTGAAGTCACTACCTTAGCACCACTATCGCTCATCTGAACAATGTTACCAAGTCCCTTTATTAAAAGAAAATTATACTTTGTTTTCGAATTTCAGAGACAGAGATAAACATGTGTAAATAGGAAAATCTGATAATGGCATTAGTAACTGTGCCAGATATTTTTGCTGCATATAATTCTGCTCAGTCAACGACTAGTTTATATTTTTCATTGTACTGTTTTGCGACCCTTCCCTGTACCTTTCTGTAAATAAATAGAGGAAAAATTTCAATAGAGACTTGAAAATTAAAAATTGCCCTTACAAGACTCTAACTTAAATGTGCTGCTCAGTTCCCTTATTATTGTACTATAACTGCATAATATCATTGTGCCAAAAATGCCATACTCTGTTCTGATCTATAAATTCACGACCGGTTGTTTACCTTGTAAACAGACCATGTTTACTGTAAAGCACTCTGAATTGCTTGTTATCAGGATATTCACGCCTTTCTGCGAGCAGTATAAGTGCCCCCTCAAGATTGTCCTCATAAAAATCACGCCTTTATAACCGTTTAAGTTAAAGGTAGACTACTGGTCACTCGAGATTATTGTAAAAGAAGCTTTTAAAGCCCCATTGTACTACTTGTAGCTACTTGCTCCCTCTATATAGAAAACAATGCCTGAGCGGTGACCATTGGTCCCCTACGATCCTCTTTTTCTTATGTTAATTGAGTGCTGAGTTGATGAGATAGCCACCTGTCAGTGACCACGCTGTGTGGTCTAATCCCTCCTGGCCAAACTAATACAGACGGCCTTTAAGAAAGGTTTGCAAAGGTTGAATTAGGCAAAGTTATGTCCTGAAGTATGCTAAAATTATGTTTATTTGCTTTTTTTCTTCTTGAATTACTTGGTAGATATGCCTACAATAATTTTTATACCATATTTCTCACAATAATATTGCGCCGCAGGAGGGTCATTTTGACATGGTGCAATAATGTTCACTACTATAAGTGTGTTTAAAAGGGTTAGAATATAGAATCGTCCAAATGGTATTTTTTTTTACCTCATTCTTAACATTGCTGCTATGATGATTGGACTTAAAGGGACACTATTACTGGGTGTGTGTGTGTGTGTGGGGGGGGGGATACTCCACGTGCCCCCTACTCTGCAGCAAAAGAGGCCGAAATATCACCTTTTGGGGGAGGAGTGGGGGTGTATTGGATATTTCGGACTTACCCCTTCCCCCTTCACCTGCCAAAGAATCCTGGATTCACCGCTGTCATGAACCACCCTTTTCCTTGTTCTCTTTCGTTTCTTTAGGCGGTAACTAATCAAATAAAATGTACCATCCTTGTTTAACATTTGTGTTATATTGCCTACACTAAATCAATAGAGATGCCCAATCAACTGTTAACATCTTTCTGTTCACAGGAGTTTATATAAAAAAGGAATTCCGTATTGCGACACTTTTGTCACCTGATCAATAATTCCATGGATTATTATCCGGTTCACACATTCTTATCAATCAAATGACACGGCTATGACGACTAATTCATTCATGGTAGGTATGGGTGAAAAGCTATTATGTTGGTGCATCATTATACCCAAGGTACACCAACAGACCGAAAACAGACCGACCATAGCAATTACTTTCCCGAATGGCGGGAAATCATTAGATGCGGAGTCGGTATGGAGTCGGTTTGTCGTTGTGGCTGAGGTAGTACTGTTTAATACATGTACATTCTATTGATTTGTTGAAAAACAATTGAAATAATGAAACACTATAGAGTGAACTCTCCAGAAAACTGCAAGAAAGAAATACATAATCTTTTCATTTGAGAAAATACCAATATAGCATAATTTAATTTTAAGTTTATAGTTATGTATTTCACAATTCTTTCAATTTAAGAGACATGCATTTTTGTTTGTTTTCTCTTCTAGACGAGATAATCACTACTACTATGAGTCCTGAACTGACCAAGGAAGGCGGAAATCATTCCTGCACCTAGACACTACATAGAACAACGCTTCCAGAGACCGTTCAAGATGTCACGACTGGTTCTAGCGTGGCTGGTAGTGGCAAGTAGCTGTACCTCTCTTTTCTTCATCGTGGCAGCCGACGCTTCTGTGGATGATTCTAATCTCGTTGTAGAGACAACCTCTGGAAGAGTTCGGGGTGCTAGAAAGACAATTCTTGGGAAAGAAGTGAATAAATATCTTGGTATACCTTATGGCGAACCTCCAACAGGCAGTCGGCGTTTTAAGAAGTCTGTCAACAAGACTCGCTGGGATGGCATCTTTGACGCGTCCAACTATGGTTATGCTTGCTATCAAGTCGTGGACACAACATACCCTGGATTTCCGGGGGCAGAAATGTGGAATCCGAACGTGAATATGAGCGAGGACTGTCTTAATCTGAACATCTGGGTACCGACAGACAGTCGGAATGAGTCCTTAGCTGTCATGGTGTGGATATTCGGCGGAGGTTTCTTCGCGGGTTCTGCTTCGCTTGGTGTGTACAACGGAGAGGTTCTAAGCACGACTGAAAATGTAATTGTAGTGACGATAAATTATCGAGTTACGAACCTGGGTTTCTTGGCTATAGGTGGCTCTGACAATATTCCAGGAAACGCTGGGCTGTTCGATCAGGCTCTGGCCCTCTCTTGGATTCAAGACAACATTGTGCATTTCGGAGGTGATCCTTCACAAGTGACATTGTTTGGTGAAAGTGCAGGAGCTGTTAGCACCAACTTGCACATGTTCTCTCCCATGACCAAAGACATGTTCGCACGTATCATTCTGCAGAGTGGCTCTTCGTTCGCTCCTTGGTGTGTCATCACAGCAGAAGAGGCATTACGCAGAGGACTGCTTCTTGCGGAAGGTACCGGATGCTACACACCGCTTGGATATCAACCTGACGCTGAAGAGATCAATGACATAACTCTCTGCCTCCAGAGAGTTCCTCCAGAACTCCTCATCGCTAACGAGTTCGTGGTGTCAGGGACGTACATTTTCCCATTCGTGCCGGTGGTCGACGGTGAGTTCCTGACGGAGACACCGACTTCAGCTAGGATGAGAGGATCTTTCAAGGAAGCCGATGTCCTCTTGGGGACCAACAGCAATGAAGGATCATTCTTCATGGTCTATGACCTTCCGGAATATTACGACAAGGACACAGAGAGCCTGATCAACAGGACTCAATTCTTTGAGCTGATTCCTCATCTTTTACCTGAAATGAACGAATTTGGACGAGATGCTATCGCGTTCCAGTACACCGATTGGCTTGAGCCAGACAATCCTGTCTTGTTGAGGGATGCCACAGAGCATTATGTTGGCGACTACAATATTATCTGTCCTGTTCATGATTTCGGAAGATATCATGCAAGTTCAGGTAACAAGGTAAGAAATAAGAGTTGTTAGTTGTTTTTTTGTTATGGAATAAGTTATTTGTTTTTGTTATGGAATTATACAGATTTTCTTTTTCAACAGAAGCGTCGCTAGAGAGAGAGAGCGAAAGATAAGCAGAGAGAGAGAGAGAGAGATGAGAAAATGACTCTGTGAATCTTGATAACGACTGCGTCATATCCAAGACATATCTCGACCATTATCTTTTCTCCCAGGTCTACGCATATCATTTCGACCAGCGTGCAGCAAACAACATGTGGGGCGAATGGATGGGTGTAATGCATGGGGACGAGATAACCTTCGCCTTCGGTCAGCCGCTTCGACCCGAACTCGGCTTTTCCGACGGCGACCGAAGATTGAGTCAGAGGATGATGACACTATGGGCGAACTTCGCCAAGACAGGGTAAGCAATGCACGTTCTTATGAATTTGATTGAAGTATAGCTTAGAGTTTTACACCAACATATAAACGTAAACCTCCACAACCGCCCTCAGTATACCTTGATGAATTACTCTTACAACACCTAACAGTTATTGATACGCACCTGTCTCTTTCATTTCACTGATTTGACTTAATATAGATAGACATTGCATTGTGCGTAAGGCAGTGGCGGTAGTACAGGAGATGAGGGCTCCTATATTGCATTGCAGCCCCCCCCCCCCCATCATTAAAATAAAAAAATGTCACCATCGAGCTAGGGTCGTGGTTGATAAGTCTTTGAGTTGAAAAACAATTTCTTTTTCAACATTCGTTGTATTTATTCATTTAATCTCAAAATATTTTCACAAAAATCTGTACCATACTTCAGATGAGCATAACGAAGAATGTTATTATCATGTATTGGTAAGTGGTTTTATACATTGGAACCTTGACACAACGAGGCACCCAATACAACAAGGCAATTTCGCCGGCCTGAATCCTTACACCTCACTGCCACTCAGTTGAAAAGCAATGTTATGATTGAAAACGAGAGGTTACTAATTGAAGAGGGGCGGTGTCCAAGGAGATGGGGGCTAGAATGATGATAATCTTGAAGCTTAAAGACCGTCAATACTACTGGGCCAGAAAGGATTAGACCACACAGCGAGGTCACTGACAGGTGGCTATCTCATTAACTCAGCTCTCAACTAACATAAGAAAAAGAGGATCATGGGGGACCAACAGGCACCGATTGGGGAAGTTTTCTATATAGAGGGAGCAAGTAGCTACAAGTAGGACAGTGGGGCTTAAAGAGTTTGGAAGATTGAGAGAAAATTATTTCTACATCGTCCAGGTCCTATTTCACAAAACTTGTCATCAGTGACGAATGAAATTTCTTGTAATATAAGCTACTGAAATCCTTGCTTCTGATTGGTTATCAGCAGATTTATCACAGATTTTTGACACTTGTCATTGAAAAAAGGCTTTGTGAAACGGATCCCAGGTCTACCCTTAAACATTAAAACATAATGCTTCAATATGGTATACGCAGATGGAGATAGTAATGATCACGTTGTTCCTTTCCAACTGAGACTATTGCGTTCGGATGATTGGTAGACCGCATATATATGCCTGTAAAGAAATAGCACGGTGATGATCAAAATGATTTTCATCGCGTCATGTCCTGATTAATATTAATATTAGGCGTTCGGGAGGATTGGCAAGGACATACGGAGGTACGGACTCGTTATGCCCGAAGCGAAATAATGCATCCACAGTGAAAATGGTTGTGTAATGTCCTGCGAAGATGGATGCGGGGCTATAATGTTCACATTGTCTTGTTATTCCTCAGCCTTAGGCGAAATAATGAGTCTCCGGTGAAATTGATTTTCATGAGTCTCATAAATTATTGTCTCATTGACTCGTTATGTTTGTAGATGAATAGAGCATTGACATTGAAAATGATGTTCACTTTCTTCTACATGTTCTGCGTAAAGCGTACATTCTGCGTTCGAGAAAATGGATAAGGAAATAATTTACGCATGGTTATGCATGAAGCGAAATTGATACTGCGGTGACGGTCATAATGATTTTCATATTGTCATCTCCTGCATAATGCTTTTGTATTGATCTGAACACTATGCCGTCGGGAGGTTGAATCGGGAAATAAATTTCACATTGTCTTTTCATGCTACAGCCTGAAGAGAAATAAAGCGTTCACGGTAAAAAAAATGGATAATGATGATTTGCACAATCTCCCGTACCGTTATGCCGCCTTAAAGTGGCTCGGTAACAGGCGTTGAAGGTTCATTAAAAAAATTGCTTAATTTTTGTATGAAATGTTACTTATTATCTTCATTCTACTGTACTAATCCTCTTACATGCATAACAATCCTGAAAAATTCTCAAACCACAAAGATATTAATGTTTTCTGACGTCACTGTGCAACACCCTCTAACAGTGATTGACAGTAAATTCTCCCAACAACATTTGAATTTTCCCTACCGTTTTTCTTGGAAAATCAGACAAAAGACAGGCTTTTTGAAACCTTTCAACACTTAAATGTCTGGAATTGTACATAAAGCCAATTCATTGCTTTGTGGCGATTTACATTCACCTAAAATGTAATTTAATTGTAATAATATAGTTGGGAGAATTAAGAAATCGATCATATCAGTTTTTCCCAATTGTTATTGTTAAGAATGGTCCGTTTTGCACTCGAACTTTCAGATTATCTGTACATCTAGCATTGAAGTCACTATCTTAGCATCATTTCCCCTCATCTGAACAATGTGACCAACTCCCTTTAAGCTAAAATGCTTTTAAATTATTTTCATATTATTTTGTTCTTTCTCCATGCATGGAGCATCATAATGCGTTCGAGAAAGAAAAAAAATCGGTTGGGAAATTGATTTACATAGTTTCATGTTCAGTGACTGAAGCTAAATTATCTGTCAGAGGGAATAAAGACGATGAAAATGATTTCCATATCGCCTCATCGTTTTTGTATGAGGCTATACACAAACTGCGTTGAGGAGGATGAATGGGGAAATGATTTACACGTTAGAGCCTGTGGCGAAAATAATTGTCGACAGTGAAAATATCTTTCAGAATTATCCTATTCTGCGTGACACCACGTAATACATCGTGTAGGGATTGCATGTAGAAAATGATTGACACAGTGTCCTGAAGCTGAATCATGTGTCAAAAAGGGATAGAGACGGTGAAAATGATTTTCACATTATATCATTTTCCTTGACGGTATGCGCTACATAATTTATTCGGGGGATGGATGAGGAAAATAATGTATTCATTGTCTCGTTCCGACTAAACCTAATTTGATTGACTCGTTTCCATAGTGATCCGAATGGAGCGGAGGAGAGTGACGACATCCCCGCTGATGATGACTGGTTATTGTTCGATCAGGATAATCAAAATGTGTATTTATTGAAGGATACGACAGTGGACAACGCCGAAACGTATATATGGAACCGAGCAAACTACTGCGCGTTCTGGTCGGAGTATGTTCCATTCCTCAACACACAAACAGGTGAGTGATATTGTATTTAAATTCTATTCACAGTGAATGAAAGGAAGGGAAAAAATGAAGAAAAAGCAACAACAAATTTTTTTTTTTTTTTTAATTATTTTTTTTAATGAAAAAAAAAGAAAGAAAAAAAATAAAATTATAATATAGGTTAGTTGGGTGAGAGATTTTAGTGTGAGGCATTAAAAGAGACACAGTCACAGTTCTTTACATGTAGTAGTCATGGATGCTAGTACATGTAGTCCACATTTTGGATTTCCAGGATAGGTAATTATATGGAAGACCCAGGCTAGACACTTGTTTATATGCCATGGATAGCATCTCATGGAGAGGTTCTTTTCGTCACTCTCTCTCTCTCTCTCTCTCTCTCTCTCTCTCTCTCTCCCTCTTCCGCATCTTATCCGTATCTCTCCAAATGAGCTCCTTCTACCTCCTTGAACTATCTATTCCATATTGTCTCCTGAATATATATATTTCCTCATTATGCCTGATATGTTTTTCTGAGTGTTTGTATTTCTTTCCCGCTCTTCACAAATCTCTCTTCCTCTCTCTGGCGGTCTATGTTTGTATTCGTCTCTGTCTCTGTCTCTGTCTGTTCGTCTCTGTCTCTCTCTCGCTCCCCCTTTACCCCCTTTTTCTCTCTTCCATATCTCTGTCTCTTCTTTTTAAAATCTTTGTCTGTGCTCTTGACTCTCTTTCTCTTCTCTCCCCATCTGTTTTTAACCATCTAAAAGCCTCCCTCTTCTCTTTTTGTATTCACTTGCTCTCTTTCCTGTCTATCTGCCTGCTCCCCGATCTCTCTCTCTCTTTCTCTCTCTCTCCCCTCTATCTCCTCATCTCCATGCATATATCCCTCTGTGTCGTTGAGTGATCGGAGAGAGGCAGAGTGACTTTTCGAAGAGGCCACTTAAAGGACCCAGGGCGTCTTGTTTACACGATCCCGGGAACCATGAGCACAGTACAATGCTTCTTGCATGCACCAAGGCGTATATTGTCAAGGATCCTCATGTTCTGTCCTTTTCTGACCTCGCATGCCCAGAAGAAGAATCAGGGGAGAGGGTCCCAGGGTAGAGGATGCCACGACAAAGAAGTGCCCCTCACAAGGGAGAAAAGGGCACCCTCCCTGATATTATTTGCATGTTTTTGGTTCTTTCGTTCCTTCTACATCAGCTGATGTGTGTGTGCGTGCTGCATGATAGAGTATTTCCATCCTTATACCCATCGTGAAAATATAATGCCAAATAAATGACATCATGAAAATATAATGACAAATGACAAATACAATTCTGATTAATGTCTTCGGATAAAGATTTTGAATGCAAAGAGAATCAATGATTTGAATGGTTTATATATAATTTTGAAGCACTCATATTTCGAATTATTGTTCCAATATTGTTTCTATTTCCAATATTACTTCAGTACGTTCTATCAAAGAAAATACGTTATTCATTACTCCTCAATATAATGCAATGGAGGTATATTTTAATTTGTATGACATAATATTTTCATTCTGATCTTATCATTCTTGAACTTGGTGAGTTATTTACGTTGACTATCAGTTGTTGTTTGCTGGCTTGCTCGGCTGAACTGTACCGGCAACATCAAATTGGGTTCAAAATTACAGACTAGTTGTTTTGACTCTATTGACATGCCTCCGTCTTTACCGTAGACGGCAGCATAACAGTTGCTGTAATTTTAATGATCAACCCAACGTAGTATTTTGAGTTAAGTTTTCAACATTGTCCAGTTTTTAATATCTCTTTAGTCCGAGCTTGCGAAAAGTGTACGTAAAGTTGTCAGGATATATAACATCTATACCTGAATACATGTACTTCATATTACACTAATTAGTAAATGTTATATATATATATACATAATGTGATGTATAGAAAATAATTACAAATTGTTTGGTGGAAAGTTGGAAACCCTGAAAACGTATATTTGATTATTGTTTCTTGCAGCAAACATTGACGAATCAGAGCGCCAATGGAAGGAGGATTTCTACCAGTGGAGCACGAAGTATATGGTCGATTGGAAGGCCGAATTCAATCATTATCTTTACAACAAGGAGTCTGGATGCCCCAACGAGGCTTACACAGCTAACGAAACACCATAATAAAGGTATAACCCCATCCCCCGGGGCCCGGGGTATTCACTCTATCACTGGCTGGTCCGGGATCCCAATATGACCTCTTGATTCACCGGTAAACGAGTACGTTTTGTAAAAGATAAAATCCCCTCTCGTTTTTTGAATATGCAAACTTCCCCGAGGAAAATGTGAATAAAAAAAACATCCCTATTTATACATTATGGGGAGGCTCCTTGATAAAACTCAGAAACTTGCAAGGAGGATGTTTGGACGAACATGAACAAATATAATATATTCATCTTTATTACGGATGTTTTTAGCCCAAAGAATCTTTTTACTATTACTGTCAGTAGACATATAATAAGTAAAATTCAACAACAACAACAAACGAACACAAAAACGCACAAAAAAAAGAAGAAAACCTAAACTTCTTGAAAATTGGAACAGTCTCAGATAATACATTTTCTTAAGGAGTGAAGGGCCTATGAAGAGAGCATTGTTTATAGACTGCCGTCTACTAGAAACGTTGTCATCGTACCTTGTGGTATAGAATCTCAGAGTATCAGCTTCTTTTGTATGTTTTCAATTTTATATATCTCCTATTCCTCTTATTATTATGTTTGTTTTTCACATTTTCTATTTTCGGAATTAGTAGTGAATAGTAAAGTGTAATTTGAAATTATATGACCAATTTCAAGCAGCTATTAAGCGGAAGGGGGGGGGGGGGGGTGGCAGGGATACTTAACATGGAATATATTGTTGAAAAGGTATAGGGAAAAGTGGATCAGATTCGATATCAACTTGATCCATTCGAAAATATATCAGAAAAAAAGAATGTATCAGAATAACCAAATTGCCGCTATTATTTTGCTATTTTGCAATACGCTAATTTTGGTCACAGTTCTGGAAATGATGAAAGAAGTCGATCTTTTCTTTTGCTACGAGTAAACAGTGTTTATTTAACATAAAGACAGTTATTTGAAGGGTTGAAGAAATATTCAAAGTTTACAACCAATAAAATATCCCTGTATTATGATTTGTTTGCCGTCGGCTTTTCTTTAGTTTTAAGGTTTGACGTAATATGCATAACATATTGTTATTAATGTTGCGAATTTGGACCACACAGCTGAAATGTAGGTTTCCTAAAAGAGCTACAAGTTGATTCCTCAGGCCGCCATCTGAAAATCTTATTGAATTTCATAACATGATTTGCACATGGTCATGATGGTAAGCCATATATCTTTCTGTTTAACAGTTTTGTTTTTATTGAATAAATAATGAATAAGAATTATAACAGGAAACCGATTTTTTTTTCTCTCCAAATTTCGACATATATTCATCTATTTTAGAATTACTTTTACTTTTCTTTTCTTCATATTCAGTAATCAAAACAATGTTAAATTACACGGATTAGAAACACAGTGTGAAATAACCCGTTGCATTCAATTCAGATTCTCGATATGATTATCATTATTTCTGACAAAATGGCAGACGTTTTAAAGACGCTGAGTGTGATGTATTTATATATTCATATGATATTGTGAAACTATAAAGTTAATCTGATTAACATTCGTGTATATTACTCCCTCCAGGTTATCATAATTTGTAAAGCATTGTGAAAAAATGAATGTACTTATTGACTTAACATTATGTTTATTGATTTTCGAATTGTTCAGTATTTTGAATTACATGTAGTTTATATTGATTGAGTTCGCAATTTTAGTTGTTGGTGTTCGTCACGCCATGATATAATTATGATGTGTGCATAATGTATGTGTTTCCGTTATTTGACTTAAAAATATGAATATTTATATTTATACTTATACATGTATTGCAACAATTCATCGACTTTCATAGCGCCATTAGATTTTCTTTGACTTTTCTTGAGCCGTTTAATCAATATGCAAGTGAATTAACCTTTGTTTATTTGAGATGTATGCAAATACAATAATAGTTCAGTCGTCTAATCTATGTACTCCTATAATGCCGTCCCTTTGTCAGAATATTCTTAGTACTTGTACTAGTAATAATTTTGAGTTTTGTATTTTGATTATGAAATATTTATCCTTCTGCAACTGAGAATATTATATCAAGAGTTGTGTTTTGTTTATTGTATAGCCCTGCCGGAAAGAACATAGTGTAACATAGTGTGGAAACAGACAGTGGTTTTGGTGTGGTCAACACGATCTGAAGAGCTTGCTGTGTTCGTTTTAAATGAATATCAACTGTGATTCTAGCTGGTTATACATGCGGAGTTCGTGGTTAATTTATTCACATTATTTTTACAATTGCACACCATAACACACTCACTGTGAGCACTTCATGTTCACATCGTTTCCACAGTAGTGTGGACACTCAGTGAGCACACCGTGTTCACACATAATTATTCTTACCGTTAGACACAAAGTGGCATTCCACCACCAGATTAACAATCACATCGTGTTTGCATCAGGGTTTAAACCACAGTGAGGATTTGGACTGCAAATTTCAGCAGTTCAAGGTGCAGACGGTATCAGAATAATATGTTCACATTATTTACACACTGTGCAAACTGTGGCTTATGATAGAATCACAATGTGGACTGATCACAGTTTGATCAAAGTGTGGAATTGGAACACTGTCATAGACATTCAGACTGCAGACTTGCCGTGTCCACAGTTCCTATACCATGATACTTTTGCCTCTGAGAATCACAGTGTTACCACAGTGTGTCCATTTTTTTTAAACACTATAACTTTGTTCCAAATCCATTCTGATAATTTGGAGACACTTTCAGAGGGCTTACAATATCAAACTGTGTCCATACTATAAACACCAAATGTGACTTACTGTGGCTGCATCGAGAATCACAGTTTTCATACGTCACAGTGTGACCACACACTGGATTCGGACCCCTATCATAGTATTGAGCTGTGGACACATCGTTCACACTTTTTTCACATTAGGACACACTTAAATCTCACAGATACGTTACAGTGTATCCACAGTGTGGATTTAAGACCCTATCATAGTGTTGAGACTTTGAAAACAACATGGTATCACACGTGAACTCTTTCATAGCATCGAAACTGTCAAGTATGAACACACTGTGGTCATAGTGTGGTTTGGTGTGCAGTTATTTACATAGTGTGAATACATAAACTTGGGAGTGTTCACAACTTTTCCATTCCGCGCAGTGATCCACACTAGTTTGCAAACGATGAGAACACGGTGTGATAACATTGTAATTTCCCTCTGTACACCTGCAGGGTATCACAGTGTGGAAGGCAGTGTTGGTATAGTGTAAACACTTCCTCTGTTGCAGCACTGCGCATGACTGTATTCTTTCAGACGGGGAGAGATGCTATAGAGTTTTATGCAGATACTTTATATATTATGGGTGTTCAAAGTGTGTAATATGCAATATTGAATGTACAAACATATTATATATGACTATATCATCATCGTGTATTTATCTATTTGAATATTATTAATAGTGAATGTGTGCTAATAAAATTAATAACGACAGAAAAGTGGATTTCATTTTTGTTTGTGTGTGTACATATACCTGGACCCTTGAGTGAAAGCACTTCCACATGTCTACACATACTGTATTAGGACACCTATAGTTCTACGGTGGAATGCAAGCTAATCGCAAACTAGGTTCAGACTATCGTTGTGTGTGTGTGGGTGTGGGCGTGTGACTGGATGTGAGTGCTTGTTCCGGGGGGGGGGGGTGGGGGTGGTAGGCTTAAGTAAAAGGATTTTGTAGAATACATTTTGAGGGTGTTCAGAATCTTGACAAGGGTCGCGAGAGATACATCCCCTATATTCTAAAACCAAGGAAAAGGTTTATAATGATATATTGACAAAGAAATTCAAATAATTCTATTCGTTATTTTCATGCAATTAATTTATTCTCATATTTTATTTATATTAAAGAAACATAAACGATTAATTTAATTATACAATTGATATATCAAATTCAAATTCAAATCATTTATTCACTCAATATAAAAACAGATACATAGAATTGCGAATAAACGCAGACATGTATAACAAATATAAAAAGATGGACATAGTAAAATCAGTAGTTGACATCACAAGTAACATAAATTGAGTGGGGATCAGATTAACGATCTAGTTAAAGATCTTGTGAATTCGACCCCATCAGTATAAATTGCATTGTATACTGTTGCATGTACAACAACAGGAGGGAGAGAATACATATACAGCTACAGCTGGATCATAGAGAACACGAGAGGGCGATAGAGATAGAGAGAGAGAGAGAGAGAGAGAGAGAGGAAGAGGAAGGAAAATTGAATGAGAGAAAGGCAAGTTGAGAAGTAAAGTTAATACATAGGATGAAATTAGACCCAAGCAGAATAATGATAAATACAAAATACAAAATACAAAGTACAAAAAAAAAAGGGAAAAAAAGAACACTTACATACGATAGGTAAATTTCAATTTTAAGATTTACAAAAACAAAAATTGAAAATGAAATCAGTACTACAAAGATTCGACCGAGGAAGAAAGTTATTACAGTTATGCGTACAAAAAACACAACATATGGTCAATTCCAAGCGTGACGGTTTGACATCTCAACAGAATCACGGAATCACATAAATATTTCCCGTGATGGCGCCCTCCCTCGGCAAAAATAATATTGCTGACTTCCAAAGAGGCACCTTGAAATTACGATAGCCTAATTATTTACTATTCATTGTCAGGGCATTTTGGAGTTCAACGCATCAAAATGTGATGAACCTTTATTTATGTCACAGAGAACGCATCAAAATATGATGAACTTTTAATTGTGTCAAAGGTTTTGTGGACTTGTGACCCCCCCCCCCCCCCCCCCCAAATTCTGTTGAGATGTCAAAATGACATTTTCAAAATGTGATGAACCTTTATTTATGTCACAGAGAACGCATCAAAATATGATGAACTTTTAATTGTGTCAAAGGTTTTGTGGACTTGTGACCCCCCCCCCCCCCCCCCCCCCCCCCCCCGCGGTGAAATCCTGAATCCTCCTCTGCATCTAGTGTCGGAGTGAGACGTAGTTCCTGCAGCCATCGTCAGGTCGGATAGTGACTGCGTAGGAGAGATTCCAGTTCTGACCGGGGACCAAGTCGAACTTGAACTGCTGCAAGAGTTTCGCCATGATTATCCTTGCCTCGATCTGGTTCAAAATTATAAAAGAATATATTATTTAGTTTGTAAATGATATATATGGAAGCTAATAAATAATAATCACGAAGTAAAAAAAAGTTAAGGGCCACTATATTATCTAAAGTAGCAAAACATGGATCCAGATATCGAAGGAGGGCTGACATCATGGGGGAGGGGCAACGATTTTTCTAGTTGGATGAAATACAAATCAATGAAATCATTTTTTTTTTCCAAAGAAAAATTTATTCAATCATTTTTGAGCAAGAACCAAACAATACATTTGAACAAAGTACATGTTGTGACACATCGGTAAAACAAACATTATTACAACAGTTGCACATGTCTCCATTTATCAAGTAATACAACGAATTTATTGCTTTTGATAGAAAGAACCCGCTCAACTTCATAATTTCTTTATCTCTCCGTTTTTCTCCTCTCCCTTTCCCCTTTTCACTATTCCACTGGGTCGGGGGGGGGGGGGTATCATGTGCCCCATGCCCCCTCCCCCCGTAGCTACGTAACTGTTAATGTATACTACTACTTTAATAACTATAATCAAACTTACCAGGGCAAACTGCTGTCCGATACACGACCTTTGACCCAAGGCAAAGGGAAAATATGCGTATGGAGAATGTTTGCTGTTAAAAAAAAATGACATCAAAATAAAAGGAATAATATGTGTTTTAAAACAAGGGTGAATCTAAATTATTTGGTAATGTTGGTGTGCCATACGATATAAATAATTAGGGAAGTTATGAACATAAGATGACATAAAAATGATAGCCTTGAGCAGAGCCTATGTCTGTCAGTTTCTGTCTGTGTCCGGAGTGCCTTCAGTACATAGCCTAAAGTAGTCTCATCTTGCAGACACTGTTACGCACAGCGACTGGTTAGGGTTTATGGCCCGTATTCTGAAGTCGTGTCTAACTTAGCCACGTCTAAAGTTAAACAACTGTTTAATTAGACACGACTTAGACAGGACTTAGACGCGAGGTCGTGTCTAAGTCCTGTTTAACTAAATTTCGTATTCTGAAGTCGTGTCTAAGTCTCGTCTAACTAAACAACTGTTTAAGTCCTGTCTAATACCCCATTCACAGTGGTTTTGAAATTTGTAGCGGGGTTGTAGCGGAGCGGCGACACCGCCATAACACCGCTATAAATGCATTCACAGTAGAAAAGTTATCCCGCTGCAGCAGCGGGATAAATATCATGTACCCATTCACGCTGCAGCGGGTGATTTTTATTACCTCCGTAACAAACACGTGTATGCATGGCTCATGACCCGCGAGTGACCCCGATATGACCGGAAATACTTGCTTGAAATTGCGCGGTAAACATGTCAAGTTGCTTTTTGTATCCTCGATCATATTACTTTTTAAAAAACTAGCATTTTTATTGCTTCCAGTCAGAATATTTTAATTTTTTGAAGTGTGAAATATTTTTATTTGGATAATTATAATACCTACATAATAATAAAATCAATTTGAATCCACTGGTTACTTTATTTCTATTTCACTTTATGTTCCCCATTGCTGTAGAAAAGAGGTCAGTGATAGGTAAGTAAACAAATCACACGTGTTTGTCGCGGTGTTATAGCGGAGAGCCTTCACACTGAGTAAACACCGCGACAGCAGCGGGACTGTCCCGCTGCTGTAGCTAGGCGTCCCTAGCGATAGTTTGTGTCGGCGTTATCGCTAGGCGGTGTTATCCCGCGATAGTTTATAACGGGTCCGAGCCTTCACACTGAAGACAACACCGCGACAGCAGCGGGACAGTCCCGCTGCTGTCGCGGTGTTTGAGGCCACTGTGAATGGGGTATAAGTGGTGTTTAACTAAACAACTGTTTAAGTTCTGCGCAAGTCGTGTTTAACTCTTAGTCACAACTTCTGGGCATGCCCAGTAGGCGTTAATTCTGACGAAAGACCCAATGCGCATGCGTGCGCGCACCGGATAAATAAATTAACGCGCACAGCTAGCTGTGCGCGTGCTGGTACCATGGTGATGTGATCGTGACGTAATGACTAGACTGCATGTACTTTGTGTACGTACGTACGACGTACGTAGTACACGTACTGTACACTGAGATTGACAAACACACTACTTATCGGTGCCTCAGTGCTCGGAAGAACCACAAAAGAAACTTCTCCAACAGAATGGTTAGTTTATTATAGATTATGGAATTTCCAAGATGTCACCAGTAGATAAGAATAGTTAATATTATCGAGAAAAAAAAATAGGCTACACGAGAAAAAATCCTGCAAAACGTATTTGAAATTTTGGAAAATGCACGTACCATCGTTCTCCCCCGCAAGTTCGGGGTCAGCAAGTACAGTGTACCGTCGACGTTGAAAAGCAGCAGAATCGCGCTCTTAAACAGGACTTAAACAACCCCTCGCAGTTGTCTAAAGTTAAACAGGACTTAGACAGGACTTCGTGTTATTAAACACGACTTCAGAATACCAAAAAAGTTAGACACGACTTCGTGTCTAAAGTTAGACGGGACTTAGACAAGACTTAGACAACTGTTTAGTTAAACAGGAGTTAGACACGACTTCAGAATACGGGCCTATGTCTGCAAACTAATCAACTTCCTACAAGGATCAGATGTAATACTAAATTATTAGGGTTTTGTATTTCTTTTTGGAATAAATGGCTACTTCCTTTTTTCCTAAACATTTACGGATCATGTTTGGATTTATCTCGACATAAATACCTATTTACTTTATATTGATGAAAGAGAGTAATTCTGTCAGTTCTTAGTTATAATATTTCGTAAATTCTGCAAATTTATTTTAAAAATCCGAGTTTTACCTCTCAACAAATCGTTCAGGACGGAAGACAAGTGGATCTTCGAAGAACTCTGACATGCGACCCATCACAAAAGGACTCAACTGAAGAAAGAAAAAAAAAAGAATTTTTAGAAATATATATATATATTTTTGTAAAGACAATCTTAAATTACAATAAGCTACAGTAAAGTGAAAAATCCATATTATGCACTTTTTGTTTTATGGTAAGCACTTTGAAATGGTTAGCAATTAATTTCATGAGAGCAAGCATTTTGTGGAGAAAACACAGCGATGGGGTTGGGAAAGTATGACAGCGATAAGCTCGAGTTTCTTATTTAAAAAATAAAATATCTTTATATGAATGGTTCACGTTTTCATAAGAATACTCAGTGGTGTATACATACATACATTGACAATTTACATGGGGTAACAGTTGGTCGTTTTTCCACATTGGAGGATGCTCGTTTGTCATGCTTTTTTCCCTAATTATATGCCGCAGCCCCCTCGGCCCCTTGCATCCACATATAGGCCTACAAGTCATTTGACTACGAATCATGACACCATTTGGCAAGACCTTGCCTTTTAATATGACCAAATAAAGTAAATGAAAGGAAGACATTCATCACCATTGACTAATTTGAGCTCCTTATATGGCAACCCGCAAAGTCAGGATGAAGGTCGCAATGCGCAGTACATTGACTTCACTATGAACTGCGCACTAACCAGTATGAATCACAATTTTCATTTCTTGCATCTTTTGCCATTTTAAAGTTTGATGAACTTACATTGAGTTGGCTGCCTTTGGGTATAATGAGTCCTGTACTAGCCTTGACCTCAGTGCCTGTCACGCGAGTCACGATAGGAGCCGGGGCATACATCCTTAGTGATTCTTTCAAAACCTGCAAATTGATCATTATTATTTTGTATTAATGCTAAATATATTACTCATTGCGGATATAGGATCGAAAATAATATCGCTAGTGACATTCGTTTGTCTTGCAATATATGGTTTTTTGATCCCTTGTCACCTGACGAAGTGTCGCGGCGGCGCACGAAACGTCGTGATCTTTTGATCGGCTTGTTGACCATAATTGTGAGACAAACGAATGCCACTAGCGATATTATTTTCGATATCATTTGTATTATTAATATTATTGTCAAAACGATAACAACTACATACTGGTGCGTCACCTATATACGAACATGACAATGAAGCCTTACGTAATCACAACTTCATTTCTATGGAACAAAAATGTGGTATTAAAATTGCCCTTGAGTTGATTTTTCGATAAAAGTTGCGACCGTGTTTATTATAATCATCATTTTTATTCCAGGAGCGTCACAACGTGACGGACATGTGCGCTACATAAGAAGCCACCATTATGATTTTGTTCATTATTATTATTATTATCGTTTATTATCGATCAATAAACATTTATTATGTTCGGGTTTATCGATATAGGCTACCCGAATGTTTTAAACGTCATGCGATTCTATGGATATCTTTCTCTCTCTCAAGCGAATTTCAGATCAATCGAGACAAATGATAGAGAGAAGAATAGATTACTTGAAACCTTAAGGCTATATAATAGTTTTAACATGTGGTGACACTTCAAATGCTGCCACTGTTAGCTTTTTCCTTCTTCTACCATATAACTTTTTATTGAAACATATAGGCCTATATGAATTTTAAAGTGAGTTACTTACAAGCATTAGATAATCCAGTTTGCCCATGTCTTGGAAGCTAATAAACATCTGACTTCCGAGTTTTTCGTCAAGTTCATCTTGAACCCTGCAAGTGTGAAACGGCCCATAGACCGGGATTTATTCATTCATAATATTAAAACAACAAAATTAAATTTTGATGAACACAATAATGATAATAATGCTTTCAGGATATGATTGACATTGCGTTTGCAAAATAGAAACAACAAACAAACATCTATTAAAATGTTGTCCCCCCCCCCCTCTCTCTCTCTCTCTCTCTCTCTCTCCTTCTCTCTCTCTCTCTCTCTCTCCTTCTCTCTCTCTCTCTCTCTCTCTCTCTAGACTCTGGTCTACAATACTCAAATCACCCCTCCAACAACAACAAATCTTCTAGAACAGCCTGCATGCCATGACCATTCGGAAAATGAATTGATACTCACTTTTGTAAGACATGTGGATGCTTTCCGAGCATCTCTAATGTGAAGGACATGAGGTTGCTCGTTGTTTCTTGACCTGAGTATTAAAATGACAGGAAAATTATCAATAATCATCATAATCATCTTAATCATCACCACCATCATAATAATAATAATAATGATAATAATAATAATAATAATAATAATAATAATAATAATAATAATAATGTTGGCTTCTTATATAGCAATAATCAACATCATCATCATCACAATCATAATCATCATCTTCATCACCATTACCATCCCAATCATCATCATCATCATCATCATCATCATCATCATCATCATCACCTGCAATAAAGAATGTGACGAACTCGTCCAGCATCTCATCGATGCCGAAATTCTCATTTCCCTCGAGGTCTTGCGAAGCTTGGAGGATGTTTGTCAACATGTCGTTCGGAAGTTCCTCACCTCTCGCCTTGGCTGCCAAGCGAGCATTCACACAGTCCCGCCCAAACCCACGGAGAAAGTCACATGCAGCTTTCACATCAGCCTTGGCCTTTCTGTCTTTCTTCGTCAAACCGTACTTATAAAGAAGAAGGAAAAACAAAACAATGGATAAGCACTTTGAAAACTCGTCCTAAGGCAGTTTCAGAAACCTTGTGTGTCACCAATAGACTAGTTTTACTAACGTATTCAAATTATGGATATTGTTTTATAGATTCCACTAACGTGTTATTAATTAATGAACTACAATACTTGGAATCCAGCCTGCATATATTACTTGTTGCTATGTCTGGCAAGTGTTTGGAAGCTTTCGGGCCGTCAAGCACAACTTTTGTTTAAAACGCATGCATAAAATGTGAATATATCAGTAAACCGGTCTGATATGATAAGGTGTGAACATGACAATAGGGACTTTTAGATTTGCACGACGAGAACGTGGACTGCGACGTGTGACATCCTTTTAAGGCAATGTGACGTCACTGCCAGTACCTTAAAAGGACGTCACATTGCCTTAAAAGGATTTCACACGTTGCAGTCCACGTTCTCGTCGTGCAAATCTAAAAGTCCCTAATGACGTATTGCGTAATTGGAACATGGTTCTACAGGGATCAAGATAGCTATAGGATAAAGAAAGTCTTTGCCATCATGTTCATAGAAGAAAACAAAAACGATTAAACATTCATGTTTGGGTAAATAAGTGTCCCTCAAGCACCTGCTTTAAATTAGTGTCTCTCAATTACCTACTTTAAATTTTGTTTTGGCAATTTACAATAATGAAATATGATCCATTAGTTCATAGCGATATGTCCATTAATGAAGTACAATGGAAGCTTATTACTCACAGACTATGTATTCCTGCATGTATGCAGCATTTTTCTTCTTTTTGCCAATTGACTTACAAGGTTGTAAATTCAAATACAATTTCTGATACTTGCTCTCACGAAGATACAGTATTTCTAGCATAGGAATGCCTACTCCTAAATTAACGCAAAACAGGTCATTCAAATCAGAGTTATTATCGTTTCCTAAATACCTTCATCAGTGGTACCAGAGTAATGCTTTGAAATTAGCATCCAATGACTAATCAGCATTCAAGGGTTGTTTCTTAGTTTCAGGAAATTCATTACTACAGAAAAGTAAAATCAATTCAATTTCAATTTCGAGAACAAGAGAACAAGGGCGAATACAAAAAATGTCAAAAGATTAATATACCTGCATCCACGGGTTGTTGATAGAAGTCATGATGGCGTTCAGGCACGTTAAGATGGAGTTAGGAAACGGGTTATCAGGATCATCAATGATATTTAATTCCATGTTGAAAGTCACCTTTAGGAAAAAAGGAATTGTGACAAAGTATAAAAATACAAAGAACCATTAAAAGAATGTTGATTTTACAATAGACCTGTCACGAATGCACTCGCTATACATAATGGATGCAATTCACTTTACATACATCATTTGCTGCCAGGCCTGTTTGTTGCTATGTCTGGCAAGCCTATGTTGGCATTGGCAAACAAATTATCAGGATCGTCGATTATTTTAGATTCCAGGTCGATAATTAAAGACATAATAATCATAAAATATATTAAGATTTATACAGCAAAAAAATCTCTCAGATCAAATGCCCAAAGCACACTATTGCCAGTGATGAAAAAGCACGTACTCAAAAAATATAACATGAGTAGAATAATACGTAAAGAGCGTATCAGGGCAAATACCCCCCCCCCCCCCGGAAAACTACCCCCAAAGACATCCGCCGCTCGAGGACGATTACCGTCCATCCTAAAAAATTACCCCCTAGGACAATTTACCCCCCCCCCCCTCAGGACAGCTAAGGACAACCATCCCTCGAGGACAATTACCCCCCCCCCCCCCCGAAAATTACCCCCTGTTCATTAAAGGGGAAGTCCACCTGGTGATAAGTTGGTTTTAATAAGAGCAAGAACAATTTTCGGTGGGTAATTGTCCTAGGGGACAGGTTGTCTGACTTGACAATCCTTTTTTTCTCACTTAGATAGTCTTTCATGACTGGGTCAACTGACCTTAGCTATAATATCCAGAGTGATATTGTTGAAGGCATCATACATGCGCACCTCCTGTAAGCCATCTGCTCTCTCCATCAGATAGTTGACCAGGTGGTCCGCACTCGCATTGAATGTATCCACCATCGTCACAAGGTACCTCCGGGTAACACAATATTATTATCAATATTTTATTTGGCAGAAAACACATGATATCAAAATACAGAATTGAAAATAATTAATTAATAGCAAATCACACAAGATACATGAACACTGGGTGCACCCGGCTGTGCTGCCAGGCCTTGGGCAAAGTTAACCAATTAATTATAGTCCGCAGACCACCCTCACCTATATCCCAACCAGATGCAACCATAAAAATTCATGAAATAAACTTTTAAATTGGTATTTTAAATTCAATATCATTATTTTTAAGGAACACGTTCCATAACCTGAGCCCAAGCGTACAGAAAAGTACATTGGCTCCTTACTAGTTTAATTGGATGGATTGCAATGGTCCATATTAAGTATTACAAAATTAAATAAAAGGAGAAGCTTGTAACAACACAAAATGGAAGTGCCTGGAAGTGATATCTTTTAGATCATAGATTTGTATTTGTATTGTGGGGAGGGGGTGGGGGTGGGGGTCAACCCCTTCACGACCTCGGTAAAGTAAACTCCAAATACCCAGTCTTTAGTGAATAGAATCATATTGATTCTGTCACTTCTGTTTAATTACATATATAGAGCAATTGAAATGATTAAATTGGACAGATTTAGCTTAAAATTTAATAAAGATGTCAAAGAAAGAAGAAAAAAAAAAGGAAGAGAAATTTACTTTCTGTGGAATGAGGGGTTGAGCATAGCACGATGTACTTTCCATCTGGCATGGTTAGCTTCCGTGATGAGACCGTTACCCATGAAACGACTACCCAGGACCTGGGCCATGATACCATAGGGTCGGTAGGGCTTCAGGTGGACACTGGTCTTCGAAAGGATCTCCTAAAGGATGAATAAGCAATGGATAGTGATATCGATGAATTGCTATGAGATTATGATTGATATAGGGCATGTAGATTGAAGTAATATTCTATTTGGCATGGAAAGTTTAAGTTTCTGTGATGAAATCATTAACCATGACAAGACTACCAAGCACATGAAGCACTTACCTGATCCGCACAGTGGGGAAAGGGAAAAGGAGGAGGAGGAGGGAGAAGAAGAAGAAGAAGAAGAAGAAGAAGAAGAAGAAGAAGAAGAAGAAGAAGAAGAAGAAGAAGAAGAAGAAGAAGAAGAAGAAGAAGAAGAAGAAGAAGAAGAAGAAGGAGAAGAAGAAGAAGAAGAAGGGAGAAGAAGAAGAAGAAGAAGAAGAAGTAAGAGAAGGAGGAGTGAGAAGAAGAAGAAGAAGAAGAAGAAGAAGAAGGAGAAGGAGAAGAAGAAGAAGAAGAAGAAGAAGAAGGAGAAGAAGAAGAAGAAGAAGGAGAAGAAGAAGAAGGAGAAGAAGCAGAAGAAGAAGAAGAAGAAGAAGGGAAAAAAGAAAAAGAAGAAGAAGACAAAAAAGAAGAAGAAGAAGAAGAAGGAAGAAGAAGGAAGAAGAAGAAGGGAGAAGAAGAAAAAGTAAGAGAAGGAGGAGTGAGAAGAAGAAGAAGAAAAAAAAGAAGAGGAGAATAAAGAGGGAGAAGAGTAAAACAAAGAAAGAGAAGAAGAAGGTTCTGATGATAAAGAAGACTACAAAGATAATATAGGGTCATCTTAAATTAGCCACTCACCTTCACAACATCTGGATCGAATGCAGCAACGATGTATCGATGAAGAATCGAATATTTGAAGACAGTTCCATATTCCTCCTGCCTATAATGATGATCAAACATAATTAGTGATAGCAAAATATACGGTTTAATCATGGACCTAATAGGTATATGGTTTGATTGAGTATATTGAGGCGAAAGAGGTAATGATATTAAGCAAAAATAAACTTAACTACATACTCTCTTAAAAAAAAGAGTGAATTTTCACTCTATTTTCACTTTCTTGGGAGTGACGTCCGCGTGATCACTTGTTTAGGAGTGAAAATCGATTGATTTTAGAGTGCTCTCTAAGAAGAAAAGAGTGAATGTTCACTCTATTTTCACTACATTTTCACTTTCCAGAGGAGTGACGTCCGTGATCACTCGATTTTCTTTTTTAGAGAGTACCCCCCCCCAACCAAATAAAACTAAAACATAACACGAAACAATTCACAAATTGTCTCTTTTTTTGTAAAATCATTTCGAATCACTCTATTCTTTTTCAATAATAGAAGCCTGTATGTTTTAATCAAAGGTCCTCGCTGTTTTTACGGCGTTATCTGCCTTTTGAATGATTCCGTGACCAACGTGACAAAAGGTTCTTTTTGTATCACTAACAATAAATGGTCATATCAAGATATTTTTTCTTTTTTTTGATAAGCTATTACAAGCTAAAAACCACTATATAAGCTACATAAAACTGAATGTTTAATCAATTGTACGAATAAAGAATATATAAAATATGCATCACATCATAGAAAAGCAAGTGCCTGGTTTCCCTTACCATTTCACAAGTAGATCTAGCTTGTTCTGCCCTTTCTCAAGAAATTCCCGAACTTCTTGGAGGCATCCATAAATGGCACTGCAAGATAAAAATAATGTTATTTTTTAAGTTTTTGTATACCAACAAAAATTACATAAAAACTTTACACACTCAACTACAGAAAGACAGGAAGAAGAAAGAGTGAAACAGAGAAAGAAAGGGAGAGAGGGAGAGAGAGAGAGAGAGAGAGAGAGAGAGAGAGAGAGAGGGGAGAGAGAGAGAGAGAGAGAGAGAGAGAGAGAGAGAGAGGAGAGAGAGAGAGAAAGAGAGAGGAAGGGGGGGGGCAACAAGTGCAAGAGAAATGTACGTGTTATTTGGCATAACTAGTTATTGTTGAACATTTGAGTTTAGTTTTAAATGAAGTAACATTCGAGCAAGAACGCAAAACAAAGTAAACCTAATTGGGGTCAATTCGAATGGGGGAGGGGGCGGTAACGTATTGGCTGATCTGAAACGGAATGGCCATTCAGTTTATTCCATCCATACAGCTGAGTTTTTTGTCGGTATTTTACTTTGTATAGTTTCTAATGCGATCATTAACATTCTGAATACACTCGATCATCAATCTCACTGTCAGAAAATTCGGGAAGCGATGGAAATGGTCCGGGTGGTAGTACGGATTGCGTTTGTTTGAGTGGTAGTTGTCTTGGATTGGTAATGTTTGTCCGGGATGTAATTATCCAGGGAGACTATATCTATCATGTATACGGTGTGACAATATATACAGGTACTAGTATATTGATCTTTAAGGACAGGACATCAATTATAATACAACATGGTCGCAGAGATTTTCAAAAAATCAAGTTAAGGCATAAAAAAGAGATGGATTGGCCTATGCGACCGACCCAAAATATCTTAAAATCTACGGTCGGCTTTTTATTTTGTTATTTTATTAAAACCGTTTTTTAGAAGAAAAAAATATGTGGCTAAGTCCATTCCAAAATCAATTTGCTTTTAATAGATGCAGAAAATAATTTGCTTTTGATAGATGCAGAAAAACAAAAGAAACAGAGCAACGAAAATTCGAGTAAAATCAGATAACTAATAAGGAAGTTATTGTTTTAAAGTGTGACAAACTATGGAATAATGGAAATCATTACCCAGAGTGCCAATTTGGCTATCAGTTTGTGATGTCATTGCCTCACTATTTATCAGTTGCTTTATATATTTTTATCCCATTAATTTCCCTTTGGATCCCCCAAAACTTGATTTACCCATACCTTTGCCCAGGTTATATGATTTGTAATATATTGCGTGCATGACAATTCTCAAAATATTTTTTGAACTTTGAAGAATATATACTATTTTCTGAATATTGTATATTCATAACCGTTGATTTTTATAAATAGTTTATCAAAATTCACATTTTTTCATGATTTAACTGAGAAAAAAAATTACTCTATATTAGTGCATCCACTCAAAAATATAACTTGGATGCTGGTGTGAGGAAATAAGATTTTTAGGGGGAAAATTGGAAATATATGTTATCAATATAAAGAAAACAATTCGTGGATAGTGAGGTAATGACGTCACAGACTCATGAGTGAGTTGCCAATTTGTCTTGTGATTTTCAAAGTTTTTCATGTCATTAAAAATTCATAACTTTCTTATCAGTTATCCAATTTTGCTCAAACATTTTTTGATTGGTTTGTCTGGTTGTTCAGCTTCTTTTGAAAGTAAGTTATTTTTGGAGTAGAATTGCCCTTTAAAGCATTTAAAACTGAAAAATATCAGCCCAAAGAGGTTAAAAGAGCAACAACAAAACAAAAAAGGGAAAAAAAACGGGGGAAAAAAAACGACCGACCTGCAGGTGCTGGCACCTAAAGGGCAATACAACATTTTTTATTGTTATAGACCTAATTGTAGGCAATTAACATGTCCTATTTTATTGCTTATTAGAGATCATCCTTGGATTGCGTATAACTATTTATATCACACTGTCTATCGGTGGAACTTAATTGTCTGGGTGGTAATATACGGATCGCATTGTCCGGGGTAGGTAATATTTTGTCCGGGTGAAGCGATGGAAATGGTCCGGGTGGTAGTACGGATTGCGTTTGTTTGAGTGGTAGTTGTCTTGGATTGGTAATGTTTGTCCGGGATGTAATTATCCAGGGAGACTATATCTATCATGTATACGGTGTGACAATATATACAGGTACTAGTATATTGATCTTTAAGGACAGGACATCAATTATAATACAACATGGTCGCAGAGATTTTCAAAAAATCAAGTTAAGGCATAAAAAAGAGATGGATCGGCCTATGCGACCGACCCAAAATATCTTAAAATCTACGGTCGGCTTTTTATTTTGTTATTTTATTAAAACCGTTTTTTAGAAGAAAAAAATATGTGGCTAAGTCCATTCCAAAATCAATTTGCTTTTAATAGATGCAGAAAATAATTTGCTTTTGATAGATGCAGAAAAACAAAAGAAACAGAGCAACGAAAATTTGAGTAAAATCAGATAACTAATAAGGAAGTTATTGTTTTAAAGTGTGACAAACTATGGAATAATGGAAATCATTACCCAGAGTGCCAATTTGGCTATCAGTTTGTGATGTCATTGCCTCACTATTTATCAGTTGCTTTATATATTTTTATCCCATTAATTTCCCTTTGGATCCCCCAAAACTTGATTTACCCATACCTTTGCCCAGGTTATATGATTTGTAATATATTGCGTGCATGACAATTCTCAAAATATTTTTTGAACTTTGAAGAATATATACTATTTTCTGAATATTGTATATTCATAACCGTTGATTTTTATAAATAGTTTATCAAAATTCACATTTTTTCATGATTTAACTGAGAAAAAAAATTACTCTATATTAGTGCATCCACTCAAAAATATAACTTGGATGCTGGTGTGAGGAAATAAGATTTTTAGGGGGAAAATTGGAAATATATGTTATCAATATAAAGAAAACAATTCGTGGATAGTGAGGTAATGACGTCACAGACTCATGAGTGAGTTGCCAATTTGTCTTGTGATTTTCAAAGTTTTTCATGTCATTAAAAATTCATAACTTTCTTATCAGTTATCCAATTTTGCTCAAACATTTTTTGATTGGTTTGTCTGGTTGTTCAGCTTCTTTTGAAAGTAAGTTATTTTTGGAGTAGAATTGCCCTTTAAAGCATTTAAAACTGAAAAATATCAGCCCAAAGAGGTTAAAAGAGCAACAACAAAACAAAAAAGGAAAAAAAAACGGGGGACAAAAAACGACCGACCTGCAGATGCTGGCACCTAAAGGACAATACAACATTTTTTATTGTTATAGACCTAATTGTAGGCAATTAACATGTCCTATTTTATTGCTTATTAGAGATCATCCTTGGATTGCGTATAACTATTTATATCACACTGTCTATCGGTGGAACTTAATTGTCTGGGTGGTAATATACGGATCGCATTGTCCGGGGTGGGTAATATTTTGTCCAATACAACACGGTCGCAAAGACAAAAGATTAATTTCAGAGCAATGCCAATACCCTAGTGTATTCCCTGTAAAACAAAATCACGCTCGGATTGAAACGTAATAGGACATTGTCCCAGAAGCTTAATATGAAACTACCTCAGGTTGACTTTTGAATTCTTTGCGATCGTACGTTTAAGGCCAAATCAAAATCGTCGCCCCGTACAGAACATTTTGTTATTTATTTATAACCCTCATCCTCATAAAAGAAAATTATGGATTTTTTTTTTTTTTTTTTTTACTTGGCCTGATTTAACAACCACCTGTATAGAAAGGCCATCTGTCTAAAAGACACTTTTTGTATCCCCTTAAAATCATTTCTTATTGAAATGTGTACTAAATGAACCAGTACATAATAACCACCTGTTTATAAAGACTGCTCTTCTCGTCTCCCAGGGACTCCTGGAATTTTATTTTAACTGTTCTGTATAAACGTTATGTGCTTTTTGATGTAAATATGTTCATGTTTATTCAGGGCCCCATGGAAGACCACTACTAATTGGTGAATGGGCTACCCTGACAAAAGATTAGAAATAAATAATTACAAACAAAAAACATACCTGGTTCGTCTGGGACCGGGAATATGTTTCAGCTTCCGTCTGCCAAGCTCAATGGTAAGAAAGAATATGGCGACACATGATATCGATGCAAACACACACAAGGTGAAGAAAAGAGAAAGAATCGTGGTCATATGAAAACCAGACGAAAGGGCCTCCATTTGTGTAATGTAGATCTGTATACGCCCAAATCTCAAAATTATAATATTAAAATGCTTTTACTCCCGAGTGAGAAGCTACGTCCACAACAGCACAACTAATGATATCCGCCGGATCATACAATATGAAAGTACAATATGAAGTCCACCAATGTGATTATTATTGATACATCAATGTGGTTCCACGCAAAGATTCAGTTAGCTTTTTAGTACATGAATATATGTAGAGAAAATATCCCTTAATCATCCCCGTCTTTAGTTAATCATCGAAAAACATGTGAAGACCTACCTCAAGGATGCATGGACTAGTCTTACTCCAGGCTCGACTATTTTACACGTATCGATATTTTCTCAGACTTCCATTTTTTCACTGACTAAACATTCCAGCTAAGAATGATTTATATTTCATGTCATAAAATGATATTACAAACTATAATTACATCCAATACTAGTGGAAATGTCGTGTTTTCAATTAATAAATACTCGGAAAGTGTGGAAAGAGATTAAGGTTACTGTTTACCTGCGCTGTTGCTTATGCATTGAAACGCGGCATGCTCGACACCTGAGATATACGTGGGCCGAAGAAATTTGAAAAGAAAGTTACGTAACAGAATTGTTTGAATGTTTGTTCAAGTTTGTAAAGAATCGTGTATGCGTGGTTCGTCTCAATACAACTCCCAATCTATTCATCTCCTCTCTCTCTCTCTCTCTCTCTCTCTCTCTCTCTCTCTCTCTCTCTCTCTCTCTCTCTCTCTTCTGTTTGAATGTCTGTCTCAGTGTCTGTGGCCCGAATTCACCAGGAGGTTTGTCGACAAACCTAGGTTTATGTGCGTCATAAAACGCATCAAAACGCGTCATTATGACGCACATAAACCTATAGGTTTGTCGACAAACCTCCTTTTTGAATTCGGGCCAGTATCTCTGTAACTATGTCTATTTCCCAGTTTACTGTCCCTTCCTCTTTCAGATCTATCCCCTTAATTTCTCTCTGACTCTGATGTGTATCCCCCCCCCCTCTCTCTCTCTCTCTCTCTCTCTCTCTCTCAATTTCCCTCCATCCTTCTCTCCACTCTCTTTTTTTTCCTCTCTCTCTCCTTCTCTCTCTCTCTCTCTCTCTCTCTCTCTCTCTCTCTCTTCCCATTCTCTCTCTTCATCCTTCTCCCTCTATCTCTCTCTTCCCTCTCCCCCTCTCTATCGTTATCTATTCTTATTTTCTCTCTGTTTTGTCACCCTTTTATAGCATGCACTGCATCCAATGACCGGGGTAATAGTATATTTGTAAAGCTTGTATTAAGCTCTATATAAAAGCTAATATAATCATATATTATTATTTTTAAACTGTGCAAACAGTATTAGCCTATGCCTGTGGCAATATTAAAATAGTTTTGGGCTTCGGCCATTTCTCCAAAGGCTACTCAATAAACAAAACGTAAAACATGTCGAACGAATTAATAGGATAAAAGAATATATTTCACGTTCTTAGAGGAGGCCAATAAGTTGAACTAACATCAGAAGACCGACCGTTACAAGGCTTTCAATGTTATACCAATTTTCGTAGAGAAAAGGACATTGGAGTACAACTTGTTGAATATGTTCCACTTTTGATCCACTTTCAGTCTCAAACGAAAAATCATTTATAAATGTATAACTTTTTGGTTTATGGATGTTATCGTCATTGGTGTTTTTAAAACTGTTTGACAAAGTCGAAATGCCTGCTGATATTCTAACCGTTTTGAAATTCATATTTTCCTTTCGATATTACTCGTAATGCGTATACTTATCTGAAGATAGTAACAACTTCGTAGGCTCATTAGATCTGTATTTTACCAATGCGTTCGTTAATCATTATCACGAAACAAAGTACAAACTACATTCTTCTCCTGTTGTTCTCATCCTAACATGATTTTTTCGCTGTATTCGTCTTTTTGCTGCTTGTTTGTCCTGTACAACCTGCTTTGCACAGTGCCTTTATTCCAAAGTCCTATGTTTGCAGTAGTAGTCCATAAAAGGGTGCTGGCAGTATGAATGTTAGTATTGCGGTCTACGAAATGATAGAGAGGGAGAGAGGGGAAGAAGGAAGAGGGAGAGGGCGAGAGGGAGGAAGAGAGTGCATTTACACAAGGATCTTACTAGACAAGTTTGAGAGCTAGTTTTACTTGCTCCAGTCTTCCGACGTCTTTTAACATAATTATCTGACATTCATTACCTATAAATTTATCAATGTACAGTATTAGGTATTCAATTCAATGTGTTAATTGTATTCACAATTGCAATTTGTATTTATAGTATATTTTAATCTTTGTAAAACATGTATTATTTAGTCTCTGTGAAACTGTGAAACATGTTTGAATATATAAACCTTTATTGATCGATTGATACCATTAAGTGTAAGAAAATGACCCTTTTCAAAATATGATAGATGTTATAATACAACACAACCGCAATTGACTCACTATGAAATCCTGCTCGCATTACGTAATATGTCATCATTGACATTGTAGACTTCTTTCTCTTTGTAACCTTCTACAGTTGTAAACAAACACAACATAATTCATTTTGTCGCGCTTCTGATTTCCTGCGATCATTGCAAAATACTGTACACGTACATTCAAAATTTATCTTGTTCGATTATCGAATCTCTACAGTGTATACACCGTGCTGATTATAACGTACTATATATCGAGGTTTCAGTGAAACAAAGACGTAATTCCATATTTTGCCAAAGTGAGTATTTGATATTAAAATGTTCAGAAAAATGTGGGCTTTCCAGGAAACACAAAGACTTAACTCCACCCAAGTCAATGGCTAGTGAAACATAGACTTAACTCTTTAAGGCGCAAGTGCTCAGTAACACATAAACCACTTTTTCTCAAGATGGCCAAAATGTAGTTACGTCTTTGTGTCACTGACCCCTCTATATACATGTACTTCGCAATCATGCAACTTAAATGTACACAAAACCGGATTGCATATAAGCCCTCTATTCACGTACAAGTCGAATAAACACAAAATGTCTTGTTCACGATGATCTCTCCCCTTTCCTCCTCTTTTTCACCTAGAACACTTTTCATATGCTTCATCTATAAAAGATGGATAGAATATTTATTAATCTGTAAAACTCTTGCACAGTCCCTCTATTATCTTCACTTATTTATGCGACGCACCATTCAACATCTCACACTTTAACATCGCCTCTCAGAACGTTTAATTTCTCATTCTCTCAGCCCCTTCTCCCGAGATTATCATTATCCATCATTATTTTTCTAACGCACATTCTCTCAGGTTTCTTCCCTTCCAAAGCCCTCTCTTTCAAGATCTATATTTATAATTATCTTTAAAAACTTGTCTAAATAAGACGCTTGTCTTTCTTTGTAAACTATTAGATATAAATGTACTTCATCCATTCGTAAATTTAACAGATTCTCATCTATTACAAAAAATAATGACAAGGACAAACTTATGTATGTTTAGAACATTGTTATTTTTTTTTAGTTCTTATATTTTCAGGCATTTTTTATTTACACCATTTATATCATCAGTAAAGTAGAATAAAGCTTAACATGGCCAAAGAATCTTAAATATACTTGTGTACTTTCACATAAATTATCTTTTATTTCACACTGCTCTCTCTCTCTCTCTCTCACTCTCTTTCTCTCTCTGTCTCTTACTCTCTCTCTATCTCACTCTCTCTTTCTCAGTATGTAAGTCACCATGCCCACTTTGTATTGTTGGCATGATTCAATAACTAACTCATGAAGAACTCGGCTTCATATCAACTCTTAATTAGGGGTAGCATAAGAATGTGAAAGTTACACAAATTATGCTTTATTTCGATTATCATATGCAGCATAATAATGATAAGACCCTGGTTTAGGATGTTTACTAAATCTTAATATTCATGTACATGTATTTCAGCATTGATATCTTCATTTTGAAGCAAAACATACAGATTCAACAACAAAGTTGCCCACAGCAAATTGGGTTAATTTAAATGTTCCTAAAATTCATACATGTAATAACATTTAAAAATAATAAATTACTAACAAAGATCCATCAATTAATGAACAGTCATTGCTTTGCATTCAACACATAAACCTTCAAAAATGGGCACATCACAAGAAATGCAAAACTAAACGTGTTTGGAAATCCATTGTAATACTGCAGAAAAAATATTTGTACAAACTGATTAAAAGATGTCCATGATATTGTCATTACAGAAAACACATATTTAAATAACAGCACTCTATGCTTCACTGATATTGTCCAAATGAGTGATCAAGAAGCTTCACATAAATGGTAATAATGATGATAAAAGGTTTTTGCTTTGCAGTATACAAAACAAAGAGTCTTTGGGGAAACATTCTCTACAAAAATATAAAACATCTTTTATGTACAGATGATAAAGAAATAATGGCTACTAGGATGCAGCTGAGACCTTGTCTGGGACTTTGTCGGAGAGGTCCATCCAGTCGTAGACTTTGTTTTCTTTATGGCCTTTCTTTGTGAGCCGAGAACCAACGGCACCGCTGAACAGGTCAAAGACACCACCTGTAGATCAGGAATAAGAGGAGAGAGAAAAATAATAATTACTTGGGTGTCCAGAAGCAGTTAGGTTCATATTCATAGAAGTGACATTGTAGATTTCTTTGGCCTTTTAAAATCATTCATGTAAGTGTTATTTGTAGGTCATTGTTTGTCAGGTAGTAATTAATTACTAGCGGTCATGTACATGTATATGTAATTAAAAAGGATATTTAGGCTAATTGACCCAATACTGCACAACAGTTTCAACCTTTAAAAGGCAAATGAGGACATGAAAAAACAAAGATTATAAGATTGAAAACCAGAAAATTGTGTGCAGATGTACAGTTGAGAATGAAATTCATGAATGGTTAATATTCATGAAAGTCTCATACTAGTAAATAATCAAGTCACAACTGACGCAACACTGTGATTTTGCGAGTTTCTTGATTAATTGCTGTCATTTACAAATCACGTCTCGGTGCGAATGTAAATATTATTTGCGAAGATGTAGCATTTCACAAGTACGCTTCAAAGTCAAGTGCACATCTAAACTGGTCCTCATTGAATCATTTGAAGTCAAGATACACCACTGGGTGTGACTAAAAGAAAGAACGAATTGCAATGCAAAACAAATTGGCAAACCATTCACTTATGGTTGATGCTTTTTTGACAATATTTTTAAAACAATTTTTTCCTCTTCCTTCCTCAAAGTTTGTGATGGTGGTTATTTTACCTGACTGCTAAGAAAGCATAAATGCTTGTAAGTAAGCAACCAGACGGTCGACGGCTTTAGGTCCTCTCCGGGGGACCTGGTAATGAGGATTAATGCCTTACCAAAGGGCACTAGCGCATCGACTTGGTTTCGAACCCGTTAAATGCCTCTTGTTTAATTTCATCATTGTGATGGTGAGACTACTGTACAAACTAGTCGACTGGCAGTTCAACTTACCTGTATGTATGAAGAGGATCTGCTTTCCCTTGAACGTTCCTGGTTTCTCGTTCATGAGTTTGAGTAGATGATAGGTGGCCTTGCCGGAGTAGACAGGGTCCACAAGAATCCCGGTGTTCATCGCCACCTGCTCGATGCATTCTGTCAAAATCAGACAAGTGGAAGCAGTTAAAGATAAAGACCAGTTCTGGCGATGCGATTGCATTGTGAAAGAAACAGTGTGGAATTGATCAACTAGCATATAGGTATTGGTGTGTACTGCAAGGTTCTGGAATCATCAAAATGATAAGAAATTTGGCCCAGTCTTGGTAAAGTTACAAGCACTGTACACAGAAAGATGTATATGGGACTACACGACACGTGCGCGATATCTATCCGGTCCGGATAGATATAATAATTTACCAATCAATTAGTAGGCGGTTTCCCGGCAAAATTTGTATCATGATCATCACGTATTAGTCAAAACATATTCTTTCACATGATTGGTAATAAGAGCTTCCATTTCATTTTTTTTTAAAGACAAGTGATCAACAAAACAGGGGAAATCTCACTGCCGTTTTGGATGATATGATAGGATACAGAAGCTGCTGGCATTTAAAGGGATCCGGTAACTTTGTCTCAGATTATGAAATAAAATTATGGATTTAGCTCATGATGCAATGATAATTATAAACCTTTAGGTCAGTCAGGAACCCCATGACTTTTACAAGCCGATCGCCTGTCTGATTATCAAGATATTTATGATTGGAATTACAAATTTTGAAAACCGTTCGCCTGACGGTTTTCATAACACTACAGTCTATTGGGGAAAACGAGTATGGTAAAACCGGTCACTCAAAGATTTTTTACTTTTTTGAGGCACTTCTTGATCATTTTAAAGCGCAATTTTTTTAGGGCTCCAATATTACATCATATCACAGACACTGATAACACGTAGGGCCGTGTATCTCAGATTTAACATTGTTAAACGATCCCTTTAACAAAGGACCGACTCTCTTCTTATCACGAAAACAAGTAATATGTAAAAACTAAGAATTAGATTTTAGAGGATATGAATAAGAGAAAGAGCAAATCACACTACAAAATGCAACGCAGGAATTGCTACATACTTTGATTATGTGTCCTTTACTTATAATATGACAGTCAGGCATCAACTGCTATTGACTGATTTCATCGCAAATATATGTATAACAGGGTTTGTAAGTAAAGCCTCAGTCACAAATGCCATTACGAACTGCTACAAATGCCGTACGAATGATTTTCAGACAATGGAAAATCAGGGAGATTCGTACGAACTTTGTGACCGTAGCTTGAGCTTTTTAAAGATAAAGTTATGGATGCACCATCAGCCCAATATTACTCTTTTCATATCAACAGGAATCATCACCAAGCTACCAATCCTACGCAAAGTAGGAGGAAGGGAAACTATTCAATATACCATATATTTTGTCAGAGAGAGAATTAGAGAGAGAGAGAGACGCACTTACAAAAGAAAACGACCCTTTTCAGAATATGAGTATTAATGTAGAAAGATAACAACAAGAGACAGACTGACAAGAGAAAGGGGGTGAAGAGGTCGAGGAGGTGGGGGAAGAAGTTTACAGTGAAAGAGGGGCGGGAAAAGGAGATTGTCTTCAATGTAGTGAAATGTTTTGACTTGACCTACGATAATAGCAAGAGTCAAAATGGGCACTCACCTAATTCTTCTGAAGTGTTGACGGCATACCCGATGCCAACCACTTCGTCACGAATGTGCATGATGTCGACCGCTTTGACCCCTGCGCCATCAGCGTCCTGTAGCCCGAGGGATTGGAGTGTCTTGTCGCCGAGGTCGTAGAAAAACATTTGGTCCTTGCATGCTGCAAAGCCGTGTATCCTGCAAGAAAATAGAAGAGATGAAAAGCATGATTGTATTATATCAGTATGTCGGTGTTCCAAATATGCCTACATTGCTGATTTGAACGCGGACTGATTTTAAAAGAATGAGAGGGAAAAGTGTATTCCATTTATACTGAATCCGAAAAGAAAATCTTGGTACAACTATAAACAAAAAAAGCATTGCAGTCTTTGACCATTTGCATTCCGAAAGAAAATGCAAGTTCCACAACTTTTTGGATTGTCTATTTAGGCCTCTATGCTCAACAAACTCAACTCAACTTCACTTAAATACAGTGTACATGTATCGTCTGTTTGGAACCAGAAGGGTGTTAACTCAAATATTGTAACAGAGAGTTAATGCCCTTCTGGCTCTAAATAGACGATATGATACAGATTAAATCATATATTGAGAGCCAGGATGATGTCAAGTAACACTCATTAACACTGAGTCAAAGATAATCCTGAGTTCTGGTAAAAAAAGAAAAAGAATTCTCAAAGAATCAAACGAAACTTTATACACTGAATGTTCAAGATTACAAAGAAAAGTCATTTGCCTAACAATTTTGGTAGAAAATGTATACTGGCTGAGTAATTAGCATAGAAAGATAAGGAAATCAAGGTAAGTAGGCCTGACACCATTTGTGTAGTCCCATATACATCTTTCTGTGTACAGTGCTTGTTACTTTACCAAGACTGGGCCAAATTTATTATGATTTTTATGACTCCAGAACCTTGCAGTACACACCAATACTTACATGATCAACTATTTCTGATCGATTCCACAACTTTCTTTCACAATGCAATCCCATGACCAGAACTCAACTTTATCTTGAATGCCCTTCTGACAGACCCACAACAGATGAATTACCTAGTGTGTATACAATGTCGTGGATGGACGAAAAAATAAACTTACTTTAGTTTGCTACCGGTGAGGTAGTTTGCAATGGCAAGGCCGGTCACAGACCCGCTGCTACCGGCTGCGATTACAATGTCGGTGAATCTGTCCAGGAGTCCCTGTAATTAGATACGAATGAGAGAAAGATTTGATTTTTAATGGATTGAACTTTCATGTATTTGTTTGGACAAGACTACACATGAACTGAGATTCATTGCAATTGTATGGGAGTTGTCTGTGTGTGAAACTCAGTTGAAAGCCTAATTATGCTGATTTCATTTTCATTCTTTCATTTCCATACACCAGGGCCTGTTGCATAAACCTTACCATTGATGGTAGCTTTGCCATCAATGGCAACTACCATCGTAACAGGGCTCAACAGCCAATCAAAATCAAGGTTTCCATGGTAGTTACCATTGGTGGCAAAGTTACCATCAATATTAAGTTTTGTGCAAAGGGGCACAGAGGAGGTAATTATCAAAATGAGAATGTTGGGTTGCTTTTAAGACATGTTTGGGAAATATAAAATAACTTTTTAACGGCGACTTAAACTGAAAAATCATAAGAAAACTCTGATTTTGAAACAAGCTGTATGAGAATACTTTTGCTCCAATCCATATTTGATATTCTGTACAAAGTCACTATGTTAATGTTCCCCAAATCCCTATTAGTTGAGGAACCGGGAAGAACGTTCCACAAACGATAGAACAAAGATGTGACTGCATTTGAGGAAGATAATTACTTGTTGTTGTTTTTATGCTTTATGTGTCAATACAAGGCAAGCGATATTAAACAGAGGGAGATGATTCTTACCTGGCCCATTAGTTCACGGAAGCACTCGATGTAGCCCCATACTCCAACCTCATTGGATCCTCCAAAAGGCAGTCTGTAAGCCTTCTTATTGGTCGTTTTCCTAAACAATGATGAAAAGGAAAGAACAGAACATGTAGATCAATTATACATGTGTTGCACTAAAATTAGAAGATGCAAGTTGGCAAACTAACCAACGCTAAACATGCATGCCTTGTAGAGAATTTTTTTTAAAACCATACTCATGTAAAGAAACCGAGAGGCACTAGCTGTAATGCTTTTGCACTTATACGTTCGCTGTAGGCACATCATAATAAGCATAATTACCATTTACCAATACCATGAAGTTGGCAATATCAATATAAAAAGTAAGAATTCTTTTCTTCAAATTTTACCCATGATTAGATATAAATTTAAGTAAAGTGGTTAAATGACGTTTACAATGATGGATCATTTTGGGGTAACCTTGTTGGTGGACTGCAGAAAGAACAAAACTTACCGATGAAAGTATGAGCAAACCAATATGTCTAAAGCCATGCATACAGCTATGAATTAGCACATATATGTTCATCTAAGACTTTTGGTGATTGTGAATTCATGATTTAATCTGAATGACTTAAAGCCCATCTGTACTAGTTTGGCCAGGGGGATTAGACCATCCAGCCTGGTCACTGATAGGTGGCTATCTCAACAACTCAGCTCTCAATTAACATAAGAAAAAAGAGGATCATGGAGGACCAATGGTCACACTACACAGATTAGGCATTTTTTGCTATATAAAGGGTGCAAGTAGCAATAAGTAGTGCAGTGGGGCTTCAAATAAAAGTATGAGCAAACCGAAATGTCTGAAGCCATGCATACAGCTTAGAATATAATGAATTAGCAGTATATTCATTTAGTGATTGTGAATTCATGATTTAATCTGAATGACTTGCGCTGCTTACTGGATGTGGTCTTGAAGTAGCTTCATGCGAGGGTATACTTGCGTCTCCAGAGGGCAGTCTAACGGCATGAGGTAGAAGTTACAGCCCACCAGGCGGTCCAGCAAAGCATTCCCCGTGAACGGCAGATCCTATCCATGTACAAGCAATGAGGGGGGTATACAGATGGATTGATTGCTAAGTATGATGGTAAATGGCATGTACATGTAGCTGGTATATATATTGCAGAAAGTTTATGAGCAATAGATTAACAGTAGAGGAGAAACTGCATGGTTATTATAATAATAGATAAATGCATGGATATGTAGTTACATGTGTGAAGAATACAAGACATATGAAATGTTACCATTTTCAATGTAATGGACGATCACTTTAGTATTCCAGATCTAGATTAATCGCAACCACAAGCAAGTTTCCGATAAATATATTCAAAACATGAAAAATGGTGAAATAATTAACAAAATAATGCTAACATAAAAGTTTAAGAGCTCAATATACAGGTACATGTATCTAATTTAGAATGGGAAAATTGGCAACAAAACCATGTCTGCAACAGAATTGATGGCGATGATTGATGACATTAAAATACACTCCTTATAAATGATTACAATGGCAATAATTTTGCTGATGCGTGGTTTTAAATGTACAGATGGACTAGGCAACTTGATAATATGTTAAATGGGCAAATGGGTAATGTATGAAATAGGAAAAAATGTATAAAATTACGAATTTATCCTTGGCTTACCGTGGATTCTGACCAGAGGAAGAGATGGCTGTCCAGTCCCATTTGGCGGGCAGCAATGGCTCCGGCCCGGCAGGAGTTTGAGAACACACCACCACAGGTTATGATGGATTCACAACCCTGATCCAAGCAGTCAGCCATCAAAAACTCTAGCTTCCTCACCTTGGTTGGGACAGACAAGTCAGGTCGAAAATCATGATTAGTTTTTGATATCCTAGAAAATGTACATGAATCAAAGCCTGTGATTATAAGTATCTGGCAAAAAGGATGACTGGAGATCCTTCTGAGTTTGGAACAGTAGAAAAATTATCTCTTCTTCAAGGGCAACGGAAATGATCAGTTTTTATATCCTAGAATGGACATACAATATGTACATGTACCTGTACATGAATTAAAGCCTCTCTGCACTAGTTTGGCATGGAGGGATTAGACCTCCCTGCAAGGTCACTGGCAGGTGGTTATCCCATCAACTCAGCTCTCAATTAACATAAGAAAAAGGGCATCATGGGGGATCAACGGGAATAGAGGGCGCAAGTGCATGTAGCTATAAGTACTGCAGTGGGGATTGAAAGCCTGTAATTATTAGTGTGTGGCAAGAAGGATGACTGAAGATCCTTCTGAGTTTGGAACAGTAGTAAAATGATCTCTTCTTCAAGGGCAAGTTTGCCATTTTCTTGAATAAAATCTTTTCTTCTGCTTGTTCCATTTGTTAGAATATTGAAAGTAAATATCCCATAAAAGTATAGCAACACTGGCATTTAAAATACAAAAATGGAAAGTTAAAATTGACATAATTCAGATTTAGTACTTATGGGCTTATGGCTCCTGAAAACTACTCCCAACCTTTCTTTTCCTCTCTTTTGTGACCCAAACTTTTTTCAAATTCATAAATGTGATTGTAGAAAGTTTTTAACAGTCTACACATTTACAATCTTGGGCGCCATCTTTAATACAAAGAGTTGATATCAATCACAACTTATTTGCGATTGATATTAATCAAAACAATGTACATAGGAGACTGCAAACTTGGGATTGATTTGAGGACTTGCGAATGATTTGGATCAATCATAGGTCTTTGTAAGACGGGGCCCACATAATGTACCGGTATGTACCTTGTTTCCAGAGAGTACGCTGCCTGTCATATCGTCTCGTTTGATGTGGACTTGGAAGTCCTCAGGCATGCCTGGGAGACGCCAGCGCTGGATAGGGGTGCCTAGAGACCCCAACTATACAGCAAAAAAAAAACAAGGAGAAAAAAAAGTTAATTGAATGTTATTTTGACTCGTGCTTTTATCGTAGGTCAAGTCGAAAGATTTCGCTACTTAAGGTTTAAGACACAACTTGAGACAAAAATGGTATGTTGAATAGTGTCTCTTCCTCCTACTTTGCGTAGGAAATAAGAACAAACAAACATCACCTTTCTTATCATTACTGCAAATTTTTATTCCAAAAACATTTGTGATTTCTTCACTTCATCATGTGTCTTCTCGGCTTGCTTCTGAAAAAAGTGTGCTTGGTGATCTGTTTGTTTCTACCACCATAGAGTCTGGATAAATCTGTTGTCTACAGTAGCATGCTCGAATTTGTACGAAAAAAACCCTAAAAATATAGTGCTCACTGACCTGAACTCGATACTTGGGGATGACGGCGAGTCGGGATGTCCACTCGGGAGCATCGTATGGCAAGAGGGGGTAATCGTTATTTGGCTCCAACACGTGACCCATTGTGACTGACGTTCTTGGTCAATTGGTGCAGCTACGTTGAGAATGTTTCTGACGCTTATAAAGTTATAATGCAGGATGCAACAGTATTTTGTTGGCTGTTGTAATTAATTGGTAGAGTTGTATGGAGGTAGTTTCGGGCTGGGCTTTAAGATGCGCTGAGAAGGGCTGTCAAATAACCACTACAGTTATTGGAAGATAAAGAAAGAGAAGAAAACAAAGACAATGATTAAACTGTGTACAGTAACTATTACATACCAAATCCCAAACCAACATATGTGTACAATAATATGCCAGTATCTAACTACCAGGAAAATACACACAAACAAAGATCTTGTATTTTCTATTAATTTCAAATACACTATTCCCATGATATCCAAGCCCTTCCTTCCTTCATGTACATGTAGTTATATGTACATCTTTATTTCTTTACACCGGACATGAATCTATGTGCCATTTATGTTTTTATGCAATATTTCAAGAACATTTTTCTGAATGCCATATTATAATCATATCTCACAAAAATGTCTTTCTTTTTCTTTATAATAATAAAAGCAACGTTGAAATTTAACGAAAACATTAACTCTCAAAATCATGATATCATCACATCTTTCGACACTGTCTTTAAATCATATCAAAACTGGAGACGGTAATGTAGTACAATTGCCCCCTTTCCCTCATCGATATTTTGAGCATCCATACAAATGACAGAAAGATTTGCGACAGCCACCTAAAATTACACATACATTACTGTACATGCGCGCACATGGTAATTATTTTTTTATACATTATACTTGTAACCCTATCAGTAACCTAACAGTTTTTTTTCTCCAATTTGAGTGGCTGTCGCAAAAGGAAATCTTTCCCAAGTGACAAACATAGAATCAGAAGCAGCCAGTTCTAGCCAATACCTATAATGCACTGCTTTACAACTACAAGTGACAACTACATGTTTAGCAACTTCACCCCTCTTTTTCTCACACACACACACACACACACACACAAAGCGGCAGAGTATAACAATTGGGAAGCTACAGTATGTATGGTACATGTATATTGATCGAGGCATGGGTTGGCGTGGGTTTTGAAAATCAATAGCCATACAGTTTCCCTTGTTATGACTGAGAGTCTGGGAATATAGCTAGTATAAGTTACGGTATAGAGTATAAGACCCTTAAAATACATGTATGTAGGTCAAGTTTGTAATGAAATGTAAAGTTTGAGAAAGTACAAGGGCAAGAAAACTAGGTAACGCAAGTTGGACTTTCATATGATTTGTATAAATTAAAGGATTTTCCTACCAATTTGGGTTCCCAGAGAATTTCATCCCATTTACTTTAGCAACTGTATTAAATGCTTTAAACTCAAAAGAATTATTGTTATTGGTCCAATCAGAAATGGAACAACAATTTAGCAAGAATGCAGTTTGCTCTAACTTCTTATCTAATCCTCCTGGTCATAAGCTGAGTTAACAACATTTTCAGGCTTTTAAAGTGACAAATTATCACATGATGATGTAGAGGTAGGTCTAGACTCTAATAGGCCTTCGACCTTCCATGTATTTGTATACTTAAAGGGATCCAGTAACTTTGTCTTAGATCCTTGAAAAAAATCCTTGATTTAGCTCATGCTGCAATAATTATAAACCTTTAACTTAGGTCAGCCAGGAACCTTTTTACTTGCACTGTACACTCGGCACTTGACAAGCACAAGGTACGATAATACGCCAACGGCGGTCTGTACTATACAGGAAGAAGAAGAAGAAGAAGAAGAACCCCGGAAGCCGATCGCCTGTCTGATTATCAAGATATTTATGATTGAAAATCGAAATCAAATTTTGCGTTTGCCATTGGGGTAAACGAGTATTGTAAAACCAGTCGCTCAAACTAAAGTCAAAGGTTTATATACTTTTTTGAGGCACTTCTTGATCATTTTGAAGAACAATTTTTTAGGGCATCAATATACACCATATCACAGACACTGATAACACGCGTAGGGCAGTGCATCTCAGATTTAACACTGTTAAACGATCCCTTGGCTTTAATACTAGGGTCTATTGTTGTTGCTAGTACCCTTCCCATCTGACTTGCGCTATTCTCTTGCCATATGATCCATCCCTTCCCTCCACTGTCAATGATTCTATTTTAAAGATGACACTTCACTATCTTTACAAAATTCATGCCCATCGCCTGCACTCCATACCCTCCAACTAAGGATTTTATAACATGATATTTACAGCAGCCTATTACTTCGAATGTGATAAACTCGCTGATCTCCGAAAAGCGGAGGGACAACAACAGAGAGACAGAGAGTTGGTACAACTTTTTTAATCAGATCAATCTAAAAATCTTGGTCTAAAAATTAACGAATGTAAATCCACACGACCACAAGAAGAATATACATAGGTCTACCAGGCACCCGTCCTAGTAGTAGTAGTAGTAGTGCACTACTTGCATGACTACTAGATCTAGAGGGTCTAGTCCTCCAAATATGGTCACAATATTCCATTCCAAGTAGAATCTACCATGCAAACCCTCGAGCTCAGTTCAGCTTGCCACGCTGCCTAGGACCGCGACTGCCCCTTAGCCTAGCCCTATACGCCCAAACAAATATCAAATGCGAGTAAAGACTCGACTCCTTAGCACTTACCTTTCAAATAAAGCATTTCCCTCTGTCGTATCGATCCCGGCATTTGTATTTATTGCACCGAAATTCTTCTAAAGAGTTATGCAGGGTTTACAGCAGATTTTCTTCAGTGCTTTTCAGTTTTAAGATAATTAAGGAAGAGCCACGGCCACGTAAGGAACTTCGTCGTTTTATGTTTGGTCGCGTCTACCATTGGAAACCGGTCCAGTGTTTTCATTCATAACCTTACACTCTACTACGATAGCTCAGCACACGCGGTGTGATTGTAAACAAAGCAATGTTTGGGTTCTCATCCGTTCTCTCACACACCGCGCGCTATCTGGCGAAAACTGGTATAACAGGTCTTTGATCCAGTACGAACCGGTTCTCGTATGCCAGAAACGGCGTCAGTGACCAACTGACCATACATATATATAGCGTGACAGCTCAATGGCTTCTAACCCCCAAAACGTGTATTTTGGGTTGAAAAGAAAACCCTATAGGCCTATGCCTAAAATAGCCTGAAAAGATCATTTGCTAAAAAAAAAGTTAGGCCATATTAGCCCTTATAAGTTATCATGTTCTTTTATGGCTACATAAATGTAGACCTAGATATTATAACTACCTTTTTTCAAATTTCAATTAATGTCAAAATGAGACTCGGGGTCAATTGGTCTAGCAGAAATTGACAATCAGTGACCTATATTTCTGTGCACGTATTTAATAAAGGATGACATTAACGTTTTCCAAAATTCCCTTTATAGTTAACAATTAAATGAATTTATACCATACGAATATTGTTATCGATAGATTTATCAATTAAATTCTCAATAAATATAGATGATTGGGTCTGCCCGGGGTCTGCCATATTATATTTGATCTTTTAAACGTCCACGGCTTGCTATTACCTATTCTGTGATAAAAGTCATGGAGAAATATATGCAAAGACTCTCTACTGATTCGCCAAGCAAATTCTGGGTTTGGTGATTGGAATCCGGGCACCTGTACGAGTGGATCGTAGTGGGGCTAGAATTATTTAGTCTTCCATTTCTTTCGCTTTTCTAAAAGTTCAATAATGTTATATATCGAATAACTAGTACAAAGACGAAATAAAATAATGCAACTTAAAATATAATATATAGTAGTGAAAAATAGAAATACGATCAAAATAAATATTCGTCTTAACGATGAATTTTAGATGAATGCATAACACTAATGATAACAAGTTTTCTAACTAAGACTATTCTAAAGTGCGTGGGCAGTTCGTTTGGAGGTGTGTCGGGGGCACGGCACTACGTCATAGGTCACAATACGACGTAAAGACATGTGCTCAGTGTTTACTTGTTGGGATGAGCGCGCAGGTCATGACACAAATTATACGTCACAATGTTCCTGTCTGATTTCGTCCGACTTTATGTCATAAGTAAAACAGCGCGTAGTTGAGTTAGCTTTCTAATTAACTTTCTCTAAAATGATATTTCATGACGAGTGTACTTTGCCTCCTTATCTGTGTAGTCCAATCTACTCCCCCTTTTGGTAGGGTCCATGATGGGTCTGTATGATGATCAATATCAGTTTTATTACAATTTGAAGCAAAAATCATTCTGGTTCTCTTCACGATTAATACATTACAGCCTATCAGGTGAAATGAAATAAGTTATATTGAGGCACTTCACAAAGACTTATGTATTAAATTTGGTTACATTACAAGAATGGACTATTATGGGAATGATACGAAATTCAACCTGCCTAAAGACTTGTTCAGATAAACCAGGGAGGTGGGAGGGCACCCTGGATAAACAGCTGCACAACATAGATGCGTCGTTTTTTTTTTGTTTTTTTTTCGTGTGTAAAAGATTGGCAACTGCGCGCAACGTGGTATCTTGTGGTAGGGACCATGATACAACCAGCTAGGATAATGGTATAGTAGGTCCATATGGAATATAAATTTTGGTGCAAGGGCTAAGGATGGGATGAAATCCCCTCATTAATCCTGATGTTGTATACAATCATGATTAAACTCATAAGCTTACTTTAATTCATTTTATAACGTGTAACAATGTGATTGTATAGCACATTGTTACACATTTATTTATCAGACTAATCAAGTTGATAGTTTCTTGACTGTGTACATTAGTTCTAGCTTTGTTTATCTAATATGTTTGTATTTGTATTCGAAATCCAAACCCAAGTTTTGGTTGCAATAAAGGAATCATAAATTAAAAGACCCGACTTGGGGGTCAGGCTGTATAGAGGTGTTGTGGTCTAGTGGATACGCCACCGGACTGTGGATCGCATGGCTCCCGGTTCAAGTCCCACCGCGGCACTAATGTCCTTTGCCTTTGGCAAGACATTAATCTAAATTTGCCACACTCCACCCAGGTGAGGTAAATGGCTACTATGTAAGAAGAAATTCCTTGAGCATCTTTTCATGATAGCTCGGTTAATGCCGGGGTAATGATATGATTGCAAGGCCCTCAGGAAGAACAGGATGAATACTGATGAGGTTACCCTGGGTAAACAAGACATACTCACTATGAACATGACTGACAAAGAAAGCGGACAAAATATACAGTTCCTCAGGTAGACAAAGGAACATCCCTTCACTGCTATTATGTAAAATGGTGAATATGCATGTGACACCTGTTCTACACATTTTTACATAATAGCAGTGAAGGGATGTTCCTTTGTCTACCTGAGGAACTGTATATTTTGTCCGCTTTCTTTGTCAGTCATGTTCATAGTGACTATTATAGGCTGATCAACCCACTGATATACATGTACTTCTTCTTTTTCATTTTTTGTGGAAAAGATCAGTGCATGGGCTGACACAACTTTTTGAAAAATATTTTTATCAATGATTTTTATTCCCTGGTCCAAGCATGCAGTTGGTACATCATTCATGGGGGGAATAGCTAGGGCAAGCTTATTATTTAGGAATTGGGCCTTCAGCTAGAGTCCATGAGAAGTCATCTATTCAACTCTGTAAGTGCAGTCGGCTTTTGTAATGTTACGTAACAAACTCTATCTTTGAATCAGGGCTGAATACAAATTGATTTGTATAGAAGCGTGGTGCGTAATGCAACTATCGAGTATACTTGTATTTTCCTGCGGTACAACGTATAGCAGGAAAATGTTGTATATGCGGATCCGTTTAATGATTACGTAATGGGAGTGGCGAGACGCCACGATTCCGCGAAGCGGGATGGTTTGAATATGTAAGTTATTGTATTGAGAAGGAAAGGAATGTTCAGAAAGGCATAAGAAGAGAGGGAAATGGGCGTGGTAGCCATTCTAGCTTTGTCAGACATTTTGTCTAGATACACGACACAAATTTCAAGTGGAAATTTTAATACAGAACAATAGTTTGGTGTTTGTTTTTGTAGGAGGTTTAGAGATTCAAATTTTTATTGGGACGATTTGCCATTAGGTTTTTCCAGAGCATTTGCCTTATTTAGTTTATCTCTGGTTTTTTCAACCTAGGGAATCGGTCCGGGCGTGGGGAAAAAAGGCAAAGCCCCATGCAGGTTAGGGATCAAATTAATATTTTATTCTATACAATGTCAGTATATATTGAGGTGTGAACGTTGACGATTGAGATTGAAATTATGCAATGTTAACAATATTTACACTTGATATTTTCAAAATCAAGAATGAGTTTAAAAAATTGAAATTATTTTGATGTTCAAAATAATATAATAACAAAGATTGTTCATGATTGTTCAAAAAGATACAATTCGAATAAAAGCTGGCTTGGTCGGTCTGGCAGGCTTTTCCATAAAGATTGTTATTGATGTAATCTGTGAGTCATTAGCTGAGTAATGAAGGATGAGAATATACTATATATACATTACACACTGTACTGTATTTAGGCATAACGTGGCTCAAAATAAACAATTTATTTGGAAAAGTAGGAGAGATTTGTCATATATTGCATACTTCTGTATGCTTTCCGATTATTATTTAATTCAGTAAAAAGTAATCGAAGGCTGTAATTACTAATTTTTTTTACTGATGTATGATACATTGATGATAAACCGAAATTTTGGATTTAAATCTCGTTTTGTATTTGCATATTGAACACATAATATACTGCATGCTCAACTACTAATTTGTAACCTGTTTTAATTCCCGTTTTGTTTTTACTTATTCATGATAATCCCAAGTTCTAGATTCAATTTCAATGAATTTCAATAAACGGCTAGACATGATAATTGCAATTACATTCCACCTGGCCAAACAGGAAGTATACCTTTTAAAAAAATCATATAAAAAAGGCAAGAGATACATAAACAAGAACAATAAAATATGCTCGTATAGCCATACCAGGAAGTATTATAATAATTTCATCACCATAGTACTATGATGAAATAATATATAATAGGTATACCAGTAACATATTTATGCACAAGATCACGGGATTTTGATCAATGAGGGGTTTCTGTCATTAGGAAACCAGATGTTATCATATATTACCAGCAAATATGAAAACAATATTCTGCAAGCTATGTTTAGTTTTTAATCTGGTATGAGGTTTCAATATAATACTTCAACATGGTGTGCATGTGAGTACAATGCAGAGGGCCTATACCGTTATGTATACATTTAAATATATTTTTGTGTAGAACATAATCATATTACCTTCATCGTTCATATGTTTTCGTACGTTATAGAAATTCTACAAATTCATCATTATTTTCCTCTTCTTCCTCCTCCTCATTTTCTTCTTCTCCTTCTTCTTTTTCTTCTTGTACTTATTGTCATTTCTATCATCAGCTTAATGTTGTTATTATTATTATCTTTAATAAGTAATTCTTTTATTTTTCTTATCTGTCAGTAAATATTACTTTTTTAACTTATTAATTTTATACATGTCTGTAAGGGACCCCACTGGAAATAAGCTCTCGAGCTTTCGTGGGTTATCCTGTTCAAGCTGACTTATTTTTGATCTGTTATTATAATTGTATATTGTTGTATGTTGGAAGCTTGTCGAATAAAAATCAGTCAATCAATCAATCATATACTTATAGTTGTAGATAGTAATTGATCTGCTCTATATCATGTATCTTTTGTTTGTAAAGTGCTTTGGGATCTGATTCTGGGTTGAACTGACCTGTGTAAAAATTATTGTTATCATTATTGTTATCATTGTTAGCATTGTAAACAGAATGATAATATAAATTAAGAGATTTATAATTATAATAATAATAATAATAATAATGATAAGTAGGCCTAGTACTGGTAGTAGCAATAATGATCATGTCATTATTATTATCATTATTATTATTATCATTAATAAGTCATTGTTTTTTTTATATGATTATTTTTACTTTCAATTGTGGATGTGTTCACGTTCCGGAGACTTTTCCACTGGACCACAAAAACTTCTGTTATAACAAGAATGTATCAACAGACTTCTCAGTAAACCTAAACAACTTAGCCTCCAATTGAATGAATTGTGAATACTCACGCATCATGGAACCTACAGAGCACATCTACATGTATTTATCTTTTGTAGCAACAACTATAGAGGGCGGCAGACCGATAAGCGTTGTGCCCAGTTCCATCTCCAGTGAATGGATTTACTTGTACTTATAAAAGAAATAGAATCTCTATTTTTCTTTATTTTTTGCACCAGAGTGAGGTACCTTTAAAAATATTTTTAGATGTAGCAACTTATTTCAGAACGAAACTATATGCGGATACTAGATTCTTGTATTTAGCAGAGTTTTAAGCAATTAAAATCAGAAATAATTATGATGTTTATTAAGATAATGCGATCATTACACACATTTTTTTTGATTCGCCTTTGCTTTCTCGCAGAGTTTTGTATAGACAGATTGTAACATTTTGAAATCTTTAATAAAAAGACAACGAACCTTCGTCCCAATATTTATGTATATTTTGTGCGTTTTTTTTTTTTTTTTTTTTTTGGGGGGGGGGGGGGGGGGGGGGGGGGGGGGGGGTCTCGAAATTTGAAAATTTGACATTTTGTGTCCAGTTGGGGGGGGGTAAGGTCACCTTTTTAAGGTCACCTATTGGCAATTTTTTTTTTTTTTTTTTTTTTTTTATTTAAAAAAAAAAAAAAAAAAAAAAAATCAAAAGGGGAGGGTTTCCAAAATAACATACAAAAAACATACACATACAAAAAAAAACTCGAGGGGGGGGGGGTTTAACCCCAAAACCACCCCCCTGCGTACGCGCCTGTGTACATGTATATTGAAACGTTTGATCTAGAGCTTTGTGCTATGATAAAGGCCTACTAAAAGGTTTATGTAAGACCTTTGTGCTTGTATAAAAACAAGTAGTAATAAGAATTCAATGTACATAGTTTTGCCTCTCTTAATCTTTATTTATCCACGTACTACGTGATCATATAAGCAAAGCTAGAGTTAGTATCTTTGATACATACATATAGCTGAGAGCAGTGGCGTACGCAGGATTTTTTCAAGGGGAGGGGGTTAACATTTTGAAATTTGGTCCCAAAAATTTCGCAACGACTCAGCCAGCCGCTGAATAAGCGGGGGAGAGGGGGGGGGGGGGGGGGGGACGGATTACAGGCGCACGCCACAACGCCCTGTTTGACTCACAGAGGTAGGCTCTGCTCAAGACTTTAAGAGTTGTGATACAGTGTCAAATTAGAATCTGCGCATGTAGACTAGTAAATGACGGTGAAAGATGATCTAAACGGATGATGCAGGTTGCCATGGAAACTGCTCACTGGTATCACGGTCGTTTGAGGACCTTACTGCCTGCTGCGCTATGTGCGGTGTAAGGCATAATATTAGGAAAATCAATTCTCTTACAACCAATTCGGAAGATGAGAATATCTCATTTCGTCACAATGGAACACCCGCTAGATAAGATAGGATTTAGTGCATGTACTGCAGTGTACACTATACGATTCGACTGCGATTAGATTTGACAATGATACACATTTACATTAGATAGGAAAATTCCCACAAACATACGTTCTTGATTTAGGTCCTGACTAATGTTATAGATACTAAGAATTGGATTGTGAGACTGCTAGCTAGTCGCCGGCATAAATGCCAAATCAGCTTCAAATCGTAGACCGTCGTACCACCAGTGTGATGTCACCTGGCCATGCCATTCAGAGCCGGTTTGGCTTTTCCTCCAATAAGAGAGATTGCAACATCCCGAAGTGTACAAATCATAATAATTCGTAAAATCTCGTTCTCGTTAATATTGCACATATTTGAATCTTTATATCAAATAAGATAAGATAAGATTTTATTTGACTCTATCGACGGTCGACCCCCTTCAAATACTATTTGCAAATTATATCCCACTCTGGTCGTAATCACATTGTGTTGTGGGGAGGGCTATAGAACAGCGGCATAGCTGAAAAAATAGTACACTCTCGTCTAAAATCACAAACGTTGGAACATTATGTGAACTAACTGATACTGATCAATATCAAATTAAAGTTATGTTATGAAAGTGGTTACAAGAACTAGTAACTCACTCACAATAGGAACAGAAACCTCGTATTCTGATGTAAATAAAAACGAAAACCGAACTACATTTTTTTATTTTTTATTTTCCTAAAAATTTGATATATTTTAATTCAGGGTTAACTAACTCACCAACGTTGTTCGTAAAATCTTTTCGTTTCTTCATCAGATTATTCCTTCTCCATCCCAGTTCTTAAAATTCTTCTTCTTCTATAGCTACTATGGCTCTCCTTTTTCATTTTTAAAAGTTTCGCAACAACAACAAGTTATTAGGGCCCCATTTTTTATTTCTCCGTCTGGAAGATCTGTATGCTGATAGAATACACTTTTAAAAAGAAAAACAAAACTTCACATTCAATAATATTAGGCATATGGCTTTTTCTGTAATTGTCAAATATTTTATTTATTGAATATAACAACATAAATCATATATAAAAAGAAACATTTAAGCCGAGGCTACTGCCTGAATACACAGGACAGTACAAAGTGGGAAAATAACTTCCATCAATATGTATAAATTATTTGCACGAATTGTTTAAAAGCTCATTATAGCTCTATATATAGCACCCTCAAACATACCATTTGTATTATACGATACAAACAAGAGAATTGCTCTTAAACTCGGGTCACCCTATAAAGCCGTTTTTTAGAAAGTACTTCTATCTTTAATATTGTTCCGTATGTATCACAACTGTACCGAGATTGGTGCCTTCAGAAAAACGTTCAGATTTCTTCAAAATTTCGGTGCTATGCCGCCGTACTAAAAGTTGCCCAGGGATAATAATATAAGCCTGTGATTTCATACACGCGTGCTTTATTAGAAACGTTAAATATGTATGAAAATGTTATGGTCACAGGAATTGCATAGGTATATTCATGAAAGTATTACAAATAAATGTGCACACAGATGTTATAAGTGCTTTTAACTAAAATTATAAATCGTTAAAAACGGTTTCCCGAATCTATCTCCTCAATTAAAGGTTTTGACTGGCTAGCGATTCCAATATTATTTTGTGAAGGCTTGTTAGCATATCGGTACGACGATTAAGCTAGCACCAATTATTTCTCGAGTCGATAACATATCAAATACCATTTGAGATAAATGTCACACCTATTACTACGATTAAAAGACTAGTAACACGTTAGCTATAACTATAACGTTAACATTGGTCTCTGGAGAAAATTAAATGGCATTGAGAAAGTTGAAACCGAATGCTCATTAGCATAGGTCGGTATCAAAGTACTTTAATTACGGGAGCAACTGGTTAAGACAGTGTTTCTACAGAAGGAGACTACCCGACATTTAAGGAATTCTATTATTCTTCGCGTAATTTTGGGGGTAATCAATTGATTTTAGGAACTTTCAGGACATTCAGGAACCTTAAAAGGTGATAATTCTCTCCTTTTTTTAACAATTTGTTTAGCTAGTGTATTTTACCAATTACCTCTGAATTACGTATAACATTTGCCCTCTATGCTCTCTTGCAAAATTTGGGTTTACGATTTATTTCAGTGCGACAAGAGACGTCTTAGTTAGCCTCCCTGGCAATTCATGGAAGATAAACAGCCCCAAAATAATTTCAGGTAAGAGGCTTTTTGAAAAAATATCAGGAACTTCCATCAAATGCCAAGAAATTTTAAGTTCTCTTTTTAGGAAATGTTATTTTGATAAAAGGTTTAAGGTTATATTATCCTTTTCATTAATGGTCAATAATTGAGACATTTAAACGCTATATACAAATTAAATATTATTATTATCATTAGTTAACCTAGCTTTGTACATTTCTTGGTAATATGGCGTGGCAGCATCCGCGCATCTGATGACGTCACTGGTCAGCTGTTCTCGCGAGGGTACAGGATGAGGAGGCATGAAACACGTGCTTTGCATGGCCGTGCCGTAGAAGTGGATGTGGCTCTCCAAAATACCTTCACCGGGTGTCTTCCAGGATTTTAGGGCTTCTACAGAAGATGGCCATTGAAGGAGGGAGTCCGAATAAGGTAGACCAATAGCCTGAAGAAGCCACTTGATGTGGTCTGAAGGATTCGACAGGATGTCAGTAGCGTCGATCACTAGAGGATTCGGATCGAAATTCTCCTGCACGTACTTCCACAAGTCATGATGATTCTTATACAGGTTCAAAGGCTGCATCCCTACGACGTCATCTTCGACAATGTCGTACTCCTCTTCAGACTTCTCCAGCATTTTCAACCCGGTGACCTGCTTGTACATCGCCTTCCGATAAGACGAGAAGATTGCCGAAGGTTCCCGAATGAGAAAGACGTGTCGGAAACCTTTCGGAAGGAATTGCCTGAACTGTGGTATCATGGCATGTGATTGGTCCTTCACGAAGACATACTTTCCGGTTGCAGTCTCCAGTTCAGACTGGACTGTCGTGAACCTATAGTAATGAAGGGAATAATAAAAATTAAAATAATAATCATTATCATCATCACCACCCTCTTCTTACTACTCGTCATCACTCTCATCATCATTATCATCATCGTAATACGTTTTCGCGTGGCGCTTATGTCTGTGACACTGTCTTGACAGCTTGGCTGCTACTGCGGCGCTCTTGGATTTTCCGGAATTCATTCCTGCCACATATCTCTTTATCCTACGAGCGTGCCAAAATTAGATCGATATCTTGCTAAAGGGCTTTGATGAAGTGGTAGGGACTCGAACCCTTAACCTTCACAGTCTGGTGACTTATTCACGATACCACATTCTTTTCAAATGTAATACAAATGTAGAGGTGTCATGGTCAAGTTGTTTAAAAAAGGACTTGAGATGTGAAAGTTGTGGTTTTGAGCCCTGGCTCTACGGACTTGTCCTTTGGTGAGATATCAACCTACATTGCCATTCTCCACCCAGGTGTTTACAGGTACTGGCAGGAAGGAATTCTGTGATTGTGTGAGCACCGAAGTTATAGAAGTTATAGCCTAGTTAGAGGCGGGACACTGTTGTTGTGCCTTGAGCACCTTGTGTGGTGGATTCAAGCACTATAATAATACCCGATATTATCAATATCATTATCATGAACCTTTGAATACTTTCTGTTTTAAGTATTTATCACCCGAAGTAGTGAAATGGACTTCGGAGTGTAGGAAACAGAGAGGAAGCCTGTGACCTAGAGTTCAAGCAGGGTGATTTCCGGTTCCTATATCCAAGCATCATCACGAGAGCTTTTAACATAAAGAGAATGAAATAGAACCCTCACAACTGATCTTTTTTCTTCTCACCTTTGCCAGAATTTAACCTCCTCTTTACGTCTATTTAGAATTTTATTAGACTTCATGTTTCATTATCAGGTGGGCTGTTTATAATACAGATCACCTTATGTTTTCGTTAGAATATTTTTCTTATTTCTAACCACTTTTTTGTTAGCACGATAACTTGAAAATGGCTCAATCAAATGCCTTGAAATTTGGCACACATATGTATAGGCATAAGGAAAGAGCACAATAAGGTTTTCAACCTTGACCTTGATTGATAACGTCATCCAGGCGCCATTTTGTGAAAATCAAAATATGATCATATCTTCATAACGAAAAGACATTTCTCATTCATATTTACCAGGATCAAGGTCAATATCAGTCCGGTCAATTTCACGTCAAAAAACGCGTGATTTCATGTCTCATTTGGCCATTAAGTATATCGTGTCATCATCATATTGACCTTGGAACTCAAAATACGAATTTGCATATTATGACGTCAGCATATTTATGGAAAATTGATTGTATCTCTACAAATATCGATTGATAACTGCACATTATTTTTCATTTTGATGACATCATCATAGTGAAAATTGCGATTAAAGGTAACTTGACAGATTTTCTTAATTTGCGTGTTAAGTCTGTGGAAGGTGGCAATTTAGTTCAAATCATGGATCTACATGACATTAATATTTGAGCACTATCTAGCTTATTTGTGCTCTATGTTTTCCTAAATTTTGGTATGTTATAGCTGAGACTATGGGCTATAAAATTTGAGATTTTAGTTTTTGGATCAGATGGTTGGATCATGTCACAATTTTCAATTGAAAGTTAAATTCGCAAATTTTGTAGAACATTGTAGGAATTATGCATATGTCACGTTTGTCCTATTTGTGAAATATAAACGTTAGCAGTTTTCTAGTATTCAAATTAAACAAGGAAACCCCTTTACTTTCTATACTTTACTGTCAGACACTATTGAGTGACTGACCATTTTTTTTCCTCTGGTAATAAAATACATTATATGAGCTTAAAGGGTACATGAGCATTTGTCCACATCAATAACCCACTTCTTGTAATGGCCCAAAATAATCCGATTAAATTTATGCGCAGCACAATCTAGGTAAACATGACGGGTAGAGCATTTCATGGAAGAAGATGAAATTGTGAAAATGCATTCTTCGTTATGTCAATTAGGGTCAAAGGTGTAACTGCTTATTGTATGGGGTCAATTGTCATATATCGTCTCAATCTATCTTCCATAGATCCATAATGGTCAATATACTACACAGTTGAAACTTTTCATATGGATAGACCTCAAAGGTAAAGACCAGTTATGGTCATGCGATTGCATTGTGAAAGAAACGTTGTGGAATCGATCAGAAAAGGTTGATAGGTCTAGACGATAAACTCATGACAATTGACAATTGACATGAATCATCGTCTTTAAGCTTACCATTAAATGCATCTGGTTCGAATTTTGCTCAGGTATTTGGTACTGGATGATTTAAATGGTAAAAATTAACTTGTGTCCTATTCATTCTAGTATTATTCATTTGCATAATGTTTTATTCATTCAAGTTCTAATGTCTCTGACTGTTTTCAAGACAATATCTTTTTTGTCGATCATAGTTCTATGTAGCTTAATATCTCACGGTAATTTTGAGAGAAAAGCAATGCAAGCAATGATTTCTGAATTGTAGCGACAATCGCGTTCGCCTTTGCTGTTCTTCAATAATATTTGACAAGCAGTATAAATTAATTTTTCAAGGACTCATGATAAATTCGTTTAACAGTTGATTACCCTCGGTTGATTCTTTTGTTCGGATTATTTGGCGTGGAAAATAGAAGTGAATGTATTATTATTCTTATTTGTTCATCGTTTCTACGATGCTCTTTGAATCAAAAACAGCTTTTAGTGTTAGGCTTCTTGAAAGAAATTTCAATTGTTGTTAAGAATTTTTTGGTTGCACTCTGTAGATTATGATGATGTGTTTGATCTTTTTTTCAATACAAGATCAAAGACATGAAGAAAATCTACTGGCTGCATGCCAATAAGTTCTTGACAACAATAACAAAAGGTGAGCTAGTGCTATTCGGTGTGGCGTACACGGCAATCACATGGTAGGTAAAATTATGATCATCAGTACTGGGTCAAATAAATTAAAGAGAACTGAATTTAAACCCGGGCCATAGGCTACCCCCTCTCGTTCTCTCTCCCTCTCTCTCCCTCTTCGTCGCCTTACTTTTCCCTCTCTTACCTCCCTGTGCATTTGTATGCCTCGATAATACAGAAAATAAACAATAAGATTCTTCCTCTTCCCCTCCTTCTTCCTAGTACATGTAGTAGGAGTAGTATTAGAAGCAGTATCACAATAATAATGACATCAATTATTTTTATGGTTGGTGGTGTTACTAATGTTATTTTTGTAATTATAAGGTGGGCTGTATATCGTACAGACCACCTTATAATTTCGTTAGATTTGCCTTTATTATCAGGTGGGCTGTATCTTATACAGACCACCTTATAATTTTGTTAAAATCGACTTTATTATTCTTTATTCATCAGGTGGGCTGTATATCGTACAGACCACCTTATAATTTCGTTAGAATTACCTTTATTTATTTATCAGGTGGGCTGTATATCGTACAGACCACCTTATAATTTTGTTAGAATTGCCTTTATTTATTTATCAGGTGGGCTGTATCTAATACAGACCACCATATAATTTTGTTAAAATTGCCTTTATTATCAGGTGGGCTGTATATCGTACAGACCACCTTATAATTTCGTTAGAATTGCCTTTATTTAATTATATTTTTTTCTTATTTCTAACCACTTTTTTGTAAGCACGATTACTTGAAAATGGCTCAATCAAATGCCTTCAAATTTGGCACACATAATGTATAGGCATATGTACAAAGCACAATGACGTTTTCAACATTGACCTTCACTGATGATCTCATCTAGGCGCCATTTTGTAAAATTTTACGAAAATTAACACATGATCATATCTTCATAACCAAAGGTTATTTCTCATTCATATTTATCATGATCAAGGTAAATATTCGCCCGGTCAATTGCAGGTCAAATAACGCGCGAGTGCGCGTACTTCCGCGCGTCAATGCGCGCGCAAAATTTTAAAATGCTCAAAATCGTCTCAAAATAATTTTGCATACGTTTAAGGCTATTCTTAGCATTTTATAAAAAAATCGCGCACACGCGCATGCGCGCGCGTTTTCGTGCGTCAAACTATTACACAACATAGAATCGCCAATAATATTTTTTTTCTTTCATAATATTCCACGTATTTTTACAAACAAATTGATACCATGTTTTTCTCTTTATTACTATTAATAACGGAACGATCGACCGTTTAACATACATTTCCGTGCGCGCGAGCTCTTGTAATACATAGCATATATGGGCAAAAACATGCCTATACAAAATCAATTGTAGCTCTTTAGGATACATGGTGACCCCAATTTTTGTTTTATATTTAAATAGAGTATGAATTGGAGATATGATTTAATGTCTCATTTGACCCTAAATTAACTAATGACGTCATCATAATGGCCTCCGAACTCAAAATTTTAATTTGCATATTATGACATCAGCATATTTATGGAAAATTGATTGTATCTCTATAAATATTGATCGATTTTCTTCCAAATTTCAACATATTCTAGCTAAGACGATTCACTACAAATGCGGTGCACAGTATTTTTCATTCCGACAAATCAATCATGCGTATTTTTGCGATTAAGGGAGGCATGTCAAATTTTCACTTTTTGCGTGTATTCTCTATAGGACATGACTTTTTCTCAAAACTGGATTCTACATTCCCGTCTTTCGCGAGCAATATCTCCGTCGTTTTAGCTTCGTTTACGCTGAACTTTGAGTATGTTGTAGCTGATACAATTAGCTATCTCAAATGTGCCCTTCATTTTGTCTCAAATTTTAGTTGGACCAGCCCACCTATACTTGTTCCAAACAAGTATTACAAATCTAGTTCTTCATGTTTTAGATAATAGATCAACAGGAAAGAATATCTCCTTTGTAAAGATTAGATGATAGTGTCATAAAAATGGCATTTTCTTCAACAAAGGCACTGCTTCACAATGTCAGGTGAAATACAGAGTTGATAAATCATCTAAATTCGCACTACTATAACTATACAGGTCTGCATACAACGTCCATTCTTGTAAAAAAATTGTCATCTCAGTCGTTTTCTCTTTTTCTTTTATTTAAAGAAGGGTTTACAGCCATATCTTCTGTACATTATGTGCTATTAATAATTTAGACGCTCTGTATATTCTTGAGCTTCTATCATTGAAATATTTACACATGTTTTTTTTCTTCATTATTTTTATTATGATAACAAACAAAACTATATTAATCAAGCCAGACAAAATAATCATCTTAATTTGTTATGCCCTAAGATCGTTCCAGAACAGAAAAGGGTTGACCATGAAAGCTCCGATGAAACAATTCCATCTGTAAGGCATTACAACAGAATATAACCATTTCTTACATAATATATAATTTTCTGTCGATTCATAATGTAACCATTTTATACCTTATTTTGCCCGAAAATTTGAGCCAGTTCTCGATATTGTCGGCCAAACATTGATTTAATTTCTGTCGAAAAACACAATTCTTGGTAGCCTTTTCATAACATAGTTGTGCTTGTTTGAAAAATCTTTGGATATTCTGCCGGCAAATTTCAAAACGTGACGACCAGTTTCTGTTCTCGTCTGCAAGATTCAAAGTCAAATCTGAGAACCACGGATAACTGAGCAGCAGGCTTTAAAAAGAAGTGTTGTAAAAATCCTCTCGTACCAAGTTTGGGCTGAAGCAAGGAATGTGGGTCAAAAGCCATTATGTGTGGGTTATCTCATTCCATAAATAATTGCTCACTTATTACTATTCACTATTATGCAGTTGAAGATAAATGGTGTTAATATAAAATCAAAGTTCAAGGAAATCCTTATTACAAACAACATTGCTAATATTATCCTCGTTTACAATCTTTACTTCATTCGCATCCCTTGTTTAAGGTCACCTTCTCATTGAAAGATACAAAATGGATAAAATACATTTGGGACGTAATCTTCTTTATGAAAGTATACAGTCAATTTCTTTGATAGTTATCATTATGTTCTTTCCTGCAATTGCATGGGTTAAGTAACTTTTGAATTTTCATATGCTATTCGTTAAAACATCTTATGCTCCTCGATCACGCGTGTCAAATGGCGTAGCGAACAAGTGAGAGAGAGAGAGAGAGAGAGAGAGAGAGAGAGAGAGAACTTAGAAACCATGATACTAGAATTTAGTAGGCTGATCACAATATTAACAAGTTAATGAAGCACGGAAGCACGAGGCATAAATTAACTTTTTAAATGTTTTAAGACCAAAGAAGCACATGCATTTCGCCTGACCCTCACTTGTTCCATCAGCCACAATTTGGTAAAAGGCGATTTTAACTAAACTTGTTGAAGAACCTTATGCTCAGTCACCCGTGACAGAAATATTAGGAATAGGGTATCATTGGACGGAAAATAAGTGACTCTTTATGATGAGATAAATTTCAAAATCAAATTGGTTATCACTTTTTAATTAGGAGCTTCCAAAGTTCCCAAGTTCCATACACTTTTTTGTACGCACTGTATATTCGTTTCTTGTAAATGCTCGTACATGACGTACATTAAGCCGATCAGTGTGTAAAGCGCTTAGACACGTGTTATATTACGCGCTATCGAAATGTAATCTATTTTATTATACTTACGGCAGTCGTTTGGGATCAACTTTGGACTTTGTGAATTCTCCCATGATTTGAGCAGCCTGCTCGAAAAGGGCCTCGTTGCCCTCATAGGTCACGGGTAGCTCTTGGTGGGAAAAGCCTTGTAAACCGAGCCAAGAGGCATGTGCGTACCCGTACGGTTCGAGATGGACGTTGATCCCGTCAACGAAGCTGACACACTTCGTAAGAACGGTCGAGATCGTGCGCGGTAAACTCCATACAATCACGCGAACTTCAGGTTGAACGTCGAGCTCATCCGAACGCCCCTCCATTTTAAAACCAAAATTGATAGACCCTAGCGAATTTGCAGAAGGCACCTCCACCTAGATAGATGGTATATATAATTATGCAGTCAGCGCTCGAAAGTTATGAAATAACAACTTTACTTTGTGAATTTTGATCCGCGTTACTGCAAGTATAATATGGCCAAAGTGTATTACGTGTTAACTCTATAATTCTTTGCGTTCACTGAGAGGCAGTGCACCTAAATTTCATGTTTAGATTCCTAATTTACACCACTTCAAGATCAAACTTCCCCGTAAAAAGTTCACAATATGGTCATTGATTATGATATAAGATATGGTCATTTTTTTCAAAGATTTACCGATGAGATTATCACAGAAAATCCGTTCATTGGTCACTTTTTCAACTTCAAAAGTACGGTGATTTTTCTCAACCAATCGAAACACTGCTTATATCACAGTGAACTATTTGATTCCTTTCGACCCGGTGGAATCTAACACTCCACGAAGAATCGGCACTTAAATGAGTAAAACACAGTTATCTGGATGAATCGAGAAGTTTGATCTTTGGACAGAATCAGGCAATAATACCAACCATAAATATTGCCGTCAAGATAGGAGGTAATCATAAGCTGCCGGGACGTGGCGGGGGTAGCTTGCTGGAACAACAGACCCTTGTCACTCGTAGTGCGTGACAATGTGTCTGAACTAAAAGACTATTCTGACTTTACGGTCCAGTGCACCACTTGGGCTCTGTACTTTAGCTGTCCTAGTCCAAAGCTAGTCTGCAAGCACAGACCCTAATTTGACACTTCATCAAAAAATCATTGTGCCTTGAGAGAAGCCTAGCCCAGCTACCTACTGGTTGTGTCAAGAGCAGCTACAGTACATGGCCTATGGTAGTCTTATAGTGCAGACTCTCTTTTACGACTGACCAGGGTTTGTGCTTGCAGACTAGTCTAAAGCCTGGACCGTTTCTCTGTCGGTCGCGCGCCCAATCAGCTGAGAAAATAACACACCCTCAACGCTGAACCGGTGACAGTATTAGTCCTTGCCTCTAATGCTATTACAAAAAATGTACATGTTTATTTATTTATTTATTTATTTTATTTATTCGGTTTAAAAACATCAACACGTAAAGTTCAGGAACTCATAATGGTTGATTTACAATGAAATTGAATAGTGTAAACAAAATTGAACCAACACATATACACTTAAGAAGAATGTTTCACACACTTGAAAATAGGTTACAATACAATATACAACGACTGGCTAGATGTGGCTAGACCAAGGCGAGATATGACAAGGAAATCGAAAAGAAGATAAATGACTAAAGAGAGAGAGAGAGAGAGAGAGAGAAGAAGAAGAAGTGGTGAGAGAGAAAGAGAGGGACAAGAAAGGGGAGGGTAGAAAGAAAAAGAGAGAAGGTAGGGGGAAAGAGAGGGGAGGGGAGATACGGATGGGAAGTGAGGGAGAGAGAAGGAAGAGAGAGGAAGAGAGAGGAAGGTAGAAAGAGAGAGAAGAGAGACAGGGAGAGAGTGAGGTATAGAAAGAGAGAGCGAGAGAGAGGAGAGAGGAGAGAGGAGAGAGAAAAGAGGGAGAGAGAAGGGGATAGAAGAGAGAGAGAGAGAGAGAGAGAGAGGAGATAAAAAGAGAGACATGGAGAGGGAGAGAGAGAGAGAGAGAGAGAAGAGATCTTTAAAAGGCAAATTAAGAAACAAGATAGATAAACGTAGCATTAAAACATTAATACATTTCTTATACACGTTTAGCGTCCCCACCCGCTTCCTTTTGGGGGCCGCCTCCTTTGTTTTCTTAGTTTTTTTAATTAAACATGAAAAACACTGCTAAAATGGATCTATTTCAGAATTTGTAAAAATCAAAAAAATCCCGGCTGTCAGAGAAAAAATGTACCGAGCGGCCATTTTGAAGAAAGGGCCTCCTCCTTCCTATTTTTCAAAAAGGCAGGACGCTAAACATGTTTTTTTCGTGTGTGCCTTATTCTGTACCCCGTTCTTTCCGACGGTTGTATTGGGGGTCGCGCGATGAGTAGAGACTATTGTAGAGACACGGTGCTGTGTGTGGGATGCGTGTAATTGAAGAAAACAAAATATATAAAAACGGACAGAATCTGGACTATAGCTGCCCCAGCGAGAGACTGACATAGATAGTGTCTACTCAAGACATGGAATGTTGTACTAGTGGAAGGTGAGGGGAAGCTTAATTTGAAACTCTTTTATTCTACGTCCTTCATAATGTGTCCGATGTGGGCTACCTGACTCCAAGAATATCCAAAATAGAATTTGATAATAATAATGATCACTGGCGTACTGCTACTCACCACTCGGGCTGAGCATGCAAAGATTTGCGAACGAGCGTTCCATACTTACATCATGTAACACTGCACATGTACCGTTAATGGGTCCAGTGGGCAAATTGAATGCAGACAAGATTAAGAGTAGAGAACCGTAATTTAATAAAACGGCAAAGCTTCCGCGCTTCGCGCGGGAGTGGGCAACTGAATTTAGACTAGAACTAAGAGTCGAGAACGATACAACGAATCATCTTTTTTCTCTAATAATTTAATGAAACGCGAAAAAAAAATGATTTCAGACAAGGATTAAGGGTATAAACTGAATTCAGACAAGGAGTAATAAGGGGCGAAAATGAATTGAGACAAGGATTAAGATTAATAATTTAATGAAACGTCAAAACTTCGGCGCGAGAGGGGGGGGGGGGAATGAATTCAGACAAGGATTAAGAGTCGAAAACAGCTTCTGCGCTCCGCCCAGGATGGGTGAATATGAATTCAGACAAGGATTTATAGTGATAATGTATTTAAACGTCAAAGCTTTCGTGGGAAGGGGGGGGGGGCTGAATTCAGACAAGGATTAAGAGTCGAAAACGGTTCAACGGTACAATGAATCGTCTTCTTTCTCTATAAATTTAATGAAACGTCAAAGCTTCCGCATTTCGCGAGGGAGGCGGAGGGGGACTGAATTCAGACAAGGATTAAAAGTCGAGACCGGTACAATGAATCGTCTTCTTTCTGTAATAATTTAATGAAACGAAATAGGGAGGGGCGAAACAATAATTAAGAGTCGAGAACGGTACAACGGATCATTTTCTTTCTCTAATAATTTAATGAAGTGTCAAGGCTTCCGCGCCTTACACGGGAGGGGGGAAAATGAATTCAGACAAGGATTAAGAGTAATAATTTATTGAAACCTCAAAGCTTCCGCGCGGGAGGGGGTGGGGAAAAAGTCGGGACCGGTACAATGAATCGTCTTCTTTCTCTAATAATTTAATGAAATTTCATAGCTTCCGCGCCTTGTGCGGGAGGGGCGAAACAAGAATTAAGAGTCGATAATGGTACAACAGATCGTCTTCCAATTGAATGAAGTGTCAAAGCTTCCGCGCTTCGCGCGGGAGGGGGAAAACTGAAAAATAACTTAGTTCCTGGCCCCGAGTTTTTAGGGTTAAATTTGTAGACATGGACATTGGCATTAATATATTTGTCGGTAATCGGTGGCCTCTACACCCCCCCCCCTCCCTTCTAACCAATCAGAAGGCCTCCTGCCGGTGGACATTAATGCGCCAAAATGTGGTTCTCAAATGGCAAAAGAGGGGATAGGAGAAAGGAAGTGCCTATAAATGCGTCTAATTTGGTTCTAAAATTGCAAATGCTTCTTCCTCAGGGGAGGGGGGGTGCCACAACCCCCTCCCAGACCCACCCCCGCTTGGTCGCTCCGCTCCCTCGCCGCTAAAGCCTCGTTCTGTCGCTTCATCGTTTTACATAATCACCCCCATGCCATTTTGTGCCCCCCCCCCCGGGAAGATCCTGGATCCGCCGCTGATGCCCATACCCCTTGAGCTTCAGGGGCTCCACCCCTTGACCCCCGCCGGGGCTTTGCCCCTAGACCCCACTTTGAGAAACGTTCAGCGGGGCCTGCATGTTAGAGTGGGGTGATCCGGATTTTTTTTTTGTCAGCCCCCCCAAACGTTTTTGCTCATTAACACCACTGGTATTGATAGTAATGCTGCTAATGATAATGTTGATAACAATGATAATAACAATGATAATAATAAAAGGGTCTAAATTAAACAGGGTAGCAACATGAGTATTAATGCTGCTCTTACTGCGGGACCTGCAATTTCATTAACCTAGCAATTGCCAGGTTCAAATTTACAAGTGTGTGGAGGATGACAAATGCAGTGGGGACCTTTTTTTGCGCCGCCCTTTCCTTGAGCACCAGGGGAGGGGGCCCCGTCTCTTAAAATAAAATAAAAAATAAAGGAAAATTAACATGTTTTTAATAATAATAAAGATAGATTTATTGAGCGCATAATGAACCGAAGTTTCTCTAAGCGCTTTACAAAGAAAAAAACAAGCAAGTACAAGTATATTTAAATAGTTACAAATTAAGAACGAAATATAAAAACCTTAAATTAAAGACATGTAGCTAAGAGAATTAGATCATTGCGGGCCGCGAGTTAATACAGCTAGATAGCAAATACTTATGACAAATCAATTAGAGTAACATATTCAATTATAACACATAGATTAAATGTAATGTCAAACATTACAAACGAAACAGCTAAGTTTTAAGAAGGGTTTTTACCTGTTTTTCCCAGGGGGATGGGGCCCACCACTGAACGAACCACTCCCACAACAACGCCATGCAACCACACTCCGTGCTTCTTGCTGAGCCTCGTTCAAATGAGAGGGGCAAAACCGATAACTGATAATGTGAAGTATTTACACTTTACATTCTGTATGTTATAACACAAAGCTCAATGAATATATAACACAGTTGTCAATTGTCGTGTCATATCTGAACGGGAAGGTGTGTGGGGGAGGGAGTGGGTGCGTGTGTGTGAATGATTGTGTATATGTGTGTGTGGTAGTGGTGTGTGGTTGTGTGTGTGTGTGTGTGCGTGCGTGCATTAATACCCAAATCCCCATTGTCTTGATAAAACGTGACATAGGCATCATTTTAGCAACAATGTCTCCTGTTCATCCAAGCGTGACCACATACCACACAACAAATGATCTGGGACTCTGGGATTGTATAATAATTTACTGTTCATATATGATTTTAAAAATGATTAGCAATTTTCTAGGTGTAAACTTTTGTT